TAAGTAACATGATGATATGCAGATAAACGTCGAGCAAAATCAAGAATTGGAACGATGTGACCGAAGAAGGGACTCGTGATCAACACAATATGACCAGTTTTCCTCGTTTCGACTAGTTCATCTGTTGTCGAAGCAGCGAGAATTATTGATTGAAGAAGAACAATGAACAAGAGCATGCCGACGCCGACGGAATGATACTTGAATCTTGTCAACGTTTATGTTTACGAACAAATGTCCTTTTGTGTTTTTTTGTCATGAAAAAAGTGTTTTGGCAACTGTTGTCTGCTTTTAACCTAATGTTTTTTGTTCTTTTTCTTCAGTTGTACTTTGGCAATTTACGTCCTTTTCTGTCGGTCTCTCTGGGTATTTCCATGGGGTTTCTCCCGAGTAGTGTAGAAATCGTTAACTCGATTCGAGTATTAAAACTTCCTTCGAATTCTAAAACTCGAAGCTTCGAGTTTTACACTGCTACCCAACACCCCCGCCCACACCCACCGTCGTAATCAGTTAGTTAATAATTGATAATCAGTTAGTTATTTAATAATTATCGTTTAATTAGTGGATATTTAATAGCCATTTAGTTAAAAGTTTAAAACTCGAAGCTTCGAATTCTAAAATTTAGAAGTTGAATAGTTGAGAACTCGAACTGAAAGTTTAATACTCGAATAGTCTCTTCGACTTTTACATGTATGGAGATGAAGACTGTTCGAAGATATTGATTTAATAGCGAGTTTTAGAGATTTCTCGTAATATTCCAGAGTTAATCTTTGTTGATTATTTCTGTTGAGAGTGAGTGCACGAAAGTGTAATAATTTATTGCTAAATCTGAATGGAAAAGCGGTAGATAGCTGATATTAATGCGCGAAGCTTTATCAAATAAAAAACTACTTTTTCGAAATTCTTTTGTCGTGATACGAGAATGATAATCCCCATGATATTGTTGGAACATGTAGTGGTGGCCAGTCTGCAATTCAATAGTCGAATATGTTGAGTTAGCTCGACCGTCTTATTCAATCATTGATGATTCTCACGCTATTGGTGTTTTCCAAGAAAAAAGGTTTCCAATATTATAGGCACATCGAACACGATAAGGGTGCGCATCAGGCAATGAATGCAAAAAATTTTTGTTATTGGCTGCTCTACCAACATAATCTTCCTTAAAATGGTGAAATATATTTTGGAATTCGCGATCATTATTGGTAGACAGCTCTAAACTAACCACACATTTAGAATCTTCATCGTGAATGTTAGCTATTCGAAAAATACAACTTCACATGAATAATACTTCATGTTCGTAAGCCAGTGTCGTGTTTCGATACTCAAAGAATAAGGATTTAATCTTATTAATTTCTTCACAGACATTAACTGCCCTCGATATATCACATCAGTTGAGATACATTGCCGTTACTAAAGTTGATTACGAATATCACGCATAGGAAAGCGACTAAGATATACACTAAATCAATTTTCCATGCGTAGAGCTTTATTTAATAGCGAATAAAGAAATGTTTAACGAGCGTACCTTAATAGAGCGCATTGAGATTCATAATATTGCTCAAATTCTCGAATATATTGAACAGTTTCAGGTTGATTCATATAATTAGTCATGCACTCGATGATGAATTCATCTTTGTCAGTCGATAGTGACTTCATAGGTCATAGTACATCTAGGAATGACTAGATATAGAAAACGAACTGTTGAGTTCCGTTGATGAATGGCCGCCTTGGGCACTGGCCCGGTGAAATATATCAACGAAAACAAACTCATCCATTCTATGAAGCAAGCATAATTAGACGTGTTATATTCGTAAAGATAATTCATTCGTCGATGTTAGTATGATTAGTAGAAGAGCGAATGATATAGACTATACTTTGACTACACATTGATAACGAACTAGATGAATAATATCGCGAGCCAATATTTCTTCGACAATAAATAACGTACCGTTAAATGTAGCAAGCAGATTGTTTGGATAACTATCGTTTAAAACATTGATTGTTGTGGAAAGGAGCATAGTTTGGGTTAATTAATTGAGATATCTAAAATAAAAAGGAAATATTCTCAGCGACAATCCAATAGAATGAAAAACAATCTTTATAAATAAGTATATATGGTGTTTGAGTATTGACTTATTATTTTGTATAAAATGGAAAAAATGCTTACCCTTCTTTGTAGTCTTCTATTTCAAGAAAAATTCCTCCTGTGTTTATTTGAAAAAGATTAATTTTTTATATCGATGATTTATGCAACACGAAAACTGATTTCATAGAGTTTCAAAGAAACATTCAGTCAAGTACCCACATTTCGTTCAATGGTTCTTTCAACTCTCGTTCAACCGTTAAAATATACAATCTAACCAGATGCTATGAACATGGCACTCTTTTACTGACCGAAAACAAACCTAACTGTACAAGAGACGCAGATCATTGAGGTCAATTTGAAATATTTTTATTGAAATAAATCAAATAGTTGCTAATCTAATTCCGTAATTTTTTTTTTCAGAAACATCGAACAAGATAGGTCTAATATTAATGAATTCTCGTTTCAGCGACGAATAAAAGTTCATCACGAAATAAAAAGTAACCGAAACATCAATCTTTCACAAACTCATTCCAATTTCACTGTGATAATTTCAGGCTAAAACAAAAAATGAGTTCAGCGACAATATCTTCAACTATCCTCAGTTCTATACTCATTCATATATCTCTATCAGAAAACATATCTTTTATCTCGTTCAACATTTTTCTTTCATATCTATTGTTAGCTTTTCATTCATTCATTCCTTATCTTTTCCTCTATACATCTCGATTGCGCACGTCTTTTGCGTCTATATCTTTCAAATAGAATGCATGTTCTCGTACGAATATTTTTAATTAAAATTGTCTTTGTATATAGTCAATCGGACCGTTTTCCCGATTGTGCATCAGGACCACTTTCGAAATTTCCAATATGTGATCAAACACTTCCATCTCGAGAACGTGCTGCCGATTTAATAAGTCGTATGACTATTGATGAAAAAATTTCGCAAATGGTAACAACCGCATCTGCTATACCACGCCTCGGTTTACCTCAATATGAATGGTGGTCAGAAGCTCTACATGGTTTAGCGTTTTCACCTGGTGTCTCATTTAACGGAAGCATTTCAGCGGCAACTTCATTCCCCATGCCAATTAATTTCGGCGCTTCATTCAACATGCGTCTAGTTCATCGTATGGCGAATATCATATCGACCGNATATCAACCATTATGTACGCACATAACTACACATCGACCGTAGAAGAAACAGTCGCTGTTGCACTACACGCCGGTACAGATCTCAATTGTGGTTATTTCTATTATAATTACACGAAGCAAGCACTTGAAAAACAGACAATTGTTGAAGCAGATATTGATCGTGCACTAGAACGTACGTTTAATATTTTAATTCGACTCGGTTGGTTTGATCCTCCTGAACAACAATATTATCGACAGCTAACAAAAGATAATGTTGATACACACGAGGCACGACAATTATCACTGGAAAGCGCTCAAGAAGGTATTGTGTTACTGAAGAATATGAATCAATCATTGCCATTAGATCGCAATCGATTACTCAATAAGAGAATTGCTTTGATTGGACCAACAGCGAATGCAACGGAACTCATGCAAGGAAGTTATTTCGGCAAAGCTCCATTTCTTATCGACCCAGTAACAGCGATAAAAGCGTTAACAACAGGTATGTAATCGAAACGAAATTTATCGTTAATTTTGATTCGAGACATATTCATTGAAGGAAAATCAATCGATGTACAATTCGTCTATGGTTGTAAGATAAATGGTTCAGACGAAAGTGGCTTTTCAGCAGCTATTGAATTAGCTCGAACAGCGGATGTTGTTATCTTCTTCGGTGGACTTGACCAGACAATCGAAAGTGAAACGATCGATCGTGTGTCGATTGCAATGCCTGACATTCAACTGGCACTATTACAACAACTTGAAAGAGTTGTTCAATCGCCCATTCGTGTCGTGATTATGTCCGGTAGTGGTTTAGATTTAACGTATGTTCGTGATTCACCTCGTTTCGGTAGTCTCATTTGGATGGGTTACGCTGGACAATCGGGTGGCTTAGCAATAGCAAATGTTATCTTTGGCGAATACAATCCTGCTGGACGTTTACCGATTACGATATATCCAGCATCGTACGTCGATGCTGTTAGTATGTTTGATATGCAAATGCGACCATCAAAAAATAATCCCGGTCGAACGTATAAATTCTATACAGGTGAAGCTGTTTATGAGTTCGGTACCGGCCTTTCCTATACAACATTTCACTACTCATGGAGCAATGATACAGCTCAACGATCATATTCAATATCTTCATTGATTGAAAACAAGAACGATGCACATCGTGTTCTTATTCGATCATTTCGCGTGAACGTGACTAACATAGGTACGATGCCAGGTGACGATGTAATACTAGCATTTGTCAAAGTGTCGAACACAGTCATCGACGGACCAATCTTACCGATCAAACAGCTGTTCGGTTTTGATCGTATTCATTTAGGGATCAATGAAACAAAAGAAGTTTTCTTTCCACTCAATGTCGAACATTTATTAATTGTTGAACAAGACGGTACAAAATGGCTCTATCCTGGTACATACAATGTACTCATCGGACAACAGCTTGTATATGCAATTGAATTGTATGGACCATTTATTCAATGGCAATCAAAAAGACAATTTTCATCCTCATGAATCATTTCTTCACGTTTGATTTTATTACCTAGCTGTATGTCTTTTTCTCCTAGTTGTTTGTAGCACATGTTGATGATTACTATGTTTTTTCTTCGTTTGTACTTTCGAATGATGAAATTGCTCGTGATTTTTGCCGTGGTATGCTTCACTGCTTGCCATGACGCATATTTAATTGACAAAGTTTCCTTTTTCCCGTCCTATTAATACTGCCTAAAACATTCGAACAAAAAACATTTTTATTTATTCATTTGACCGTACTTACACGCTATAAATTATTTACAATGAGTGCTCCTACTGGAATGGGTCAAAATACTGCCGCTCAATGGCATAATGTGGCTGGCCAATTACACGAGTATGTCAATAACAACGGTGAACGACAACTTCATGCCGCTAGTGGTCACGTTCAACGATTTCAACCAACTCGTGGAGTAGCATATGCATCTCATGTCGCTCCTTACAGTCAATATCGGATGAGTGCATATCCTAGTGCACACTACCCAACTCCCGACGACTTCGCCCGAGGCTTTCTAAGGAACCTGTTCAAACCTTAATCAAACAAGACGATTCAAATTATTTTTCCATGTAACTGTTGTTCTCTTTGTAAAATATCAGGACTTTTTTCTAAAAAATATACGCTTCATGAAAAGTTTATGCTACGAAATATATACATTTTGCTTGGTTATTATATTGTATTGCAATATTGGATTCTTCCAACTAGGATCGAAAGAAAAAATGTCGAAAATTCAAAATATCGAAGGCGCGAACGGTACTAACTTTCAAAGCTAGATATTCTGAGAACAGTATAGTTTGAAAATATAAATCATCTTCACTCTCACCCTCAATTTAAAACAAACTCCATCATAGTAATTACATGAAACGTTTTCAAAACCACTGGCTTATATTACTATGATTTCCGTGACGGTTGCGGCTATATCTATTATTGTCTTGTATATTTTGAAATATTTTTTAGAATTAGATCCTGTTCGATCGATACGACAGGGACTTAGAAGAAAAAGAAAACGAACAAATGAAGTGAACCGATTCGATATCTTTCCGTCAATGCGATACGATTTCAGTCAGGGATTTCATCGCCTACCGAGAATCAGAAACAGATGTTCAAACATGCGCAGCAATGAAACTTTCGAATTACAAGTGCATTTTTCAATGGGCCGAACAGAATTCAATAGTTTATTAGTTTATTCATGTGTACTACAATGTTTCATCTCGTTAACATTTGTACCAGACGACCAACGACGACGAGGCATTTGAGTTTTGAAAGTATGTGTGAGTGTATGAAGTGGATTCTTCTTTTCCACAGTGACCATATTGAGATCGCTCGATGGATCAACTTTGCGGGTTGTTGCAAACTTTTGATACAAACGGGCGTAAATCGTATGAAGTATTGGAATAAATAATAATTTGACAATCAAGAAAATCAATCCAAATACTTCTAAAACGACGATGGTGAATAAAAGACAGCGAAAGATAACTTCAGTTTGTCTTGCAATTGGTTGTTGTAAGTTACTAATGTAGAATATATTTTGGGAAATTGTGACGCTGATATTCGTTTGCGATCGGTAGAAGAACGTGTATCGATTTTCACTGGTAAATAATTGATCCGTATTGGCCGTTAACGAATATGACCAAATGGCGCTGAACTGCGGTGATCCATTGCTGTCTAGTGGATCGGTTTCATTGATAATTTTAGTTAGTTCAATTGGAAATACATTCGATTCAGTAAGAACTTGATCCAGCGATGATGAAACAAATGTTGAAGCAAACTTCACTTCCAACGCTGTGAATCTTTCATTACAAAAGTATAATTAGCATGCATTTCTCTCAAATGCTGATTAGAAAACTTACCTTCCATGTTCAAGTGTTGCCGAGGGTGAACTAAGGCCTATTCGAACAGCTCCAATCGTCTTCAAACCGGATAAAACAAGTTGAACGGTCAATTCATGAGCTGGAAGTACAATTGCTAAGCTCAATATCGTACCATTATAATTTGTTGAACAGTTAGTTATAGAAATTAGAGTGGTTTTATATCCATCGCTCCGCTGTATGTAAAAGTAATCGTCGCACGTATACGCAGTTTGAATCAGATCGATGTTAAGGGTAAACACTTGAGCATCAAGTAAATCAAAGATAAGTTGGCTTTCTTTCGACGTGCGACGAGGATCCCATCGTTTTTGAGTAGTTGTAGCGAATTTCGCATTGCGGAGAGTGGCATCGCAGGCAAATGAGTTATTATCTTTGAGTTGTTCGATTGGATATTGATGAAAAAAAGCATTGGAGAACACGTATGCTGATATGATGAAGACAATAATGGCGGTTGTAATTAAACCACCAATCCATACCTAGATGTGAACAAGGGAATTATCAATTTTGTGCAGTTATTTAACAAATAAAAATACCTCGCCTTCGCCGATTAAATCGATTTTTCTGAATATTCGTTTGGCTCGATCACGTATGTAATGTTGGTGCGGATAAAATCTTTCCGAACACTCCATTCCGATAACTATAATTCCAACAATGATCATTACCACAAATACCCATGTCGTCGGCGATACAATCAAACAATGAACTGATTTCAAATTGAAACTGAAGATATTTTGCATAAGTATATCGTCAAACACTGTATTTTCGGGTGCTTCTGGATAGTCTTGGTCTTGTTCAATCGATTCAAATGCTGAATAAGCAACTTCACCAACTGATCCATACGGGCAAAACAACTCTGTTGAACAGTTGCTGATAGACGAAGATTGAGGATAACATAGCTCAATGCTACTGTAATTTCGACTGGTACCACGATAACACGGTAGGTAGCTGGTCACATATATACTCGTGTTTGTGTTTGCATAATTGTTAGGCGGTGCAGTGAGAATACCAATACCATTCCCAAAACGATCCAGAAGACCTAAATGACCACTAGGCGAGCATGTGAGACGAATAAATGATGGATTCATCGATTGGTGAAGCGTTTGTAGAGCATTTGGATAAGCGAGAATCGGTTGTGTTGAATCGTTAAAACCGTCCGACTGGATATCATAGACATGTACTGATGATGATATCCATTCGTAACTCGAATAGGAATACGCATTAGCGAGAATAACTGCTTTCTGACAGGTTTGATCTAACCAAGCAACACTTTTACCATAGCCCATCAAGTTCATGCCTGTTTGACGAATACATATTGGCGTTCGAGTGTCATTTAGCGAGTATAAATATACTGTGTTCAATGATTGAACACCGATGAGAACTTGTTGAGTCTCCCAACAGATACTTACAGACATGACGAACTGTGCTGTATATGTTCGACTATTTGTAACTAAACGAATTGAACGTGGATCATTCCATGAATATGTTACGGCAGTACTGATTTGAAAAGTACTCGTAACTTGTGGACTAGCGGAAGAAACGTTTAGTCGAAGGAGAAAACCACATTCAACTGCGACCGATACCGATGACTGGCAGTATCCAGCGACCACTGCATATTTGTCATTGTGACCGATATCCACTGCTCGTGGAGAAATATTCAATGTATTTGTCCAGGTGACCAAACTTATTGTTGGAAACAATTGATAGAAGAAGAGAAAATCGTCGGCAAAACCATACACGCCCGTACTTTGCCCATCGATCGCTATAACAAAGTTGTCTTGTGTTGAATAATTGGAAATGATCTGTTCATTCATGAGATAAAATGAGCACGTATCATTACTAATAAGAAAACCGATAACGTTGTTGCCATGAACATCAATACAGTTGTATATAAAGGAGATATTATTGGTGGTGGGCACAACAACGCTGTAGACGAAATCGCACGTTGTTAAATTGTACGGGACTCGGCATGACGAACCGTTGGCATGTGGAAAGTGTTCCACGTACCAAATGAGAAAAAGATTGTCGACACTAACCAGGAGTCGATCGTTGAGAGCAATTTTGATTCCATAGAGATCATAATCTGTAGATCCCTTGGAATACATAACTATGGAAGGAATCAATAGTAGTAGGAGAGCTAGTTGAGTGAGCGACATCGTGCAAATGATCTTTCGCTTTGACATTCTTTGAATGAGTATGACGAGATATTTGAATATTTATTCGTAGCAATTATCAAATTGAAATGCATATTCTGTTCTTCACTTCAATCAATTAAACAATAATTAAAGGATGCATTTTGCATCCTAATGTTCTAAAAAATCTTTTTGTCTTAAGTGTCAATGCTTTCAGGAAATATATTTTTGATTAGAAAAAACTTTCATGAATTGATAGTTATCGAAATAAAAATTCTCTACGTAAAAAAAGAGTTGTAATGAGTAAGCATGCGCGAATCAAACGGTTATTTTTGGGATTAGATTCATCGATTAGTGTGTGTGTGTTTACCAATGTCAAAAAATAGAAGCGATAAATTTGAGGAGGAGAAAAGTAGGTACGAATAATTGCTTGAAACGAACTCATATTTACATGAACTTTTAGGTGATCGTTTCGTTTAGAGATGATGTGTTGTAAAAGTATTTTCTTCTCGTTCTCTCTTCTCAAGTTTACTTAACAACGTAGGAGGCTGCATAGTTACTCAAGTTAATATTTTTAACCAGATCATTAGTCATTAATCAATCGTTTAAGAAAGCAAATTGACGTCAACTTTCGTGACAACTAACAAACGTGTATTCGTGGTTTCTAATCAAAATGCAGAGAAAAGAAGCCTTTTTTTACAGGTCAAAGTATGACATTTGTTAGTAAAAAAGGACAAATAATGTTTCTAAGTGTCACACACACACATATATATATAGCGGCAATACTTCTTAATCAGCATCAGTCAGCACAATCATCGATCGATTAAAAGATTTATCGCAATATTCTACTGTCAATTCATCTAATCTACAACAATATGAGTCATATGGTTCTTCAGTCTCTCAGTAAGTTCTATCATGAAGAGTATATGAATTGAGAAGTAAATGAATATCTTTTGTAGGATCTGGATCTAGTTCACCATCGAATGAAAGTCAATTGAGTTGTGGCGGCGAAGCATGTGAAAAATGTGGTGCCTGCCGCGACTGGTATCAACAACACAACAGTCATGACGTGATCAAACGATACAATGCAAGTTGTACACTCGATCATATGTTTCGACATAAACTCGTTCGTCATCCGGTTCGTTCTAATCAGGGATATCATCCAGTTCATGCTTTAATATGCATGTGCAGAGAGAATGGATGGTGACGAAACTGTTTCTTGCTTGTTGTTGTTATTTCATTCGTTTTAATAAAATTGTTTTACCATGAATTTAATGTTCTTTGCTTTATCTCGCCAGTTGTCGTATCTAGAACGAATTTTATCTCGGCAGTATTTAATAATAGACACAAACGAAATCGACAGTGTAAAAAAGAGATGTATGTGGTCAGGCTGGGTTTACTAGTTTTTGTTTTTCTCATTGCTCCATGTAAGCATAATAGATCTAGTCGCATGTGAGATCGAAATTATGAAGTAATTTTATTTTAGGCAATGGGGTGTTTCGATTTGCCAATTATCTTCAAGATCATATGGTTTTACAACGTGCACCACAACGGGCAATTGTATGGGGATATGGTGATGCAAATGCATCGGTTACATTGAAAATGAATGATAAAATCTATACGACAATGACGCGCAAGGAGCCGACGAATGCACTCGGCGCAGATATTTGGTCGATAACACTCGATCCAAGGCCTGAAGGAGGACCGTTCGACATTAGAGTAGAAGAAATCCTCTCAAATGGGACACTTCTGACAATCACACTTCATGACGTCTTATTCGGTGATGTATGGATTTGTTCTGGTCAATCAAATATGCAAATGACGGTCAGTTTAATTTTTAATGCAACCGAAGAAATTGCCAATGCTGGTAATTATCCAAAAATACGGCTATTTACTGCTTCACTTATCCCATCAGCAGTACCTGTCGAAGAATTGTTAGGCATTAATCTCAATTGGTCTGTTGCATCGCCATCAAGTGTTGGTGGGCCTAATTGGAATTACATGTCAGCGGTGTGTTGGCTCTATGGACGTATGATACATGAAGCTCTAGGTGGTCGACCCATTGGTCTCATTGCTACAAGTTGGGGTGGAACACCGGTCGAGTTTTGGATGCCACCCAGTGCATTACATGAATGTAATGATACAACTTCTGTACAGAAAAATGAAATTATGACAGCACAGTTTACCGACCGATCTTTTACTGCTCCACCAGTAAATCATTCCAATTTATTCAATGCTATGATCTATCCATTTACACGTATGGTTATCTATGGTTCGATATGGTATCAAGGTAAATATTTAAAGAACTCTCATGTATGATTTTTATAGTAACTTTTTCTTCACATAGGTGAGGCGAATGCCGGCAATCCAACATATGCTTGTAAGTTTGCAAAAATGATTGAATCCTGGCGACAAATATGGAATCAACGCACTAATGGCACGACTGATCTTCAATTTCCATTCGGTTTCGTCCAAGTAAGTTATATTCTGTTATGATTTTCAACAAGTATAAACTGGATGGTTTCAGCTATCGACATCCACAAACGACAGTCGAGTTATTGGAGGTTTTCCAATGCTTCGTTGGCAACAAACATTTAACGTTGGTTATGTACCGAACAATGTTGTTCCCAAGGTCTTTATGGCTGTTGCGTTAGACCTACGCGATGATCCTAATGGGTAAATAATGAACGAAAGTAAATACTCATCTATATGTAAATTTAATTGTAGTATTCATCCTCGAACGAAGCATGATGTGGGCTATCGTCTTTCCCGTGCTGGTCTTGCTGTTGCCTACGGACAATCAGTTGAATTTCAAGGTCCAATTGTACAAAGTGTTGCTTATACAAGTGGTGGTCAGACTGTGAATATTGCTTACACTGCTGTATCAAGTATTGAACTACGTAATCCTGCTGGATTTGAAGTTTGTTGTCAAGGCAGTCAATGTTCCAACGATGCCTTATGGGTTCAATCGAGTGTTTCAGGCAAAAGTGGATTAACCATAACATTGACCGTTCCAAGTTCGTGTGTTGGAAAACAACTTTACGGTCTTCGTTATCTCTGGCGCGAAACACCGTGTTTATTCAAACAAGCAGCAATTTACAGTGGAACAGATGCCAATTTACCCTCTCCACCCTACATCAAATTCTTCTAACTCCAAATGATCGAAGAACTGTACTGAAAAAAAAACAACTTAGTCTTTTTTAGTGAAAACAATATAAGAAACTACATGTTTTATTTGGTAGTTTTTTGTGATTTCATACGGATTTAATTCGTTCATAGTCTTCTTCAATTCCAGTTCGGGAGTTGACCTTGATAATTCAAAATTGAATGAATTGAAATAAATCGACAAAATTTTCAAATGTTTGTAATCCTTCAAAATTTTATCAAACTTTTCGCATACCAGTGATGAAGATTCACACGCAAACTAAAATCATCTAGTAATTGATGGTGCTATAGATTTGAAAAATGCACATAACCTTGTTGTTCAAAGTATTCAATCACGGGAGACCCCTCCACAATCAATTGTTGAATTCTTTCATTCAACGCTCCCAGAGTGATATAAACCTTGGTCACAGGGTGTTGATCAAATCAGGAAAATGAATTTGCCGAGGTGAAAATCGCGTTAGACCGTAAAAGTGGAATCGTTGAAAGTTATGGAAAACTGTTCTAATATGATATAATCAATTTTGAATGCATGATTTTCGCCTTGTCGCGGAAACGATGCCGTTGTTTTGATGTTTAAATACTCCAAATTAGGTCTGTACACAAGAATCGAATTCAAATCGTAGAAATTTTTTAAATTCAACGTTAAAGAACGCAGATTTGGATTTATTGTCCAATCCGGTGTCTACAAAGCAGTACAAGATGAATGTTTGAATCTTCGTAAGTGATTTCGGTTATGGTACACTTTCTTCAAAATGAAGTTTTGTATATCCAAACGAGTTGGACACGCCGGTAGTAATAACATCTCATTAGATTTGATAGACAACAAATGTATATTTTCAAACTGATGACTGGCAAAAATGGCTTCTACATGTTCTTCAGGTGTGTTGTCAAATGGATGAACTACAATTGATTTCAAGTTAGGAAACAATGTTAGCGATGAAGGTATCACATTTGTTGTTAGTTTTATTGCTTGAACATTCGATGCAGGATCTGTGAGTAGATTTGACATGCAAAGAGAAATTAGTTGTTAGCACTTCGAAATAAGTGAAAGAATTTGTTTGTCGAAGGATATAATTAATTCGCTTATTGCAGTTGAGAAATGTATAGATATTATCGTTGTAGAAAAAGTATTTGAAAATTTCGAACAACAATTCATTCGGTTGGTCATATCATTTAAGCAACAGTGTATCGAAATATATTTGCTGAGATGATAAGATATATATGACACATAATTATATGTTCTTTTAAACCAACCAGATAGAGTAAGTATAGGTGTTGTGAGTCAATTCTCTATGCAACACTTCCGTTTTATTGACATAGTCTTTCTACAGTCACATGTAGCAGACAGAGAAAGAAAAACGAATTTTTTTTTCTGACTTATTTTTCTCAAACATTCTCGCCGGAGAAAAAATTGTCTGTTTACCAACGTCAACGACTGCGTGTGCGAGTCATTTCTATAAAAAATTCTCCGCTGTTCGCACCACGTTGAAATATCCTGACATGACGCGTACTGTATTCGAACAGTTACCCAATGAATTAATAATTAAAATACTGGAATATTTAACAGCCGTCGATACATGGTATGCATTTTACGATTTGAATACTCATTTGGATGATGTAGTACAAGCCAGTAGTATCAGTTTCGATCTCAGTTGTTGTCGTAAATCTCAATTCGATTTTACTCGTACATATATTTTCAAGAAAATCGAAGTTCCATTTGATGTTAAGTTTTGTCCACGACTGATGATAGAACAGACCGGGCAGCTTTTTTTTGAAACGAAGTCGAAGAACGTCTTACGGCTGCTGAAGTCGTTGACATTGATCAATTTAACTGATGAAACGATCGATATAGTGCGTAAGAAATTAAGCGATTTCATCAATCTTCGCTCACTAACCATAATGCATGACTCCGAAGAATCGAAAGGAAAATTTGTCACCAAAATTATGAATCTTAATATGCCTTCGCTTACTTATCTCAAACTTGGCTATACAGGTCGTCGTTCTGGTTTGGTTTTTGACGAAAGGGAACTGCATAGATGTCGTTTTAATGTTTCAAATGTTCAAGAATTTATTCTTCGAATTCCAATCACTTTCAATATTCTTTATCGTTTTTTATCGATGTTACCTCAAGTCGTATCCATCGATGTCATTTTGGCAGGACGAAGAGGTGAAGAATACATGAATAAACCAAATGATTTCAGTCTTAGAAACAACTTGCAGAAGTTAGTTATCACTATGAATGGAATAGTTCCCTTTAAGACCATGGCCAGATTTCTTCGTAGCCTTCCACAATTGCACACATTTTGGTTTAGTGCATTTATTTGCGACAATACTGCCGGTGCTGAATATCAAGATGGAGAAGTTTGGGAAGAGTTAATTCGTACTTACTTACCAAACTTAATTGATTTTCGTTTGAACGTTGGTCTTGAAGCAGCCGAATCTGCAACACCTTCATCTGTAATTCAATCTTTTCGCAGCAGCTTTTGGATCGAAGAAAAGAATTGGTGGTTTGTCGCTGATCGACCTGAGAACGATGTCGATACAATTGAACTTTACAGTTTGCCACCACCAGCTGATGATAAAATCATCTTTCGTCCAAATGTACAATGGGTTTCCAATTCTGCACTGCCAAACTTTGATAGTATACGAACACTGGAAATATTACCGATTTCAGACAATCGGCATAGTGCTCCAGGTAGTCCACGTCAATATACAAACGCTACCACGATCCGCTCAGCCACAGTGTACACTTATAATCACAGTTATGACATTTCTATTCTGTCTAACTACATAAATTTCGCGAAAGCTACAAAATGTACGGTAGATAGTCCAAGATTTTTCGCAACCCTACCAAGGATGATCAATATCACGTCGTTAGAAATTCGATGCTATGATGGAGACGTTGATTGTTTCAGATCGCTTTCTTCGCCGTTACGCACAATCAAAAGATTGACTCTCAGCGAGTCTTTGAACTGCTACTTCTGCAAACTGTGTGATGTAGATTTATTCACTCGACTTTTTCCAAGTTTGGAATATATTTCAATACGCATCGCAGAATTCGCTTGCTTGCCTATCCTGATGAACAGTCTGTGTCATTTGGTTTACGCGGTGATCTTCAACGAGCCAGAAGCAATCGATATCGGTAATTTGAAAAAATGGCTATATAAAAATGAAACAGGAATGCAGTATAAGTGGGCTTTAGAAAATACTCGATTAGACATATGGATAGACTAATGACTAACTTGTCTCTTTTCGGCATATTTTTTATTGATATTAAAGTGCGACAGAATACAAAATGGAAAAAAAAGAATACAGTGATCTATTATGTTTCTGAGCTAAACTTCTTTAATAAGTATTCCGTATGTTCGGATGTCTTTAGGATTCGGAACAACCCATATTTTTGGCGCCGTGGTGAACCTAACGCCGTCTGGATTCACTGCTACTTGAAGCATGCACATAAACTTTTTAGGTCCTTGCTGAGTTTGTAACTGAACTGTACCAACATACTCCTTGACGGGGAAAGTAGGATCTGGAGAACAATAAACACCTGCTCCATAAACATTTACTCTTGCTTCACGGAATCCATTTTTGTGAATACTCGCAGCTGCGTCAATGGGTGCGTATTGTTTATCAATATCACCGTCAGCTTTTCCGAAATCTTGTGCTATAGCACGACCAGTTCCATGATAAGCTTTGTACCAATTTTCGTCGTGTCCAAACGGATGTAACCATGTATCATTTTCATATCTACCTAATACTTGTAATCCATATCGTGCCCATCCAACTGGTTGATAGTATGTCATCTTGCGTCCAGTTGGTCCAACTTCGAATTGCCCTTGATCTGTAAATGTTTTATTTCCACGTTCATCAAACTGCGATATATCAAATGATGGCCGAAATAACAAAGGATGAATTTTTGCCGATTGGAATTGTTCGAATTGTTCTTGCAATCTATCGGGAACGGTCGACAATGACTTAACTATGTTCTTTGGTAGATCATCCACGGTGTAGACAACACCACACGATCCAAGAAAGAAAGTCTTGATCTTGATCTGCTTCTTATTAACATTATGTGCTTTCGCCAATCGATCAACAATGTCATCAAGGACTGGATGCGACTGGTTTTGCTCTCGTGCACGTTCTAATGTATGAACAACATTCAATCCTTGTTGTCCATCATCAGCATAAGTTTTAGTGCCCAGACCATGAACATTATTTAATTTCAGCACAAATGGTTTATCTTGAGTACTAAAATCAGCTAGATTACTGGATGCATCATGAAGTTTCATATCTCGAGTGGAATCAAAGAATAGACATTCTTGATTTTCTTGTTCGAATAATTTGTATAGGACGTGGCATACGGTGTCTCTTTTAGTTGCATCTCCCGACGGTGTTTCTGAGAGAATGTCTTTTGTCAATCTTTCGGCTTTTTCAATACTTGGCTTGTTTTTCTTTGTCAGATCGTCGATTGTTGGATAATTATCGTAACATGCCCTCAGCTCATTCTGTTTTTTCATAAGTTCAGCCTTTTCACTTGGTTTGACTTCGTCCCATTCTATGAAATGGAAAAAGAATATCTGAAAATCTCCGTTTGTAGATTCATTGTGATTTACTTTCAAGAACAACAGGATTTAGGCAGATCGATCGACTTTTGTCTAAATTATCCATAGATAATGGTTGTTGTTTCTTATTACTTTCTTGAGCAACATCCTTTTCTACTCGTCGAAGTGCATCGACAAGCTCCACATTTTCTTGCGCAATGTTTTTCAGTAAGTGTTTAAAATACAAATTAGTCGACGCATGATCATCACTTGAGCGAGCAAATTGGATGAGTGTTTGGGGTGGTGGCGAGATTTTATTCAATCCTTCACATTGATCTAGCGCTAAATTAATATAGACAAGGTTTAATTACAGTTTTCCTCCTAACCTTGTACTTACACTTCGATTTTTTTGTACTTTTCGTTAAATAAGGTTTCGAATAATCGAAAATAAATATCGTTGCATATGATTGTTTTGAATCCAGAACTAGATTGATTGTATTCATTAAATTATTAGCAAAGTCTTCGAAATCATGTTTAGTTTCAATCTTATTATCCCCGATGGGTATAAGAAAATTAACACCATCGAAATGACATGCATGACCACAGAAATAGATCAACACTAAATCATCTTCGCGAATTACTTTAGAGAAATCAATGACACAATTCCTCAAATCAGTTTGCTGCAAGTCATGTGCAAGGGTCACTTTGACTCCGACGGATTTGAGTAGCGCACTCAGCTCGTCCGCATTCTGTTTTGCATAATCTAATCGATTTTCCGACAAATGGTATCTGCTGTTGCCAATGATCAAAGCTAACTTTCGGCGTTGAGATGCATTGTTATTCGAACGTGCCATTTACTATTCTGATCTAAAACTATGAATAAGCTCTATTTATTAGTTATGATACTTATTTTCACGTCGTAAACATAGTTGTTCTCTGAAAATAGGGAATCTCAGTCGAAGACGTGATTTTTGAAAATCATTCTTACCAGTCACATTGTTGACTTAACGCAAATAGCAACTACTTGTAGTTCCTTTCTGACAGAGAGAAAAACAACACGCAAATTCTTTTGGGTGCGCAGTGTAAATATAAAGTAATGAATTATTCTTTCCAAGTAACAGAACGTCATAACATACTACTTGATGGTTTTGCTGGTAAGTTGGAAGTTTTTTTTCGATGAAAATGGGAGTTCGTATGCATTCTCTGGTTTGTCGTTATTGAGTTTCATTTTTCAGATTCGAATTGAACATGTCAAAAGCTAGTGATTTTTCATCTCGTCCAAAAGTAGCTCTCATTATTGGCAATCGTAACTATAAACGAAAAGAGAATCGTGTGAAGCATGCGGCTAGCAATGCTAGACAACTGAGAGATGTCTTACAGACAATTAACTTTCGGGTTACTTTGCATGTGGATTTACAAAAAGAGATGCTCAAACAAGTTGTTGAATTTATCAAGACAATAGAAGATGGTAGTATAGTTTTATTCTATTACTGTGGTCAATGCCGTCAGGTAGACGGTAAGAACTATTTGATACCTACGGATGACGGTCGAATCGAATCGGATATCGTTGCCAGCGAAATGGGAGCAAATGCTGCAAGCATATTGAGGAGACTAACCGAGAAAAATGAATCTGGCGTGAACATTTTTATTCTCGATTGTGTTAAACAATATTTTTACAATCGCCAGTCAACATCAAACTGTATGTACTGAGGGAAATGAATTAATTATACAAAGAACGTTTTCATTCTTTTTTATAGCTGATCGGCTACCGAAAGGTCTAAAGACAATAACTTCATCCAATCCAGTTTTCATTCAATTTGCTTGCGGTGCTGGCAAGATTGTTTCGAATAATCGAAAGAAAAATCAAGATAATTTGTTTGCTGAACATCTACTAAAAAACATTGATCGAGAAGATGTTCCTATCATTGACATGTTTCAAGAAATAACTGAAAACGTTACTCAGGAAAGCAGAGGTAAACAACAACCATTCTCTATGAATGGATTACATCAATACGATCAAGTTTGTCTCTATACAATGTCAGATGGTACGTTTAAAATATTCCTTTATCGGATAGATCCAAATTGTTGTGTTTTGTTCTCGTGTAGAAGAAAAAATCAACGATTGCAACGTCCGGATTGAAGAATTAAACGATGAATCGGAAGATATTGCTAGTAAACAACCGCAAGGAAGTGGTTCTTACAGCCTTGCTGCTAGTTGCCGTCTTGGTGAAATTCGAGCACTAATTCACAAGTTAAAAATCAGACGCCAAAATGCCATTTACCGAAAATATTCCACACTGCCTGCAAAATGACTTTTTACCTAGCAAACTATACGACCGAGAGAGGGAAGAAGCTAAACTTTTAATATTGTCTTAAATAAATTCAGTCTTGCTGATGAAAAAGCGGAAAACTCGTTCGGTGTAATATATGATGATATTTTTCCTCGGCTCGTATAAATATGTTCATATCGATCAAATCTAACTCATGACTGATCATTCCCTAAAAGATCAAAGCATGTATTAGGATATTATTCTTCGTTTTAACTTTAATTCGAGAACGACAATCAACCAAACAGTAAAGTTCATCATTATCTGGACCATGCACATTGCATGAACCAATAAAATAAGAAGGATAATTGGTCTCTTTTCGATTCTATCCCTTTTTTTCTCTTCTACACACTGTTTAGTATCTAAATCGATGATTATCTGGTATAGTGTTGAATAGGTTTTTGTTTTCTAGCAGAGGACAATTTTGTTGTATAATAAGATCAACAGAAAAAGAAAGAAAAAAGTATGATGACAAATAAAAAATGTTGTTATCATACAGAATGACAAAGAGATCTTTACATGTGTATATAAAAAAGACGTTGTGCATTATAATCATTTTCTCTCTCGGTGTAAAATGGACGGTTCGATGCGTAATCGACTTATTCAGTTAAATCATGAACTTACCCAACTTGATATTACCGAATTTTCTCCTCAGCTGATTGATTTATTCGACGAACTTATAAACTTATGTTCTGCAAAAGATGTCTGTGTTTCGACATTGAATGAAATGTTAGATACAGATATGGAATTGAACGTCGCATGCGAAAATCTGCGTCGTTTATTTGCTTTGTATGGTCTCTACGGTGAAATTCGAACAGCAAAGATCTGTGCTGTTGATCGAAATCATAATTTTACCGAACATTTCAAACATCGGAAAGGTTATGAAGAACTGATTCAATGTGAAATCAACACGTTACAGGAACTTGGTGTTTATCTAGCGAAGAATTCGACGGATCACAATGAAAAGGGCGATTCGTTAGTTACTAAAATTGCGTTTGTTGGTTCAGGTCCTATTCCAACATCTTCTCTGATTATCCTCAATGATCATGGACCGTTGGTCGATATTTATAACATAGATATGTGTGAAGAAGCGAATCAACTCGCATCGTTGATCAGCGAACAAATCTTACCTGCGGATCTTTTCAAACGTATGCATTTTATCACTCAAGATATCTGTGAAAATCCATTACCAAATCAGGTTCGATCGATTCTGAGTCAATGTCAAGTAATTTATCTTGCTGCATATGTTGGTATAAATGAATTAGAAAAATTAGATATACTTCAAAATCTTGTTCGTCAATTGAATAGTGATGATTTGACCAGTCAAACAAAACACTATTTCATTATTCGAACTGCCGATGGGCTGTATCAAATTCTTTTTCCTAAAGTTACGCCAGACAAAATTGGAATGTTGAAAGATAGTGTTAGCGGAACATCACTTTTTCAGGTTGAAAAAGTTCGTGAAACATTGGGCATTTACGGTATGGTTACTATTATTGCGACAAATATCAAATAACAACAAAAATCAAATGTTCGCTTGATTTTCGAATAATAGATTCTTGTTTTTTTTTCTTCATCACTAATTCGTTTCCAGAGAAGCATGCAAATCAAGTAATATATTTGAATATTCAATCAAACGATTTACGTAAGAAGAGATTAGTTAGCATATGTAAAAAGTATTGAAATCTGTGGAAGGAGAGCAAAGAATCATATCAAACTGAATAATCAGCACATAGAACTAGTTTATTTTCAATGTGAACAAACTCTGTATCGATACACAATAGGCACGTCATGATCAGGTGGAGCAATGCCAACACCAACGCGAGTCAGCTTTTGCTTTGGTACTATTTTCACATCTTTAAATTGATATTCCATATAGCGCAAGAGCATGGCGACGCAAGTTTTGATTTCGTATCGTGCAAAGAACCGCCCTGGGCAAATACTTTTTCCACCTCCGAATGGCATATAGCCAGGTACACTTTCGGCCTTTTTGTTTAGAAATCGATCGAAGATAAATTCATTGGCTCGTGGAAATAAATTTTCATCAAAATGACTTGCACCGCCATACCAGGCCAAGTTTTCACCTGCTTTTATATTGATTTGACGTCCGTCTTCTAAGCTTGTTTGTGCATCTCGACAACATTTTCTTAGCATAAAAGGTGCGCCAACTAATCGAATCGTTTCNGATATACTGATTTTATCGGATTTCTGAGATTTTCGAAATTCCGGCTCCGACGACCGGATCCAACATCGGATTGGTTGACCTGGGTATGACTGAAACTGGGCAGCTAATCAGATATCAGATATTTACTTTCTTGTTAAAGTTTTTGTTTTCAATCGATGAAAGGAAACGGTACGGTTCGGTGTATTTGAATGTCTGAGATGAAATATATAATCATGTATGACATGTTTGATCGTTTAAAGCGTCAAACTTAATAGCATAGCAGATACAATATATTTATTGCCATTGTTCTCAGAATCAGTAAATTTCAGTAGTACATAGATTTGTTTGCAAAGTATTTATATACAGTGGAACCTCTCTATAGTGGACACCACTTGGACTGAGGCAAAGTGTTCACTATACAGAGGTGTCCACTTTATAGAGGTGTAGCTTTTTTGCAAAATCAATATACATATATGAATGAAATCGATATACTTCTGCATTACTACATAACTTTTCAAGAAAAAAACGATCAATTAGAGCATTGATTTCTATGTTTTATTGTTTCATTGAGAATAAGCGTTAGCGCTAACAAGAAAAAATGAATAAATAAATATAAAAAAACTCAACAAGAAGAGAAATAATCTTTAATAGAACTTTGTTTAGTCGCTTTTGAATCGAGGTATACATCAATTAATTGTGATTCCAGTTCGTATAAAGCATTGTGCAACTGAGGCTGTTCGTGTATTGCATAAAGATGAATTGCTTTCACCATTTCTAAGATTTTTGCTATATTGGGTAACTTTTTAGTAACACTTGTTTCTTCTTCTTCTTGTTCGTTCTCATCTCCTCGAGAAATTTCAATCAGCTCCTTCAAATGTACGTCGTCATCCCATTCATTGAAAGCAGGAATTGATGAATCAATATCAACAAATTCAGCAGCTGTTAGCTGTTGACCACCAATTCAAACATGGAACAGCAAAGCTTCAAGCGAATCACCATGATTGACTAGTTGCAAATTTGTTTGATCAGCAATATCAATATCGATTGTTGATAAAGACGTTAATGACGAATCAATAAAACCAGCAGCTCGAAATCCACCTTGCATTGTGACATTCGTTACTGCTTTCCATGCTAAATCGATCCATTTAATTGCCTCTAAAACGCTAATAGAAACTTGATCGATAGTTAGAGCGGTAGTACATTGAGAAATGATATGTCTGACTAATTTTTGTCGGTAATAACATTTGAATGATTTTATGACACCTTGATCTAATGGTTGACATTTGGAAGTAGTGTTTGGTGGAAAAAAGACTAATTTGACATTAGAAAAAGTTTCATCAACTATATGGCCAGGTGCATTATCCAGAAATAGAATAATCTTACAAGCATTTCTTTTCATTCGATTATTAAGAGTAGCGAGCCAATTCGTAAACAATTTTAGATTCATCCAAGCTGTACGATTTGCAAGCCAAGTAACTGGGAGATCAGATATATTGATGTTCTTTAAACACCGACGACGTTGACTTCTTCCTAAAATCAAAAATAAATTAAGTAATTTTTAAATAATTCAGTAGGCATCTTACCAATCACCAATGGTTCCAGCTTCTCTGTTCCGCTCCAGTTAGAGCACAATAAAATTCGTCAATCGTTTTTTACTTTTCTTTCCACCTTTACACTCCTCTTTCTGCAATACTAACGAACGATCTGGCAATGTACGATAAAATAAACCAGTCTCATCTGCATTAAATATGTCATTTTTGTCGAATCCCTCAATTATTGTCAAAAGCCTTTTTGTCCATTCTTCGACTGTAGAATGATCCACAGAAGCACTTTCGCCGGAAATTAATCGAAACGAAATAGCATGACGGGCGCGAAATTTTTCGAGCCAACCGTGTGAAGCTTTGAACTCATCTGAAAGATATCCCAACTGTTCAGCAAATTGTCTCACTTTTTCTTGTAAGATTGGTCCGGAAATTGGAATGTTTTTAGAACGCTGTATCGTAAACCATTCAAACACCAGTTCCTCAATCTTTTGTCCATCATCATCTTTGTGTTTGCGTTTAATTCCTTTGTTGCAATTGGATGCGTAGTCCGATAAATATTCTTGTTTTCGACGAATGATATTGGCAGCACTACTCTTTGAGATTCCATAATCAATAGCGAGATCTCGGGTTGACTTTTCATCATTTTGATTATCCTTGATTAATGATATTTTATCTTCAAGAGCTAGCGTTTTTCGCTCAGACATGATACTGTTTATGATAAGAAAATACAACAAATGTGACAATATCATTGTCATTCGTTCCGTCGTTTTTCCTTCGTAATTGATGAAGCGGACGTTTCCTTTTCTCTAACACGTTTCTTAATTAATAAACACTATATACATGCTGACGTTTGATCGTTATTATCAAATATTTTTTGTCGACTAAGAAAGTGTCCACTATAGAGAGGTAATTCATACAATTGGGACTGAAAAATAGTGTCCACTATATGGGAGTGTCCACTATGAGAGATTTCACTGTATCTGCCCAGTGTTAGGCATAGAGGTACCACAGTGATATACTTTGGTCTATCATGGATTGAGAAGTAGAAACTTTCATTCGAAAGTTCTGAATTGGTATACGATGTGCGATATAGTTTTAACTACGGTAGAAACTGTAACAGTTTGATATTTGCCACTTCATGATCTTTACGGCAACAAATTCGCACCTACTACTATGTCGTTATGATCTCCGTAGGTCTATAACAATTTTCTATGCGGAGAGAATATATCAAGATGTTCGTTTAGTTGATCACGCAAGTTCTGAGCATTTTCCAACAAAGACGCTTAACATCTACGATCAGTCTATATCTACATGTAGCTATGTACTTGTACACACATGATCTTACATTCCTTTGTCACTATTTGTATACAAGCACCATGAGAACTTCAACGAGATAAGAGATGGTCTTTGATATACACATTTTCTGCTTTCATCGAATATTTTTTATGCATAGAGAAAGATTCCGAAAAGAAAAATTACAAACGAATGGCGCTTATAGTTCTGTGTGTTTGTTCGGGACACTAATAATTTTCTTATCAACAATATGCACGAGTTCTTCAAAATAGTATCGTGAACTGTTCCTACTCGCTTCGGCAAACATTTTTTTCACTTGTTGAGCTCTTCGAATGTATTCTTTCTGTTGATAAAACATATCTTTCAAATATCGACCAAGTTCATCGCTCGATATGAATCTTTTATGGGAATTTTCTATCCAACGCCCCATTCCAAGCTCGTGTTCCAGACGATATCCGTTGAGCATTTGATCTCCAAATAGGGGCCAAACAAGTGTAGGCATTCCGATTATCATACTTTCGAGTAAACTATTCCAACCACCGTGCGACACAAACAAACGGACAGCTGGATGTGTGAGGACGAATCGCTGAGGAATCCAATCGAGAAACAAATGTCGTCCATCATCATTGAATAAAGTTGAAAGATGAGATTGTAACTTTGTTTTCAGCGACCAAATAAAAGCGTAAGGTTTAAGAGCACGAGCTATCTCGATGATTTGAATAGGTTGAAGAAATGACCATGAACCAAAGGAGACATAGATCACTGACGATGAATGATTTGCTACCTCCCATTGTTTATCTAACCATTGTTTCACACGAGTTAGAAGAGCACTCTAAAGAACGAGACAAACAGTAAGAAAAAGATGAGGAAATCAATACTGACCTGTCGTGTCCGTTGGGTAACCTCTGAGATGATCGGTGCAACAAATAGAATGGACGTATTTGAGCCAGGTAGTGACCGTTGGCGTAGCGTTCGTAGAACTTCTTTATCAAATTCGAGAATTGAATTACAAATGATTCCTTTAATAGGGGCAATTGTCTGATACATCAGATGTTCATAATTTGAGCCTACTTCCTCACTTTTAACCTTTTTAATGAAAGTGTTGACAAGGTCCACAAAAGCTACCAAGCTGTTTGGTAGAAAAAAGTAAGCAATAAGACCTTTTTGAAGAGCTTCGGAAACAGGTGGTAAAACAAATAAATCAGTAATGAACATATCAGAAACTATAACGTCAATTGGACGACGAATCGGCCGAGTTGCCACTGGACGCGATGACGTAAGAGACGTAGAAAAGAGGAGTTCAATGAGCGGCAGATGCATTTTCTCGACGATTGGTTGGATTTGTCTAATTATGCTCTTATCGGCGCTCTTCAAATAATATTATTTAGATTTACTGAATTTCTAGAAGAGGAGCTATTTGAATGCTATATGAAGAACTCTTACTTCATAGTCATGATCGTTGCCATCATATAAACCGATGATATCTAGCTTGGATTCGCTCGAATCACTGTTATCGTCAATCAATCCACGTTGTTTCAGCAAAGGAAGTTTTGAAGCTGAAACAATGTAAGTAACATGATGATATGCAGATAAACGTCGAGCAAAATCAAGAATTGGAACGATGTGACCGAAGAAGGGACTCGTGATCAACACAATATGACCAGTTTTCCTCGTTTCGACTAGTTCATTTGTTGTTGAAACAGCGAGAATTATTGATTGAAGTAGAACAATGGACAAAAGCATGCCGACGGAATGTTACCTGAATCTTGTCAACGTTGATGTTTACGAACAAATGTACTTTTGTGTTTTTTGTCATGAATAAAAGTATTTTGGCAACTGTTGTCTGCTTTTAACTTAATATTTTTGTTCTTTTTCTTCAGTTACACTTTGGCAATTTATGTCCTTTTCTGTCGCTCTCTCCCTCTCTCTATGAAAGTCTATGTAAATATTGGCCCTAGTAAAAAGTGTCCTACACATTACTAGAAACATTCTATCTATCATATCAACATTATGGCATCGGATAGAAACCATGACCGTTCTTGATTCAAATTTTGCTCTGCACAATGTTATTCGATAATTCAATCGACTTTTCTTTGGACAAACATGTAAAAATTCTATTGTCTCATTCATTTGCTGTTCTCTATACTTCATGTTTATACTTAACGGAATAAAGGCAATAGAAAATCGTAATGTTTCGGTACTTACTTTCGAGCACTTATATTTTGGATGGTAATATATTTATAATTAATAAATCATTTTCTCTAGATATACAATTAATTGTTTATTGGAAAGATTTACAGAGCCTCAACGACAATCTTGAATGGAAAATACGACAGACTAGATATGTCACTTTTGACAACGCACGATTTGTGATGGCAACAGCTTTTTGACAATATTCAGTAGCATTTTGTATATTTTCCATTCTTCGATAGGTCTTTCCAGCTGCAGCATAAATACTTACGAGATGAAGACTGTTCGAAGATATTGATTTAATACCGATCTTTAGAGATTTCTCGTAATATTCCAGAATTAAGCTTTGTTGATTATTTCTACTGAGAGTGATTGCAAGAAAGTAATAACCTATTGTTAAATCTGAATGATAAAGCGGTGGACAGTTGATATTAATGCCCGGAGCTTTATCAAATAAAAAATTGCCTTTTCGAAATTCTTTTGTCGTGATACGAGAATGATAGTCACCATGATATTGTTGGAACATGTAGTGGTGGCCAGTCTGGAATTCAATAGTCGAATCTGTTGAGTTAGCTCGACCGTCTTGTTCAATCATTGATGATTCTCACAGTATTGGCGTTTTCCAAGAAAAAGATTTCCGATATTATAGGCACACCGAACACGATCAGGGTATGCATCAGGCAATGAATGCAAAAAAGTTTTGTAATTGGCTGCTCTACCAACATAATCTTCCTTCAAAAGATGAAATATATTTTGGAATTCGCGATCATTATTGGTAGACAGCGCTAAACTAACCACACATTTAGAATCTTCGTCATGAATGTTAGTTATTCGAAAGATACAACTTCACATGAATAATACTTCGTGTTCGTGAGCTAGTGTCGTGTTTCGATACTCGAAGAATAAGGATTTAATCTTATTAATTTCTTCACAGACATTAACTGTCCTCGATATATCACAATAGGTGAGATACATTGCCGTTGCGAAAATCGATCACGCATAGGAAAGCAGCTAAGATATACACTAAACCAATTTTCCATACGTAGAGCTTTATTTAATAGCGAAAAAAGAAATGTTTAACGAGAATACCAGAATAGAGCGACATGGGATTCGTAATATTGCTCAAATTCTCGAATATATTGAACAGTTTCAGGTTATGTCTATGTAAATATTCATGCATTCGGTGATGAATTCATCCTGGTCAGTCAGTAGTGGCTTCATAGATCATAGAATTTCTAGGAATGACTACATATAGAAAACAAACCGTTTAATTCAGTTGATGAATGGTCGCCTTAGGTACTGTTCCGTTGAAATATATCAGCGAAAACATACTCGCCCATTGAATGAAGCTAGCGCACTTCGACGTGTTATATTCGTAAAGATAGTGCATTTTACGCGAAAACACGCAGTTGATCTTGAAATACGCAATTGAGAATTCGTCGATGTTAGTATGATTAGTAGAAGAGCGGATGATATAGACTACTTTGACTACACATTGATAATGAATCAGATGGATAAGGTCGCAAGCCAATATTTCTTCGACAATGAATATCGTACCGTTATATGTAGATAACTATTGTCTAAAACATTGATTGTTGTGGAAAGGAGCATAGATTGGTTTGATTAATTGAGATACCTAAAAGAAAAAGAAAATATTCTCAGTGACAATCCAATGGAATGCAAAAACAATCTTTATAAGTAAGTATATATGGTGTCTGAGTGTTGATTTATTATTTTGTATAAAATGAAAAAAAAATGCTTACCCTTCTTTGTAGTCTTCTATTTCAAGAAAAATTCCTCCTGTGTTCATTTGAAAAAGATTTATTCTTTGTATCGATGACTTATGCAACACGAAAACTGATTTCATAGGGTTTCAAAGAAACATTAAGTAAAGTATCCACATTTCGTTCGATGGTTCTTTCAACTCGTTTAAACGTCAAAATATACAATCTAATCAGATGTTATGAACGTGGTACTTTTTTACGGACCGAAAACAAACCTGACTGTATAACAGACGCAGATGATTGACGTCAATTTGAGATGTTTGTTGAAATAAATCAAATAGTTGCTAGCCTATTCCGTTATTTTTTCGGGAACGTCAAACAAGATAGGTCAAATGTTGATGACTTCTTGTTTCAGCGACGAATAGAAGTTCATTACGATATAAAAAGTAACCGAAACATAGATCTGTCACAAACTCATTTAAATTTCACTGTGATAATGTTAGGCCTATAAAGAGAAAAATCAGTCCAACGACAACAGCTTCAACTATTCTCAGTTCTATACTCATTCATATATCTCTATCAGAAAACATATCTTTTATCTCGTTCAACACTTTTCTTTCATGTCTGTTGTTAGCTTTTCATTCATTCATTCCTTATCTTTTCCTTTATATATCTCCATAGCGCACGTTCTTTACGTCTATAACTTTCAAATAAAATGTATGCTCTCGTACGAATATTTTTAATTAAAATTGTCTTTGTATATAGCCAATCGGACCATTTTCCCGATTGTGCATCAGGACCACTTTCGAAATTTCCAATATGTGATCAAACAATTCCATCTCGAGAGCGTGCTGCCGATTTAATAAGTCGTATGACTATTGATGAAAAAATTTCGCAAATGATAACAACTGCATCTGCTATACCACGCCTCGGTTTACCTCAATATGAATGGTGGTCAGAAGCTTTGCATGGTTTAGCGTTTTCACCTGGTGTCTCATTTAACGGAAGCATTTCAGCAGCAACTTCATTCCCCATGCCAATTAATTTCGGCGCTTCATTCAACATGCGTCTAGTTCATCGTATGGCGAATATCATATCGACCGAAGCACGAGCATTCAATAACGAAGGTCAAGCAGGTTTAACTTTTTTCACACCTACAGTAAATATATTTCGAGATCCAAGATGGGGCCGTGGTCAAGAAACTCCAGGCGAAGATCCATTTCTTGTAGCAGAATATGCCTATGCATTAGTACAAGGTTTACAAGGTGGTGAAGATGCACGTTATTTGAAAATCGCTGCAGATTGTAAAGCGTATAATGCGTATGATTTAGAAAATTGGAATGGCACCGATCGTTTTCATTTTAATGCGATTATTAGTGATCAGGATTTAGTTGAAACATATTTACCACCATTTGAAAAGTGTATTCGAGATGCACGCGTGGCGAGTATTATGTGCAGTTACAACTCAATTAATGGAATACCAAATTGTGCCAATCAATTTGAACTGGAGATATTGGCACGGTAGAAACTTTTTTAGATGAATTTTTGTTTTCAGCAAATCTCATTTTAGAGAATCATTTCATCTTGATGGCTTTGTTGTTAGCGATTGTGGAGCAATATCAACCATTATGTACACACATAACTACACATCGACTGTAGAGGAAACAGTCGCTGTTGCACTACACGCCGGTACGGATCTCAATTGTGGTTATTTCTATTATAATTACACGAAGCAAGCACTTGAAAAACAGACAATTGTTGAAGCAGATATTGATCGTGCACTAGAACGTACGTTTAATATTTTAATTCGACTCGGTTGGTTTGATCCTCCTGAACAGCAATATTATCGACAGCTAACAAAAGATGATGTTGATACACACGAAGCACGGCAGTTGTCGCTGGAAAGCGCTCAAGAAAGTATTGTGTTACTGAAGAATATGAATCAATCATTGCCATTAGATCGCGATCGCTTACTCAATAAGAGAATTGCTTTGATTGGACCGACAGCGAATGCAACAGAACTCATGCAAGGAAGTTATTTCGGTAAAGCTCCATTTCTTATCGACCCAGTAACAGCGATAAAAGTGTTAACAACAGGTATGTAATCGGAACGAAATTTATCGTTAATTTTGATTCGGTATACATTCATTGAAGGAAAATCGATTGATGTACAATTCGTCATTGGTTGTAAGATAAATGGTTCAGACGAAAGTGGCTTTTCAGCAGCTATTGAATTAGCTCGAACAGCGGATGTCGTTATTTTCTTCGGTGGACTTGACCAGACAATCGAAGGTGAAACGATCGATCGTGTGTCGATTGCAATGCCTGATATTCAACTGAAACTTTTACAACAACTTGAAAGAGTTGTTCAATCGCCCATTCATGTCGTGATTATGTCCGGTAGTGGTTTAGATTTAACGTATGTTCGTGATTCACCTCGATTCGGTAGTCTCATTTGGATGGGTTACGCTGGACAATCTGGTGGTTTAGCAATAGCAAATGTTATCTTTGGCGAATACAATCCCGCTGGACGTTTACCGATTACGATATATCCAGCGTCGTATGTCGATGCTGTTAGTATGTTTGACATGCAAATGCGACCATCGAAAAGTAATCCCGGTCGAACGTATAAATTCTATACAGGTGAAGCTGTTTATGAGTTCGGCACTGGCCTTTCCTATACAACGTTTCGTTACTCATGGAGCAATAATACAGCGCAACGATCATATTCAATATCCTCATTGATTGAAAACAAGAATGATGCACATCGTGTTCTTATTCGATTATTTCGCGTGAACGTGACTAACATCGGTACGATGCCGGGTGACGATGTAATACTGGCATTTGTCAAAGCATCGAATACAGTCATCAATGAATCAATCTTACCGATCAAACAGCTGTTCGGTTTTGATCGTATTCATTTAGGGATCAATGAAACAAAAGAAGTTTTCTTTCCACTCAATGTCGAACATTTATTAATCGTTGAACAAGACGGGACAAAATGGCTCTATCCAGGTACATACAATGTACTCATCGGACAACAGCTTGTATATGCAATTGAATTGTATGGACCATTTATTCAATGGCAATCAAAAAGACAGTTTTCATCCTCATGAATCATTTCTTCACGCTTGATTTTATTACCTGTATGTCTTTTTCTCCTAGTTGTTTGTAGCACATGTTGATGATTACTATGTTGTTTTCTTCATTTGTACTGTCGAATGACAAAATTGCTCGTGATTTTTGCCATGGTATGCTTCACTGCTTGTCATGACGCATATTTAATTGACAACGTTTCCCTTTTCCCGTCCTATTAATACTGCCTAAAGCATCCGAAAAAAAATTTATTTATTTATTCATTTGGTCATACTTACACGCTATAAATTATTTACAATGAGTGCTCCTACTGGAATGGGTCAAAACACTGCTGCTCAATGGCATAATGTGGCTGGCCAATTGCACGCGTATGTCAATAACAACGGTGGGCAACAACTTCATGCTGCTAGTGGTCGCGTTCAACAATTTCAACCAACTCGTGGACCAGCATATGCATCTCATGTTGTTCCTCACAGTCAATATCGGATGAGTGCATATCCTAGCGCACAGTATCCAACTCCTGACGACTTCGCCCGAGGTTTTCTACGGAATCTATTCAAACCTTAATCAAACAAGACGATTCAAATTATTTTTCAATGTAACTGTTGTTCTCTTTGTAAAATATCAGGATTTTTTGTAAAAAATAGACGCTTCATGAAAAGTTTACTCTACGAAATATATACATTTTGCTTGGTTACTATATTGTATTGAAATATTGGATTCTCCCAACAGTCACAGGTATTCTGGTCGTTATTATCATAATTTTGAAACGGTTTCAAAATCACTGGCCTATATTACTATGATTTCCGCGACGGCTGCGACTATATTTATTATCGTTTTGTATATTTTGAAATATTTTTTAAAATTAGATTCCGTTCGATTTATGTGTCAGAAACTTAAAAGAAAAAGAAAAAGAAAACGAACAAACGAAGTGAACCGATTCGATATATTTCTGTCAGTGTGATACGATTTCAGTCAGGGATTTCATCATCTACCGAGAATCACAAACAGATGTTCAAACATGCGCAACAGTGAAACTTTCGAATTACAAGTTCATTTTTCAATTGGTCAAACAGAATTCAATAGTTTATTAGATTATTAATGTGCACTACAGTTGTTCATCTCGTTAACATGCGTACCAGATGACCAACGACGACGAGGCATTTGAGTTTTGAAAGTATGTGTGAGTGTATCAAGTGGATTCTTGTTTTCCACAGTGACCATACTGAGATCGCTCGATGGATAAACTTTGTGGATTTTTGCAAAATTTTGATACAAACGAGTGTAAATCATATGAAGTATTGGAATAAATAATAATTTGACGATCAAGAAAAGCAGCCCAAATACTTCTAAAACGACGATGGTGAATAGAAGACAGCGAAAGATCACTTCAGTTTGTCTTGCAATGGGTTGTTGTATGTTACTAATGTAGAATATATTTTGTGAAATTGTAACGCTGATATTCGTTTGCGATCGGTAGAAGAATGTGTATCGATTTTCACTTGTAAATAATTGATCCGTATTGGCCGTTAACGAATATGACCAAATGGCACTGAATTGCGGTGATCCATTACTGTCTAGTGGATCAGTTTCATTGATAATTTTAGTTAGTTCGATTGGAAATACATTCGATTCAGTAAGAACTTGATCCAGCGATGATGAAACAAACGTCGAAGCAAACTTCATTTCCAACGCTGTGAATCTTTCATTACAAAAGTGTAATTAGCATGCATTTCTCTCAAATACTGATTACAAAACTTACCTTCCATGTTCAAGTGTTGCCGAGGGTGAACTAAGGCCTATTCGAACAGCTCCAACCGTCTTCAAACCGGATAAAACAAGTTGAACAGTCAACTCATGAGCTGGAAGTACAATTGCTAAGCTCAGTATCGTACCATTATAGTTTGTTGTACAGTTAGTGATAGAAACTAGAGTGATTTTATATCCATCGCTCCGCTGTATGTAAAAGTAATCGCCGCACGTGTACGCCGTTTGGATCAGATCGATGTTAAGGGTAAATACTTGAGCATCAAGTAAATCAAAGATAAGTTGGCTTTCTTTTGAAGTGCGACGAGGATCCCATCGTTTTTGAGTCGTTGTAGCGAATTTCGCATTGCGGAGAGTGGCATCGCAGGCAAATGAGTTGTTATCTTTGAGTTGTTCGATTGGATATTGATGGAAAAAAGCATTGGAGAACACGTATGCTGATATGATGAAGACAATAATGGCGGTTGTAATTAAACCGCCAATCCATACCTAGATATGAATAAGGGAATTATCAATTTTTGTGTAATTATTTAACAAATAGAAATACCTCTCCTTCGCCGATTAAATCGATTTTTCTGAATATTTGTTTGGCTCGATCACGTATGTAATGTTGGTGAGGATAAAATCTTTCGGAACACTCCATTCCGATAACTATAATTCCAACAATGATCATTACCACAAATACCCATGTCGTCGGCGATACAATCAAACAATGAACCGATTTCAAATTGAAACTGAAGATATTTTGCATGAGTATATCATCAAAAACCGTATTTTCAGGTGCTTCTGGATAGTCTTGATCTTGTTCAATCGATTCAAATGCTGAATAGGCAACTTCGCCAACTGATCCATACGGACAAAACAAGTCTGTTGAACAGTTACTGGCAGACGATGATTCAGGATAACATAGCTCAATGCTACTGTAGTTTCGGCTGGTGCCACGATAACAGGGTAGGTAACTGGTCACATATATACGGGTGTTTGTGTTGGCATAATTGTTAGGCGGTGCACTGAGAATACCAATACCATTTCCAAAACGATCCAGAAGACCTAAATGGCCACTGGGCGAGCATGTGAGACGAATAAATGATGGATTCATCGATTGGTGAAGCGTTTGTAGAGCATTTGGATAAGCGAGAATCGGTTGTGTTGAATCGTTAAAACCGTCCGACTGAATATCATAGATATGTACTGATGATGATATCCATTCATAATTGGAATAGGAATACGCATTAGCGAGAATAACTGCTTTCTGACAGGTCTGATCTAACCAAGCAACACTTTTTCCATAGCCCATCAAGTTCATGCCTGTTTGACGAACACCTATTGGCGTTTGAGTATCATTTAGCGAGTACAAATATACTGTATTCAATGATTGAACACCAATAAGAACTTGTTGAGTCTGCCAACAGATACTTACAGACATGACGAATTGTGCTGTATATGTTCTACTATTTGTAACTAAACGAATTGAACGTGGATCATTCCATGAATATGTTACGACGGTACTGATTTGAAAAGTACTCGTAACATATGGGCAAGCTGAAGAAACGTTTAGTCGAAGGAGAAAACCACATTCAACCGCGACCGATACCGATGACTGGCAGTATCCAGCGATCACTGCATATTTGTCATTGTGACCGATATCTACTGCTCGAGGAGAAATATTCAATGTATTTGGCCAGGTGACCAAACTTATTGTTGGAAACAATTGATAGAAGAAGAGAAAATCGTCGGCAAAACCATACACGCCCGTACTTTGTCCATCGATCGCTATGACAAAGTTGTCCTGTGTCGAATAATTGGAAATGATCTGTTCATTCATGAGATAAAATGAGCACGTATCATTACTAACAAGGAAACCGACAACGTTGTTGCCATGAACATCAATACAGTTGTATATAAAAGAGATATTATTAGTTGTGGGCACAACAACACTGTAGACGAAATCACACGTTGTTAAATTGTACAGGACTCGGCATGATGAACCGTTGGCATGTGGAAAGTGTTCCACATACCAAACGAGAAAAAGATTGTCGACACTAACCAGGAATCGATCGTTGAGAGCAATTTTAATTCCATAGAGATCATAATCTGTAGATCCCTTCGAGTACATAACTATGGAAGGAATCAATAGTAGTAGAACAGCTAGTTGAGTGAGCGACATCGTGTAAATGATCTTTCTCTTTGACATTCTTTGAATGAGTATGACGAGATATTTGAATATTTGTTCGTAGCAATTATCAAATTGAAATGCATATTCTGTTCTTGACTTCAATCAATTAAACGATAATTACGGGATGCATTTTGCATCCGAATGCCCTAAAAAATCTTTTTCTTAAGTGCCAATGCTTCCAGGAAATATCTTTTTGATTAGAAAACACTTTCACGAATTGATAATTATCGAAATCAAAATTCTCTACGCCAAAAGAGAGCTGTAATGAGTAAGCAAGCGCGAATCAAACGGTTATTTTTGGAATTAGATTCATCGATTAGTGTGTGTAGGTGTGGGTTTACCAATGTCAAAAAATAGAAGCGATAAATTTGAGGAGGAGAAAAGTATGTACGAATAATTGCTTGAAACGAACTCATATTTACATGAACTTTAAGGTGATCGTTTCGTTTAGAGATGATGTATTGTAAAATTATTTTCTTCTCGTTCTCTCTTCTCAAGTTTATTTAACAGCGTAGGATGCTGCATAGTTACTCAAGTTGATATTTTTAACCAAATCATTAGTCACTAATCTCAATCGTTTTAGAAAACAAATTGACGTAAACTTTCGTGACAACTAACAAACGTATATTCGTGGCTTATGATCAAAATGCAGAGAAAAGAAGCCTTTTTACAGGTCAAAGTATGACATTCGTTAGTAAAAAAGGACAAACAATGTTTCTAAGTGCCACGCACGTATATATATATAGCGGCAATACTTCTTACTCAGCACAATCATCGATCGATTAAACGATTTGTCGCAATATTCTACTGTCAATTCATCTGATCTACAACAATATGAGTCATACGGTTCTTCAGTCTTTCAGTAAGTTCTATCACGAAGAGTATATGAAATGAGAAATAAATGAATATATTCTGTAGAATCTGGATCTAGTTCACCATCGAATGAAAGTCAATTGAGTTGTGGTGGCGAAGCATGTGAAAAATGTGGTGCTTGCCGTGACTGGTATGAACGACGCAACAGTGATGATGTATTCAAACGATACAATGCAAGTTGTACACTCGATCATATGTTTCAACATAAACTCGTTCGTCATCCGGTTCGTTCTAATCAGGGATATCGTCCAGTCCATGCTTTAATATGCATGTGCAGAGAGAACGGATGGGGATGAATTTGTTTTTTGTTTGTTGTTGTTATTTCATTCGTTTTAATAAAAATGTTTTATCATGAATTTAATGTTCTTTGCTTTATCTCGCCAGTTGTCTTATCTGGAGCGACTTCTATCTCGGCAGTATTTAATAATAGACGCAAACGAAATCGACAATGTAAAAAAAGATGTGTGTGGTCAGGCTGGGCTTACTAGTTCTTGTTTTTCTCATTGCTCCATGTAAGCATAATAGTTCTAGTCGCATGTGAGATCGAAATTATGAAGGCATTTCATTTTAGGCAATGGGGTGTTTCGTTTTGCCAATTATCTTCAAGATCATATGGTTTTACAACGTGCACCACAACGGGCAATTATATGGGGATATGGTGATGCAAGTGCATCGGTTACATTGAAAATGAATGATAAAATCTATACGACAATGACACGCAAGGAGCCGACGAATGCACTTGGCGCAGATATTTGGTCGATAACACTCGATCCAATGCCTGAAGAAGGACCGTTTGATATTAAAGTAGAAGAAACTCTGTCTAACGGGACGCTTCTAACAATCACACTTCATGACGTCTTATTCGGTGATGTATGGATTTGTTCTGGCCAATCAAATATGCAGATGACGGTCAGTTTAATTTTTAATGCAACCGAAGAAATTGCCAATGCTGGCAATTATCCAAAAGTACGGCTGTTTACTGCTTCACTTATCCCATCAGCAGTGCCTGTCGAAGAATTGTTGGGCATTAATCTCAATTGGTCTGTTGCATCGCCATCAAGTGTTGGTGGGCCTAATTGGAATTATATGTCAGCGGTATGTTGGCTCTATGGACGTATGATACATGAAGCTCTAGGTGGTCGACCCATTGGTCTCATTGCTACAAGTTGGGGTGGAACACCGGTCGAGTTTTGGATGCCACCCAGTGCATTACACGAATGTAATGACACAACTTCTGTACAGAAGAATGAAATTATGACGGCACAGTTTACCGACCGATCTTTTGCTGCTCCACCAGTAAATCATTCCAATTTATTCAATGCTATGATCTATCCGTTTACACGTATGGTTATCTATGGTTCGATATGGTATCAAGGTAAATATTCAAAGAACTCTCATGTATGAGTTTTATAGTAACTTTTTCTTCCCATAGGTGAGGCGAATGCCGGCAATCCAACATATGCTTGTAAATTTGCAAAAATGATTGAATCCTGGCGACAAGTATGGAATCAACGCACTAACGGCATAACTGATCTTCAATTTCCATTCGGTTTCGTTCAAGTAAGTTACATTCTGTTATGATTTTCAACGAGTATAAGTTGGATGGTTTCAGCTATCGACATTCACAAACGACACTCGATATATTGGAGGTTTTCCAATGCTTCGTTGGCAACAAACATTTAACGTTGGTTATGTACCGAACAATGTTGTTCCCAAAGTCTTTATGGCTGTTGCTTTAGACCTACGCGATGATCCTAATGGGTAAATAATGAACGAAAGAAAAGACTCATCTATATGTAAATTTAATTGTAGCATTCATCCTCGAACGAAGCATGATGTGGGCTATCGTCTTTCCCGTGCTGGTCTTGCTGTTGCCTACGGACAATCAGTTGAATTTCAAGGTCCAATTGTACAAAGTGTTACTTACACAAGTGGTGGTCAGACTGTCAACATTGCTTACACTGCTGTATCAAGTATTGAACTACGTAATCCTGCTGGATTTGAAGTTTGTTGTCAAGGCAGTCAATGTTCCAACGATGCCTTATGGGTTCAATCGAGTGTTTCAGGCAAAAGCGGATTAACCATAACATTGACCGTTCCGAGTACATGTGTGGGAAAACAACTTTACGGTCTTCGTTATCTCTGGCGCGAAACACCGTGTTCATTCAAACAAGCAGCGATTTACAGTGGAACAGATGCCAATCTACCCTCTCCACCCTACATCAAATTCTTCTAACTCCAAATGATCGAAGAACTGTACTGAAAAAAAAACACAACTTAGTCCTTTTTAGTAAAACCAATAGAAGAAGCTACATGTTTTATTTGGTAGTTTTTTGTGATTCCTTCCGGATTTAGTTCGTTCATAATTTTCTTCAATTCCCGTTCGGGAGTTGACCTTGACAATTCAAAATTGAATGAATTGAAATAAATCGACAAAATTTTATCAAACTTTTCGCATAGCATTGATAGATATTCACACGCAAACTAAAATCACATCGTAATTGAAGGTGCTGTAGATTTGAAAAAAAGCACATAACCTTGTTGTTCAAAGTATTCAATCACGGGAGACTTTTCCACAATCAATTGTTGAATTCGTTCATTCAACACTGCCGATAAGTCACTTTGAATTAACGAAAACTCTGTCAATCGCAGATGTAACGATTGTAAATTTCATATTGCATGAATTAATCACTGTGATTCGTTTTTCAACGCTCACAGGGTGTTGATCAAATCAGGAAAATGAATTTGCCGAGATGAAAATCGACTTATGCCGTAAAAATGGAATCGTTGAAAGTTATGGAAAACTGTTCTAATATGATATAATCAATATTGAATGCATGCTTTTCGCCTTGTCGCGGAAATGGTGGCGTTGTGTTGATGTTTAAATACTTCAAATTAGGTGTGTGAACAAGAAGCAAATTCAACGTTAAAGAACGCAGATTTGGATTTATTGTCCAATCCGGTGTCAACAAAGGAATACAAGATGACTATTTGAATCTTCGTAAGTGATTTCGGTTATGAAACACTTTCTTCAAAACGAAGTTTTGTATATCCAAACGAGTTGGACACGTCGGTAGTAATAACATCTCATTAGATTTCATAGACAACAAATGTATGTTTTCAAACTGATGACTGACAAAAATGAGGCAGCTACTCGAAATTAGTTGTTGGCACGGCGAAATAAGTGAAAGAATTTGTTTGTCGAAGGATATAATTAATTCGCTTATTGCAGTTGAGAAAAGTATAGATATTGTCATTGTAGAAAAAGTATTTGAAAATTTCGAACAACAGTTCATTCGGTTGGTCATGTCGTTTAAGCATCAGTGTATCGAAATAAAAAAAAAACGAATATATCTGACACATAATTATATTTTCATTTAAACCAATCGGATAGAGTAAGTATAGGTGTTGTGAGTCAATTCTCTATGCAACACTTCCGTCTTATTGACTTAGTCTTTGTAAAGTCACGTGTAGCAAACAGAGAGGAGAGAAAAGATTTTTTTCCTATTTACTTTTTTCTAAAACATTCTCGCTGGAGAAAAAATTGTCTGTTTACCAACGCCAACGATTGCGTGTGCGAGTCATTTCTATAAAAAATTCTCTGCCGTTCACACGTTGAAATATCCTGACATGACGCGTACTGAATTCGAACACTTACCCAATGAGTTAATAATTAAAATACTGAAATATTTAACAGCTGTCGATGCATGGTATGCATTTTACAATTTGAATACTCGTTTGGATGGTCTAGTGCAAGCCAGTAGTATCGATTTCGATCTCAGTTGTTGTCGTAAATCTCAATTCGATTTTACTCGTAAACATATTTTCAAGAAAATCGAAGTTCCATTTGCTGTTAAGTTTTGTCCACGACTGATGATAGAACAGACCGAGCAGCTTTTTTTTGAAACGAAGTCGAAGAACGTCTTACAGCTGCTGCAGTCGTTGACATTGATCAATTTAACTGATGACACGATCGATATAGTGCGTAAGAAATTAAGCGATTTCATCAATCTTCGTTCACTAACTATAATGCATGACTCCGAAGAATCGAAAGGAAAATTTGTCACCAAAATTATGAATGTTAATTTGCCTTTGCTTACTTATCTCAAACTTGGCTATACAGGTCGCCGTTCTGGTTTGGTTTTTGACGAAAGGGAACTGTATAAATGTCGTTTTAATGTTCCAAATGTTCAAGAATTTATTCTTCGAATTCCAATCACTTTCAATATTCTTTATCGTTTTTTATCGATGTTACCCCAAATAGTATCCATCGATGTCATTGTGTCAGCACGAAAAGGTGAAGAATACATGAATAAACCAAATGATTTCAGTCCTAGAATCAACTTACAGAAGTTAGTTATCACTATGAATGGAATAGTTCCCTTTACAACCATGGCGAGATTTCTTCGTAGCCTTCCACAATTGCACACATTTTGGTTTAGTGCATTTATTTGCAACTATACTGCCGGTGCTGAATATCAAGATGGAGCAATTTGGGAAGAGTTAATTCGTACTCACTTACCAAATTTAACTGATTTTCGTTTGAACGTTGGTCTTGAAGCAGCCGAAACTGCAACACCTTCATCTGTAATGCAATCTTTTCGCAGCAACTTCTGGACTGAAGAAAAGAAGTGGTGGTTTGTCGCCGATCGACCTGAGAACGATGTCGATACAATTGAACTTTACAGTTTGCCACCGCCAACTGACGATAAAATCATCTTTCGTCCAAATGTACCATGGGTTTCTAATTCTGCACTGCCAAACTTTGATAGTATACGAACACTGGAAATATTACCAATTTCAGAGCATCGGCGTAGCGCTCCAGGTAGTCCGCGTCAATATACAAACGCTACCACAATCCGCTCAGCCACAGTGTACACTTATAATCACAGTTATGACACTTCTATTCTGTCTAACTATGTAAATTTCGCGAAAGCTACAACATGTACCGTAGATAGTCCAAGGTTCTTCGCAACCCTACCAATGATGACCAATATCACGTCATTAGAAATTCGATGCTATGATGGAGACGTTGATTGCCTCAGGTCGCTTTCTTCGCCGTTACGCACAATCAAAAGATTGACTCTCAGCGAGTCTTTGAACTGCTACTTCTGCAATCTGTGTGATGTAGATTTATTCACTCGACTTTTTCCCAATTTGGAATATATTTCAATACGCATCGCAGAATTCGCTTGCTTGCCTATCCTGATGAACAGTCTGTGTCATTTGGTTTACGCGGTTATCCTCAACGACCCAGAAGCAATCGACATCGGTGATTTGAAAAAATGGCTATATAAAAGTGAAACAGGAATGCAGTATAAGTGGGCTTTAGAAAATACTCGATTAGACATATGGATAGACTAATGACTAGCTTGTCTCTTTTCGGCATATTTTTTTTATTGATATTAAAGTGCGAGAGAATAAAAAATGGAAAAAAAGAATACAGTGGTCTATTATGTTTCTGAGCTAAACTTCTTTAATAAGTATTCCGTATGTTCGGATGTCTTTAGGCTTTGGAACAACCCATATTTGTGGTGCTGTGGTAAACGTAACGCCGTCTGGATTCACTGCTACTTGAAGCATGCACATAAACTTTTTAGGTCCTTGCTCAGTTTTTAACTCAACTGTACCAACATAATTCTTGACGGGGAAAGTAGGATCTGGAGAACAATAAACACCTGCTCCATAAACATGAACTCTTGCTTCACGGAATCCATTTTTGTGAATACTCGCAGCTGCGTCAATCGCTGCGTATTGTTTATCAATATCACCGTCAGCTTTTCCGAAGTCTTGTGCTTCAGCACGACCGGTTCCATGATAAGCTTTGTACCAATTTTTTTCATGTCCAAACGGATCTAACCATGTATCATTTTCATATCTACCTAATACTTTCAATCCATATCGTGTCCATCCAACTGGTTGATAGTATGTCATCTTACGTCCAGGTGGTCCAACTTCTAATTTCCCTTGTTCTGTAAATGTTTTATTTCCACGTTCATCAAACTGCGATATATCGAATGATGGTCGAAATAACAATGGATGAATCTTTGCCGATTGGAATTGTTCGAATCGTTCTCGTAATCTGTCGGTAACAGTCGACAATGACTTAACTATGTTCTTTGGTAGATCATCCACGGTGTAGACAACACCGCATGACCCATAGAAGAAGTTCTTGATCTTGATCTGCTTTTTATTAACATCATGTGCTTTCGCCAATCGATCAACAATGTCATCAAGAACTGGATGCGACTGGTTTTGTTCTCGTGCACGTTCTAATGTTTGAACAACATTCAATCCTTGCTGTCCATCGTCAGCGTAAGTTTTGGTACCCAGGCCATGAACATTATTCAATTTTAGCACAAATGGTTTATCTTGAGTACTAAAATCAGCTAGATTACTGGATGCATCGTGAAGTTTCATATCTTGAGTGGAATCAAAGAATAGACATTCTTGATTTTCCTGTTCGAATAATTTGTATAGGACGTGACATACGGTGTCTGTTTTAGTTGCATCTCCGGACGGCGTTTTCGACAGAATTTCTTTTGTCAATCCTTCGGCTTTTTCAATACTTGACTTGTTTTTCTTTGTCAGCTCGTCGATTGTTGGATAATTATCGTAACATGCCTTCAGTTCAGCCTGTTTTTTCTTAAATTCAGCCATTTCACTTGGTTTGACTTCATCCCATTCTATGAAATGGAAAAGGATCATCTGACAATCTCTTCTTGTAGATTCTTTTTGATTTACTTTCAAGAACAACAGGGTTCAGGCAGATCGATCGACTTTTGTCTAAATTATCCATAGATAACGGCTGTTGTTTCTTATTACTTTCTTGAGCAACATCCTTTTCTACTCGTCGAAGTGCATCGACAAGCTCCACGTTTTCTTGCACAATGTTTTTCAGTAAGTGTTCAAAATACAAATTAGTCGACGCATGATCATCACTTGAGCGAGCAAATTGGATGAATGTTTGAGGTGATGGTGAGATTTTATTCAATCCCGCACATCGATCTAGCGCTAAATTGATATAGACAAGGTTTACTTACTGTTTTCCTCATAACCTTCTACTTACACTTCGATTTTTTTGTGCTTTTCACTAAGTAAGGTTTCGAACAATCGAAAATAAATATCGTTGCATATGATTGTTTCGAATCCGCTATTTGAGTGATCATATTCTTTAGCTTATTAGCAGAGTCTTCGAAATCATCTTTAGTTTCAATATCATTATCCCCGGTGGGTATAAGAAAATTAGTACCATCGACATGACATGCCTGACCACAGAAATAGATCAACACTAAATCATCTTCGCGAATCGCTGCAGAGAAAGCAACAAAACAGTTCGCAAATTCATGTCGTTGTATGTCATGGACAAGGGTCACTTTGAATCCGACGGATTTGAGTAGCGCACTCAACTCGTCCGCATTCTGTTTTGCATAATCTAATCGGTTTTCCGATAAATTGTATCTTCCGTTGCCAATGATCAAAGCTAACTTTCGGCGTTGAGATGCATTACTATTCGAACGTGCCATTTGTTATTCTGATCTAAAACTATAAAGATGCTGTGTTTATTAGTTTTGATTCTCATTTTCACGTCGTAAACATCTTTGTTCTCTGAAAATAGGGAGCCTCAGTCGAAGACGTGACGCATTTTAATTTTTGGTAGATGTGATTTTTTAAAATCATTCTTACCAGTCACATTGTTGATTTAACGCAAACAAGCAACTACCAATAGTTTCTTTCTGGCAGAGAGACAAACATCACTCAAATTCTTTTGGACGTGCAGTGTAAATATAAAGTAATGCATTATTCTTTCCAAATAACAGAACATCATAACATCCTACTTGATGGTTTTGTTGGTAAGTTGGAAGTTTTTTTTTCGGTGAAAATAGGAGTTCAAATGCATACTCTGGTTTGCCGTTATTGAGTTTCATTTTTCAGATTCGAATTGAAAATGTCAAACGTTGGTGATTTTTCATCTCGTCCAAAAGTAGCCCTCATTATTGGCAATCGTAATTATAAGCGAAAAGAAAATCGCGTGGAGCACGCGGCTAGCAATGCTAGACAACTGAGCGATGTCTTACAGGCAATTAACTTTCGGGTTACTTTGCATATGAATTTAAAAAAAGAGATGCTCAAACGAGTGGTTGAATTTGCCAAGACAATAGAAGATGGTAGTATAGTTTTATTCTATTACTGTGGTCAATGCCGTCAAGTAGACGGTGCGAACTATTTAATACCTACGGATGACGATCGAATGGAATCGGATATTGTTGCCAGCGAAATGGGTGCAAATGCTGCAAGTATATTGAGGAAACTAACCGACAAAAATGAATCTGGCGTGAACATTTTTATTCTCGATTGTGTTAAACAATACTTTTACAATTGCGAGTCACCATCAAACTGTATGTACTGAGCGAAATGAATTTATTATACAAAGAACATTTCCATTCCTTTTTATAGCTCATCGGCTACCGAAAGGTCTAAAGACAATAACTTCATCCAATCCAGTTTTCATTCAATTTGCTTGCGGTGCTGGCAAGATTGTTTCGGATAATCGAAAGAAAAATCAAGAAAATTTGTTTGCTGAACATCTACTAAACAACATTGATCGAGAAGATGTTCCTATCATTGACGTGTTTCAAAACATCGCTGAAAACGTTAGTCAGGAAAGCAAAGGTAAACAACGCCCATTCTTTATGAATGGATTACAACAATACGATCAAGTTTGTCTCTATACAATGCCAGATGGTACGTTTAAAACACTCCTTTATCAGATAGAACCGAATTGTTGTGTTTTGTTTTCGTGTAGAACAAAAAATCAAAGATTGCAACGTACGGATTGAAGAATTAAACGATGAATTGGAAGATATTGCTATTAAACAACCACAAGGAAGTGGTTCTTATAACCGTGATGCTAGTTGCCGTCTTGGTGAAATTCGAGCACTAATTCACAAGTTAAAAATCAGACGCCAAAATGCCATTCAGCGAAAATATTCCACTCTGCCTGCAAAATGACTTTCTATCTAGCGAACTATACGATCGAGAAAGGAGAGAAGCTAAACTTTTAATATTGTCTTAAATAAATTCACTCTTACTGATGAAAAAGCGGAAAACTCGTTCGGCGTAATATATGATGATATTTTTTTTCTCGACTCACATAAATATGTTCATATCGATCAAATCTAACTCATGACTGATCATTTCCTAAAAGATCAAAGCATGTATAAGGATATTATTCTTCGTTTTAACTTTAATTCGAGAACGACGATCAAGCCAACAGTTTAGCAGAGGACAATTTTGTTGTATAATAAGATCAACAGAAAAAGAAAAAGAAAGTATGATGACAAATAAAAAATGTTGTTATCATACAGAATGACAAAGAGATCTTTACATGTGTATATAAAAAAAGACGTTGTGCATTATAATCATTTTCTCTCTCTCGGTGTAACATGGACGGTTCGATGCGTAATCGACTTATTCAGTTAAATCATGAGCTTGCCCAACTTGATATTACCGAATTTTCTCCTCAGCTGATTGATTTATTCGACGAACTTATAAACTTATGTTCTGCAAAAGATGTCTGTTTATCGAAATTGAATGAGATGTTAGATACAGACGTGGAATTGAACGTTGCATGCGAAAATCTGCGTCGTTTGTTCGCTCTGTATGGTCTCTACGGTGAAATTCGAACAGCAAAGATCTGTGCTGTTGATCGAAATCATAATTTTACCGAACATTTCAAACATCGGAAAGGTTATGAAGAATTGATTCAATGTGAAATCAACATGTTACAGAATCTTGGTGTTTCTCTAGCGAAGAATTCGACGGATCACAATGCAAAGGGTAGTTCGTTAGTTACTAAAATTGCGTTTGTTGGTTCAGGTCCAATTCCAACATCTTCCTTGATTATCCTCAATGATCATGGACCGTTGGTCGATATTTATAATATTGATATGTGTGAAGAAGCGAATCAACTAGCATCGTTGATCAGCGAACAAATCTTACCTGCGGATCTTTTCAAACGTATGCATTTTATCACTCAAGATATCTGTGAAAGTCCATTACCAAATGAGGTTCGATCGATTCTGAGTCAATGTCAAGTGATTTATCTTGCTGCATATGTTGGTATAAATGAATTAGAAAAATTAGATATACTTCAAAATCTTGTTCGTCAATCGAATAGTGATGATTTGACGAGACAAACAAAACAATATTTCATTATTCGAACTGCAGATGGGCTGTATCAAATTCTTTTTCCTAAAGTTACGCCAGAAAAAATTGGAATGTTGAAAGATAGTGTTAGTGGAACATCTCTTTTTCAGGTCGAAAAAGTTCGTGAAACATTGGGCATTTACGGTATGGTTACTATTATCGCGACAAATATCAAATAACAGCAGAAATCAGATTTTCGTTTGATTTTCGAATAATAGATTCTTGTTTTTCTTTTTCATCACTAATTCGTTTCCAGAGAAGCATGCAAATCGAGTAATATACTTGAATATTCAATCAAACAACTTACGTAAGAAGGGATTAGTTAGCATATGTAAAAAGTATTGAAATCTGTGGAAGGAGAGCAAAGAATCGTATCAAACTGCATGGTCAACATGTAGAACTAGTTTATTTTCAATGAGAACAAACTCTGTATCGATAGACAATAGGCACGTCATGATCAGGTGGAGCAATGCCAAAACCAACGCGAGTCAGCTTTTGCTTTGGTACTGCTTTCATATCTTTAAATTGATATTCCATATAGCGCAAGAGCATGGCGACGCAAGTTTTGATTTCGTATCGTGCAAAGAACCGTCCTGGACATATACTTTTTCCACCTCCGAACGGCATATAGCCCGGTACGCTTTCGGCCTTTTTGTTTAGAAATCGATCGAAGATAAATTCATTGGCTCGTGGAAATAAGTTTTCATCAAAATGACTTACACCGGCATACCAGGCCAAGTTTTCACCTGCTTTTATATTGATTTGACGTCCGTCTTCTAAGCTTGTTTGTGCATCTCGACAACATTTTCTTAGCATAAAAGGTGCGCCAACTAATCGAATCGTTTCGTTAATTGCACTTTCCAAATACATACATGAATCTATCTGTTCCGGTGTCCAATAAGCCGTTGAAGAATCTGCTTCATCCAATGATATGAATGGTAAATGTACATCCATTTCTTGTTGGATGTGCTGCAGAGCTTTTGGATCTCGTAAAATATAGAACAATGACCAAAACACCGCGGGAATCGTATTGCCAAGTGATGCCCAGAAGAAGGCTGTTACAAGTTTACCAATTTCTTCCTTTGGAAGCCAATCCGAATGACTTTCATAGACTGCTAATCGATCTCGATAGAAGTTCGATGCGTTGTTTGGATCGCAATTGTTTTGCCACGATTTGCCCAAACTGGAGCGGGCATTTAATTCTTTACGTAGAAAATATGAATAAACCCATTTGGGAAATGGAATAAAAAAATAATGGAACTTATTATCGAATAAACGAAAATGTTGCTCCAGTGCCGCTGTATCAATATCTCCGAATAATGCCACAGTCGAAGGACGAAACAGCATACGATGGCTAAATTCGAGTAGACCAGTTGAGATCCATTTGGATGCAGAATGATTCTTTTCAAGAGATACTTTTTCGTTCCTCATCGCTTCATACATTCGACGAACAAATTCGACAACCATTGGGTGTAGACCATCACGATTTTTCAAATGTTGAACATACAAACGATGAGTGTCCGGATCAAGTTCAGGATGATCTATAGAAGAGGAGAATACTTCGTGAATGAGTTAAATGCTCCATACATACCCAAGAAAACAGAAGAAAATCCAAATATTTCTATGCCTAGCTCAGTGCCTGTAAATTTAAACGATGAATTTTTCACTATCGCCATCCAATCAGCATGCGACGGTATCATGATAAAACGTTGATTTGCTAATCGAATTCGAAAGCACGCACCGTACCGTCGATGGCATTCGAGTAACACTTTAGTTCGATTACGTGTAAATGCAATTAAATGTCCAATGATTGGATAGCTGCCATATTTAGCATAGGGAATGGATGAATCTTCATCAGGCTTGGAGCGAATGAAATAAATTACGAATAAAGTAACAAGAACCAAAAGTAGACTTTCGATTAAACCGATCATTGTCACGATATGTGTTTAAAGATCTGTTATATATGACTTGTCGTTATAGATGTATTTATATACGAACTAAGATGATATCTTGTATTTCTTCGCCTTACTGTTTCATGACACCTTTAAAGATCGAGAATGATAAGAAGCTTAAAAATGTAGTTTCTCTGATTAGAAATGAACTTCAAACTTAAACGTCCTTTCAGGATGTTGCAAAGGCCCAAGCGCGAAAATAACAATGCGAGTTATGACGATCAGCCTACAGTATACATTAAGGTAAAGATAACGCAACTTCTTTTACTTGCATTTTTCCTTTCACTCTTAACCAGATGTAATTGATACGTGTTTTTCTTATCTTATCATTATACAAAAAATTAAAGTGCAATCACATCCCATTTTTGAATTGTATTCACAACGAAAAAACAATGGAAATGACTGCAGATTATAACGAATAATCTCATCCGCAAATGGCAACAGTTAATTCAATTGTTGAATGTATTCGTGAAGCCATCAGTGCCTTACGTTATTGCTAATTTTGGCTCTGCAATTGGATGTAATTCAATTCATGTGATAAAAATTATCGTTTAACTTCTAACTCAGTTATTTGATTTTTCTCGAAGAACTGTGATAATAACAAAGAAGCAATGAAATGCTGAACATGCGTTTTCTCTATCACATACTGCGTAAAATGGCGAGAAAGGAAGGAACTGTAAAGCTACATACCGTGTTTCAGATCATAAAAGATTTATCAGCTCAAGCGTCCTTCCAGAAGTATATGCGTTTGGCCGATGAATAAATTTGACTCGAAATGGTATTTAAAACACGAACTAGCGGACACTTCGCCTGCAAACAAAGAGGAGTTTATGTTCCATTATAGAAGATCGGCCCAGTTGCAAGGCATTTGTATATCTTTGTCAAGGGGAGCTCTATGACGATAGATGTGAAAATCATCGAAATCAAATTGATGTTGAATTTAGTGACGAAACTATCAATGAAACATCAAGGGCTAAGTATGTTTGAAAAAAGTCAAATATAATTAAAATTCGATGTGATTATGTCACTCAACCTATCATGTTCTTCTCCTTATAGTCTATCGACGTTTGTCAACAGATGAGTTATTTAATGAAACTTTTCGTGTCAAATATTGTCCACTACTATGTTGACGAAATCAACGTTTAATTTGTTCTGATTGTGTGTATGTTCGTAGTCAAGTGTTTTCAGTTAGTCTTCTTTCAAATTAGCCTTTTCACAAATCATCAATGGCTGGCGGAGTCTTCCTCGTTGTAACAGAATGTGAAATTTAACAAGCTGAAAAGTCAAAGAGTAGCCAAAGGAAAGTTTAGCAATTCACACTTTGATGTTGACGACATAGACATAGATGAACAATACGCCTAGTGTTTGATTGAATATTCGTCGTTAATGAGTATTTACAATTCATTTCTTAGTCTCTTTTACTTCTTCGTTCCATTCTTTTCATCGTCGTACTCCTGGCTCATTCGTGTGCGACGATTCAGCTGAATTTTACTTATAAACATCATTTGATAAGGTAGTACGTGTTGGTGGCTTTACCACGTTTAATCGTGCCCTTTCGCAGCGAGTCTATGAAATCAACTTGAAATTTTTGGTTCTTTTTGTTTGCTTATCTAATCTCATTTTTACCGCCAATGATCACATTTCTGATCTGTGTTTTACCATCTGAGAGATACAAAAAAAGAATTTGATGGCGTCGTCAAACGAACTATTCGACGAATGCAAGGAAATCTGAATTATAGGTAAATATTTTTTTAAAAATTACAGTTCTTTCGAGAGCTAATGTCACTGTATCATGTTACATATAATAGCCGAATGAACTGCCGTACTGTGGGTATCCGTAACCACCAACTCCTGGTGCTCCGCCAACAATTTGACCATAAGATGGGTTCGGATTTCCTCCCAAATAATTATCCAATGCTTCACCAAGTGGACCTAAGCGATATGGCAGAGAACCGTTGAAATCGATTTCGAAAGGTTTAGTTTTATACTAACTGTTCAATCCACCAGGAACGTTGCGTATGATCCACATATCAGACGCATATTCGCGATTGGCATAGGCAGCATACGCACTATATGGATTCATAGCTAATCCTTCTGGTCAATAGGTAAACAGTCATGTACACAATACTTTTTATATGCACATAGGAAAAACAACAACACATGACGTCATTGATATGCATGATTCCCTCATATTTTCGTTTTCTTCTTCTTTGCAAATACCCCATTGTTATGAAAATTAACGATCACGCCTTTTTAAATGCGCAAATACAATTTATGTTTATTATGCGATACATTTTATTCTATGAATAGAGGCTTGAATATACAAATTTAATGAAGAAAGCAATTGTTTTCAGTTATGTCTATTGTTTTTCTTCATCGATGATTCGCTCGATAGCGTCATGCAAATATTGTGGTGATTTTACCAGAACAATTTTTGTTTTGAGGGCCAACACATGAACAACATGCAAAATAAGATTGAACCAATGAAGGATACACCACGATCTGCTCGAATACCTTCTTCTCGATGGTGTGCTGCTTGGTCAAAACCATTGACGTAAGCGCCTACCATAGAAAAATCAGATTAACATCTAAATAACGTTGAAAGAGTCGCGCAAACCGAGAGTGATCACATCCCATTGCTTCTCTTTCGATGCATTGATAAACTCTTGTTCACTTTCCTTCGTGTCATAAATATCCAAGATCCTGGTATTTTTCTATCCCAATGACGTTAATTTTTTTGAATATCTGGTATCGGTTTTTTTCCTGCACCAACATCTAAAATTTTTAAATCTTGCACAACTACTTTCGATGCAAGTGTTCTGCTTCGCACATATCCTGGCATAAAAAGATTCTAGCGATTGAAAAAAGATCGTGCAGTTCGTTATTTTGCATGAGAAGCAAAACTTGCTCCACTGAATAACCGGCGGGCCATGTTTTGCGTCTTGTCAATAGAAGAATAATGAGTTTTTCGCTTTCCATTCACCCTCGATTTGTCTTATTCTTTGCCAAATATCCACACTCACTATTGCATAATAGTCTATATTTCATCTCTTCAACGTCTGACGGCATTTACGTATGTATGACAGACGTCTATATCACACTTTGGAAGGTCATATGTTTGTATATCGGTAAATATACGACATATAAATACGATGAGGTAAAATTGTCAAAGAGTGTCGTGTGGTTCATTTGGTAGTCATCAACATATCAGTAATAAACATGTCATATTCAACTCTCATACAGAATTCTCAACGTAAATTTTCATTCAGAAAGGTGGTGAATAAACGTATGCTTCAACATTTGATCATTGCTTGCTGCACATCATGACCAGCTCCGTTATGTATTGAAACTCGAAATGATGGTCTTAAGCTGGATTTGTAGTATTTTAAACGACACTCAACTGCGACAAAAGTACGTTGAACTAACCAAATCAACATTTAAGTCAAGTAAAACATGTCGTATGGTTATGAACACAAGATACGATAAGTCAAGTGTTAAGATCACTGTTGATTTTTATGCAAATTCGATGATGGTCGAATCGAACTAAATCAATTGCATTTAACTACTACATTAGCTGTTTATGAAAATTATGCGGAATCAAATATTGTAATCATATGCGACACTGACTTATGTAATGAATACTATTTCTATGCATATCTTGTCAATAGTCGACTAGATTGACTATTTGAAATGAGACGCGACCTTATAATAATGCTCAATGGAATATTTGATGAATGTTCACCTGCTTTGAAAGGTATATTACCATATTGTGACAGTACTCTTAACAGTTTAGTAACGAACTGTAACGACTATCTTTGTTATTACCTCAGAACATTTGATTGGAAGCAAGACTACTATTGTGGTGCATCTCAACTCAGATTTTGTGCTCGGCGACGCCAAATTGAGTACATAATCTTACCCACTGTAAGGTGAAAGTGTCTTATTGCAATATTTTTATGCCAGTAGATTAAGACACGAGTGATAGTCCTGTGTTCAACTGCGTATCAATCTGCCGGGGAAAATCTTGATAAAATAGATTCATTGTATTCGATGTTTATAAATGATTAGTTAACTTCATATAATATACGGCAAGTCTTGTCTTGTATACCCGGCATCGAGCAGAATTTGAGATGACATGCACTGTTTTCAATTATATGATTGTTCTTATTATACGACGTTTGAACTGACTTCTCGTCTCTTTTGTAACACCCATCAGTTAGAATTTAACGGTTTACAACTAGAAATTCAACATAAAGTTACGCCGGAAACAAGTGAAAATCCTTTATTTGAATATTCCTACGTTTGTAACAAGAACAAATACAATGGTTTCGACACTGTAGACCGAATCAAAGTTTATATCACGGACATTTACAATATTTCTCACTGGATCAAATTCTCGATCATATTCCCAGCTACAAACAAAAACAATTCATTAATAACTTCGACAACATGCACATCAACTAAAACTGAACCAACAAAATGTGCAGAAAATCTGTCCGGCAGGAACATAACTCGTATGATTATCATGCCTTTGATGTTTTATTTTAAAAAAGTTCACTGAATGAAAACAAATCCGGTCATAATACTTTATTGATTTGTAGCTTGCGCGCTTGATGCAACAATATATGAAATCGGTTGAGCATGTGGTACAGGAAACTGTCGTTGCGGAGTGGCAACTTGTTTAATCACGTACATAGTAAAGAGCGTAAAACCAGTGGTAATACCTGCAAGAATCGCTGCTCCGATTATACAGGTATATTCTGTTTGGTTGCAGTGAGTCGCTGATGAAGTCTGTGGACATACTTTAGACCAAGTGTTGAGTATAATACTATATGCAACTAGTTTTCGGGTTAGATTATACAATTGAAGCAAAAGGAAGATAAATATTGGTATTACAGCATAGACTTGATGGCGACACACAAATATCAAAGCAATACCAAGAGTGAATGGATAAAGTCCAAGAATTTCGTAGCCATAGAAAGACAAGTAGTCACGATTACTAAAAAAGCAAAAGCACAATAAATTCGCAACTTTGTAAATCAGTTTACAGTCCATCTTCTTTTCCAAGTATTGCGCCTTCGATACCCATCGAGACAGCACCAATAATAATGAAACTTATACCTAGATTTTGTAACTTAGTCGCTTGAGTAGATGGAATAAAATTAAACAAATACGCCCAGGAAGATTCGTGCACATTATCATCAACACGCGGAGTGTAGTTCGGTGGTGGAAAATTGTACATGATTATTCTTTTTGCTTCGCAAAAAAATCTTTAACAATAGCGAAATTACATTGTGTTGCATCTGGGTTTTTTATTTCGATAGATAAATTATTATCTTTAGATAACAAATGATTCAAGAAACGTCATTTTGATATAAGATTTTAAAAAATGGAGTAAAAATCATGAAATAAGCACAGTTTTCATTATGAACAATATTATATGCAATGAAATAAGTCTGACCCATGTTATACATCAATCTTGTGGTACTTCTGCGTCCTGAACATTAGCGTTCGTGTACTTGTAGCTCGTGTTACGATTTGTCTTTAAAATACATATCAACGAGATCATTATAATCAGGCATGGCAGTATGATAAGTCCTACGGTGATCCATAATATAGTCAAAGGTATTTTCTTATCCGGAAGATCGAAAATAACTACTGTATTGTTCGTCATCTGATAGAAACATGTATAATTATGACCAATCTGAAATATAGATAGTTGTAACATTCGTCATGCTAGAATATTCAATACAATCTGTACCTGGGATTGTTCGTGTCTTCTTAGTTTATCAAAACTAGTGTACACACTTGATACAGACGTTTTATTGTTATCAACCAGGTATGTGGCATATAGTTTTTCATCGAAACATCGATCGGTTGTACATTGATGTGAATGGCAATGTACGCAATGATGCTGATATGCTGTGTAATTCAACAAATGACAAGTTGTTCTCATGTACGTCGTTTCCACGTTTCGATGATTGATAAACAAGTATGCAGCATAGATGTTCCACAAAAAACCTGGAATAAACAGTACAATTAAAAATGTATATCCACAGCGTAAGCTTGACTGAGCCAACGACCGAGATTCAGTTGTGTGGGTGTGATTCATGTTTTCATATGTGTAGTATTCAATTTTCATCAATGTTTATATAGATATATTTATGTATAATCGTTATTACTCATTCAATATGGATATCGAATCAGACGGTACTTTCCAAGTATAATATATATGTTTATAGTAGAGAGAGCGAGAGAATACGAAGAAAGTGAAGCATGACTCGATGATTTATGCTTCCCTTCATGTAGTCATTTTTCTCGTACGGGAAAAATAACGTTAAGAAGTAGGTAAAAATCTCGTATCATCAAATATACACTTGCTCTTCATTCACTAACTAACTCGAAGAAAGTAATAACATTAACTACAATGACTAATATAACAGATTTGGCCGGTCGATATGTCACTGACGGTGAAATCGTGTGTCTATCAGTTAAGCGATACAGTTGGAAGTTTTTGCTACCAATTACATTAGATGAGTAGGTGAAATCAAACGATATAGAGACAAATTGGTCATTATTCTGCTCGTTACAATAAGAAATTTCCAAGAAGCATCGTCGATTCAGTTCTATTGCTTCAAGATAAGTACGATAAAGCGGTTAACTTTTTTCGATAGGTATTGAAAAGTATCAAAGAGAGCAATTCAATCTTGTCTGCCTGGGAAGTGCTGAAAGGTATGACCGAATCATTTTGTTTCTACAAAATGTCTATAATCTTCTACGAAATGCATTGCACAGTTAACGATATAAAACCTGTAAAAAATCTATTAAATTTTTGACGTTTCCATATTGGAAGAAGTCAATATCATAATTAATTAACTTTTCTCCAACAATACAGCATAAAGCAAAGAAAATGATCAGAAAAGGAATAATAATCCGTGTCACACATATCCATATACAATACAGTGATGAGTGGAAGTGCAGCGGACGCAATGTCGCGGAAATGCTGTGTAATTTAACAACTATAACGTGTTGTTTTCGTATAGATTGTTTCGATATTTCGATCTTTAAGAAATTTGTTTGGCATGAACGAAGGCTATTCATGTAGGCGTATTCGTTGATGTTGTCTACACGTTAAACAATGTCGATTTATTGACTAATGACTTTCTTATTTTGTATTGACGTCATTTATCTATTTTTTCATCTGGATGGTAGAAATCTAAACATCACATGTACTTTTACGCGACTGCGCATGCCGAAGTGTCATACACGATCAATACATTGAATTTGGAAATAATCTCACATGCGTAATTCAAAAGGTGCGACAGCGGAAGTAAAAATCGAATCCGCACACTATATTTGACAGCATGATTCAAGCGAAAAAATTGTTTGAAAACACGAAAATTTGTTTTTGTTTTTGTGTATACATTCAAGCATGTCATTCTTCACGTGTTCCCCTACTCGAGAACGCTTTTTTCATCAATCGTTACATATACAGAAATGAATAACAATCATCAAAGTTTTGCGCAACTTTGGAAACACGCTGAGAAGCAAGGATGGCGTTTAGTTTCGATCAATGACAATAAAGATTTACGTACGGTCTTTCCGCCCAAGAATCACCCAGCAGCGAGAAATCATTGGGCGGCAACTTATACAAATGTTAATTTTAAAAACAAAATCGTATCTGTACCACATTGGTTCTATTCCGAAATGCGAAAAACTCCGATCTATAAACTCAACGACTATTATCGTCGAACAAAACAGAAAGTACAGCATATGTTGAAGAAGTAAAGACGATTTTTTTGTTTATAAAGGAAAAGAAAAACAAAAGATTTAATGTAGTTTCCTTTTGTGATGAATGGTTGCACACGATGTCAAATTGCTCCTTGAAATCATTCGACTATTTTTCAATCGATAGGATGTCTAAAAATAAAGAGAGTGCTGGAATACAGATCGACATTGATGCAATAGATTTTACACAAGCCGATGACGAAGAAATTAATCATGTAAAACAATTACGTTTATTGCAAGTGAATCAACGAGATGTTTTGTATCATGGAACTATTGAACACACGAGAATTATTGATTTACTACAATCATTGAATAGTCGGTATATTGTTATTAATAGATATCAGGTCGATTGAGTTAAATTGGAAGATAAAGTCAATGTTAACATTCGTATGTCGATCGTTTTGATGCTCTTCGCGATGACTACGCGCATCTAATTAATCAACGATCTATAGCACTTCCAAAGAATTCCTTCTTCTTGAAATTAGTTCGCTATGAGAAAGATTTGCATAACCAGAGCAAAACGATAGTGAGGCGGATTTCTATGGGCGAATCCGAAATGCCTTTCGACATTGATGAAGTAAAGTATTTTTAACGTATGAAATAATCCTGATAATGCGAATGACGTATGCGATGAAGAAACGCAAGTAAATGACGATTATGGTACGTACATATACGTAGATTTTCATCGATCACGTCATACATTATATGCATTGCAGTTAATGAATATGATTTCACTTGTCTTATTGAAGTTTGACTTGATAGACATTAAATAATCTGTATTAGACACAACAGTCTACCCACAAGTCTTGATACAACTATATCGGAGCTTTATCTTGGAACATCAGTGCCAGATGACGAATTTTAAAGTATTCTTTTCGTAATCGAACTAGATCTACCGGTTAGATCGCTTCCGTTTGCTGACTTTTCAAAAATCAGTTGGTTTTACTGATGCCTAGTCTGAAGTTCAATCTAACAAGAGATAATCTTCATTATAATACTAATCGGAAAATCTGGCTTGTTAAAATGAAACTCGTCTCTGACGCAATCGAAAAAGATGATGAACAAATATTCGAAGATTTTAAAAAGAGAAGACAGTTCAAACATTACGTCGAATTATTAACGGACGCATTGACGGACTTTTACGGTATAAGCAGATCTGTTTTACAAGTCGTGTTCAATGAAATCATTCGATTATATCCAATGGAAAAGTGGATCTTCACAGTTAAAATGTCGATTTTGACTTCAATTATTCTCTTACGTTGACGAATTGGAATGAAACAGCGACGATGCCCAATTAAATACTCATGTAGTTCTGGGTCGTCTCTATTCGGATGTTGGTATGATCGACTTCATGAAACTAAAGCCGACTCTTCCTGCTCGAGAGAACTTTGATCAGGCAATACATTACTTTCAATAGGCAATAGATTATTGGTTAACAGATTCTGAAGAGATGAGCATCTATGAGATATACTGTACCGAATATATGGGTACGAATTACAAAAAGCCAGTGTAGAAATGCGCGGTTATACCGGTGAAGTAGACAAAAATGAAATCGCAGCTAAGTTAATAAATGATTTGGAATTATACTTTGATAAAATGCTCAAACATTATGCAATCAACGATGAACGTATCGATACAATTGCAAAACAATGATGTGGTTATTATGAGCAGTCCGACACGGAATTATGTTCGGTGAAAAAAGTACTCACAGGTTATGAAAAGGAAGATGCAACACAGCGAATTCGAAAAAGATAATTAAAGTATTAGCAAACACCATTGCCATTTATCTGAAATTTAAAAATGATCATGACAGCGCTTCGTCGTATGAAACAAAACTAGAAGAAGATAAGGACGAGGATGAAGCAGCTGATGATCTCGCTGTAGATCATCGAGATTGTGAAGACAAACAAAATCATACACTGATGTATTGTAGATACATCAAAAATGTTTTACTGTGCATATCCTTCTTCATTATAGAAAATTAATAATTACTTTACTAAACAAATATACGTTAATGTATATATATAATTTCCCCAACTAATAACTTAATAAAACCACGCTGAAAATTATTTTAATCTATTTTTCAAGAATCAGTTTGGCAATATGTCGAAATCAATTATTTAATTTTTCTGCGATTCTATCCAATATAGGTTGTATACGGGGATCAATAACTATTGAGGGATCCGTGCCGAGTCGATTCATAGTGTAGGCGAATGAAAAATTTTTGGAAGGTGCCGCAAAACCGATGCTTCCACCAGCACCTAAAAATAACGAAAATGCAATCAGTTGATCATTTAGTTAGCTCGTACCATGATGACCAAAGACATCTGAACCGAATGCTGGAAGGAATCGATTGTATCGATGAAAACCCATACTAAATGATGAATAATATTGAAATATCAAATCGATCTCATTCGATGGTGTATTTGATTTCGTTGCAAGCTTCAGAATATCTTCATTCAGCATTCGGTGTCCTCGATTGTTCACGACATCGCCACTAAACACAGCATACAGTCGAGCAATCGACCAAGCATTCGACATTCCAATAGCAGCTGGTATTTCTGCCTGATGTATTGCAGGATCATTCCAGATGCTGAACAAATTCAGCATCGTTTCATTCAATATATTTTTTGTTTCCAGCTGCGCAACTACGGGAGATACGCGATATTGCATGTTCAACGGTAAACCAATGTAGAATTCTATTTGTGCTGGTATTGCTAATTCATCTTGAATGAATTGTCCGAATGATCTCTTCTTCGGATCAACGCGACGGACAAGTTCGCCTGCTAGCCAACCGTATGTTACAGAATGATAGCCATGTGTCGTTCCCGGTATCCATTCTGGTTTTTGTTTTTCTAATGAATGAATCATCGCTGTCCAGTTGGCATATTGAGGAATAGGTAGCGATGGATGCGGAAGACCTGCACGATGAGACAAAATATCCGCAACCGTGGTATTCTCCTTTCCATGTTGTCCGTATTCAGGCCAATATTTTGTTACCAACGCCGAATAATCGAGTAAACCTCGTTGTACACAAAGTGCAGCGGCCATCGCCACAACACCTTTCGTCGTTGAAAAAACCAATTGTAGTGCACCGTCATGATACGGTATCGTTTTCGATTCATCGAACCATCCGCCTCTAAGATTGACGGCTAAATGACCTTGATGGTAAATTGACACAGCTGCACCTAGATCTTTCTCGTCTACGAAATTTTGCATAAATAAATCTCGCACAAATTCCCAACCAGGCGCAGTTGTTCCATAAATGTTATAGTCAATCGGATGAGAATATGAGACAATTGCAAAACATACAATCAAAATTTCTAGCGAATGCATCATCATTTTCGTTTCAAATTATACGAGAAGAGTAAATATACACCCTTTCTTTATGAATACCGAAAACTGGATTAATCATGACGCTGCTATGTAAATGTCGCTCACATACACAACGATGCGAGCATAACAAAAAAACAAAGCGTTAATCCAGTGGTAGTCGATTTGATGACAATTTGTTTTTAAATAAATAAATGTTAATGATTTTTATCAGTAGAGTGAATTCAATTTGACGCAATGATCAAATATTAACGAAACAATATTGACAAATATGTTGAATTTTGTGTTTGAAACAAATTTTTTGTCCTTAACATTTGTTAACCAGGCCTCTACTCGATTAGACGATGCAAAATGCATTTTCTTCATAAAATCTTCATTGGATTTCTCATACTATGGAATACTGACGGTTACCCATACCGTCATCCCGGGTATGGTTCACCTTATCATCCTTCCTACGACAGAGGGTGTGAGTATCTTGCTATTTCATTAATATAGTACAATACATATTTATTTAAGTTCGTTGGGAGTATTCTTCATCTTATAGTAGATATCGATGTTTCTCGGGTGATTCGGTAGTGCGCTTGTCTAATGGAACGTATAAACAAATCGACCGCCTTCAGTCCAGTGATCAAATTCTGACGAGAGAGCACTCGAAAGTCATCACCACGGAAATGATAATGATGTTAGACAAGCACACTTCGGGAAAAGGTATAGAATGCTCAGGTGCATTTCAATGTATGTCTTATTCTGTTATCTTTAGCGTTATTTTATACGTTAATAACGTATTCTGGCCATCAGATCAGTCTAACAGAACACCATCTAATTCCGATTGTCGATTCAAATGGAAATGACACATATTTATTTGCTAAACATGTTCAAATTGGAGATCAACTCATAGTTTTAATCAATGACACATTGGACTATTCTCCCGTGATGAACATCACTATAGAAATGAAAAAACAATATTATGCTCCATTGACAATGACCGGGACTTTATTTGTCAATGATATCTTCGCTAGTTGTTTTGCAAATGTTCGTGATCATCGTTTTGCTCAGTATTCTATGACGCCATTTCGTGTTTACTATAAACTTGCCCGATATCTTTCGATTGCTGAACCGTTTCATACTCACCAAAGAGAAGGAATACATTGGACGGCTCGAATGATGTTATATTTTGCACGTTATTTTCGCGCTGATGTACTTATTCTATGATTCAATCGTAGATTCTTTTTTGTTTGATATTTCACACTGTATTAAATCTCGCTGCTATAAACCGTTTCATTCGATTTCTCGGATTTTTGTCTACTACTACGCACTTTATTCGTTCTAAAATCAAAACAAAAACATCAGTTCATATGTGCGGTCAGTTACAGTTTGGTAAACTTGGTAAAATTTGTAAGAGACAAGCCAGGTGTTCTTTTTGCATTAAACGCCATCGAATGTTATCCAATATAACAAACTTTTTCTCGTCCATATAGACTCGATAGATGAAATAGTTCTCTCTCAGTTTCAAAAATGTTTCAATTTGATTGATTGACAAAGGAAATGTATGTCGGTTGTATGTCCGTGTTGTTTTTACTTCGATATAAGATGTCTTGCCATTTTTCTGCAAGACGATATCATACGGTAGATGACTTTCTCCAATTTCATTCAACCATTTGACATTCACTGAGCTCGAATGATCACGATGTTCGTTCAATAAATATTGATAAACCATTTCCTCTCCCACACGTCCGGTATACAAATCAAGTTCATCGCATTCTCCAGTGATATTTGGTATACTATGAAATAATCCTGGAGTTGAATTTGCTACTGATGATATATCAACTAATTGAATGTGATCTAAAATAGATGTTGTTGGCTTTCTCCACATCCCTGTCGGTGGTCCTGCATATTCAAGTGGCAGTTGAGCAGGTACTTGCATAAAGCCTAAAAATCATTACAAACAATGATACGTGCGCTCGAACGTTTTGTCATTAATATTTCATTACCGTGAAAAGGAAATGGATAGCTCACTGTAGGTATTGGATTCGTCGATTTTAAACTATTTGTAGTAGATAGTGTTTCTTTGGACTGAATACTTTTTGTCTGCTTATTCTTCACTGACCGAGAAGGCTTGTTCGAATTGGATGTTTCAGCTGCCAATGGCACCTTTGTTTGGATGACGGAATCTGAGAAATAGAAAAAAAAATCAAAAGTAACTAACCTCCTAGTATTCGCATGCATTGAGTTACCAGTTTTGGGTAATGATTCTAAGATAATAATATCTTTTTCGGTCGGTATTTCCACATCATTGGACGTAAAATGTTTCCGAATCTCTTCGATTGTTCCTTTTAGCAAAAATGTTTCAATTTGATTGATTGACAAAGGAAATGTATGTCGGTTGTATGTCCGTGTTGTTTTTACTTCGATATAAGATGTCTTGCCATTTTTCTGCAAGACGATATCATACGGTAGATGACTTTCTCCAATTTCATTCAACCATTTGACATTCACTGAGCTCGAATGATCACGATGTTCGTTCAATAAATATTGATAAACCATTTCCTCTCCCACACGTCCGGTATACAAATCAAGTTCATCGCATTCTCCAGTGATATTTGGTATACTATGAAATAATCCTGGAGTTGAATTTGCTACTGATGATATATCAACTAATTGAATGTGATCTAAAATAGATGTTGTTGGCTTTCTCCACATCCCTGTCGGTGGTCCTGCATATTCAAGTGGCAGTTGAGCAGGTACTTGCATAAAGCCTAAAAATCATTACAAACAATGATACGTGCGCTCGAACGTTTTGTCATTAATATTTCATTACCGTGAAAAGGAAATGGATAGCTCACTGTAGGTATTGGATTCGTCGATTTTAAACTATTTGTAGTAGATAGTGTTTCTTTGGACTGAATACTTTTTGTCTGCTTATTCTTCACTGACCGAGAAGGCTTGTTCGAATTGGATGTTTCAGCTGCCAATGGCACCTTTGTTTGGATGACGGAATCTGAGAAATAGAAAAAAAAATCAAAAGTAACTAACCTCCTAGTATTCGCATGCATTGAGTTACCAGTTTTGGGTAATGATTCTAAGATAATAATATCTTTTTCGGTCGGTATTTCCACATCATTGGACGTAAAATGTTTCCGAATCTCTTCGATTGTTCCTTTTAGCAAAAAACGCAGATTTTTGTCAAAATCTTGTATATTTAATAATAGACATAATTTATTTGGAAGATCAATAAAGGTCGTTTCGCTATCCCACGGCCGTGTAACATACAGTTGTTTATGTTTGCTATCAAAATAAACATTTGTTTGTCGAACGAAATTTTGATGATAAAACAATTGTAAACTATCTGATTCGATAAACGCATATTCTTGTTGAATTTTTCGGTCAATTGTGCAAATCGCATCAGCGGATACAGCTGAAACTTGAAGCCATTTTTTCAAGAACGGTGAAATCTCAATCAGTTTTCTTCGAAAATGTTCAGCAGGAGAAGATTTAGCATCGACAAGTTTCAAATCATTCATTTTGATTTGTTTAATATTGAACAAATATAAGAACTCTTTCAGATGCAGATTATTTCTATTCTTTGAATCAAGTTGTAAACAAGGTATAGCATCATTCAAACCATTGTTTGCTCGACTATCTTCCATATAAAGATATATGTCACTCGCTAACTTCCATTGCATATTTTCGGTGAGAAGATAAGATGATTTGGCTCGTCTTTTCGCTTGTTGACGTTCGTCAGATGACCAATAGTACATTTCTTTTAATATATGAGAATATACGTTTTGCACACGATCAAGATTTTCATTTAAATTGTTTTCGTCAGAACGAATGCTGTCGAGTAGATCGAAATAATCAATGACTGAAAGTTTGCTTTTGAAATTGAAAATCTTCTGCCAGTGTATTTTCTCTTTTGGTAGTGATAACGAAGTAAATTTCATGTACTTACTACATAAATCGGTTAATTCTTTACTATCAACAAGAACATTACTGGCTAGTTCACATGTTGTCGCAGTCGTCGGTATACACTCGACATTGTTAACAAACCAGCTGATGTAATCAGCATTGTCTTGTAATGTTCCGACGATGGCACCTGGTTTGTTCGAATGTCCCCAATAGATGGTAATCTTCTTTGTTAATATTTCTGCTTGAATATTTTTAGTTACATATGGCCAGAAGAAATTTGCAAACACGTAGTTATCTAATGGAGAAGTCGAATGAGAATAAAGTTGAGTTATATCTTGATTTGTATTCTTACTTTTTGTATGTTGCATAAATGAAATTGTTGTCAATCCTAAGAAAGCATCGACAGTATGTCTTCCATTTGGTGAAGTTGCTGAGAGATATTTCTCAAAGAAACCATATCCAGCCGCTTCATACGATGTTAGTTTTCGATCGAAGGTAATCGGACGTAATTCCTCTTGAATTCCTAATGCAGCAAAGAATTGCCTCCATTCAGCTAAATTTTCATTAGTGCAGTTGGCACTCGAGATATAGTCGAAGGACAAAAATTTGTCTTCCTTTTCAGCTAAGTAATCTTCCAGCAGTAATCGTGGTTCGTATTGGTCAGAAAAAAAACATTGTTCAGCTGCGACTAATGTTCCTCGGGTTGTTAATAGTTTCAGCTTTTTCAAGTCTTCAAGTTCTTTTTTCGTGATCGCGTTCTTTCGAAATAATGTAAATAGGATCTTTATAGTACTAATTGCATTTTTCAGTGTAATGTACGATGAAGCGTTTGGAATAATTGTTTTGCGGAAGTATGCTAGATCAGTTCGTTCTTCAACGCCGATGTTCTTCAACCATTGTTTGATTTCTCTTTGATTTTTCTCATTCAGCCAACTGAAGATGGATTTGTGTAGAAATAAATCGTCAGAATCGATTGTTCCACTATCACCAATTGTCTCTGCCGGAAAATAAATCGATTTAATCGATTGTAATCGATTATGTTGATCCATTAGAAATGGAATTTTCTCGATTGGATCATCAGTATTCTTGGTACATCTTCTATAGAAGTACTGAATCATTCGTTTATTGTCTTCGATTGAAAAGGTTTGAAGAAATATATCTGATTTGAGCATATCGATACACTCAATCCAAGTAAATTCTTTCACACCAATTCGGCTCAAATTCGAATCGTAATCGGTGAAAGGATTGGTAGCATACTCTGAAGGACTTTCCTCGCTTTCGACAATGTATTGACGCATTGCATTGAGATTAATGAACGATGGTTGTTTGGACATTGAAGTTGAATCCATAATGACTTCATTTACCTGAAAAATAAAACTGAGAATGTACGACAATCTTCAACAGCCTATAACATGAGTCCATCGGCTTCGAAGTGTTTATTTTAGCGTAAACCTAGCACTTTTTACACAGTCAGAAGTGAAAAATATGCAGTTTGAATCACGTGGATTGTTCTTTTTTTTCTACCGCTTACTTTTAATAGTTCATTTTTTCGATTGAGAATGAAATTGCATTGTTTAATACTCATTTCAAATGATTTGTTAAATTCTTCCGATAGAACATTATCTGTTAAATTTAATTTCGACGGGATAAGTTGATAAGCTTGACAACGAAATTTCTTCTCTCGGACTAACTGTTTAATCCATTGAAGAATTTGATCGCCTATTACACTAAATAGCCACTGATTCCAAATTGAATCTGTAAAGAAATGTTTCAAAGGAACAGAAATACGAAGAAGTTAACCTGTATGAATTTGTTCTCGATTAACGTTGGTGAGAAAGTTTGCGTTTATCAAAACGGGAAATTTGTAGTCACGAATGTTTGTTGGCAGGTAAGAAAATAGAATTGAATCTTGTTCACGAAGTTTTTCGATACCGCCAGCAGCATTCGCTGTTGAATCTTTGTACTTAGCTGCTAAGAACATTTCCGCTTGTCTTGTAAATCGTAACTTGTCTGGTGCTTTCGCATCATTCGACAGTCGATCGATAACATCGCTCGGAATGTCGATTTCAGAACGCTTGATGATCCATTGTGAATCAACGATTCGATTGATATAGACTTTTTTCAAATCATGACCTAAATCACGATCAATTGAAATGGTGTCTGTATCTCCGGTTGATAGAGTCAAACAAGAAATATTTCGCAGAAAAAGAAACATGTAAGCATGCTGTTTTAATTGACTGATGGCCGAATGAATTTCCACCACATTATGCAACAAAATTGCATATGCCACTCGGAGATCTTTTTGTTTGGATTCGAGAAACTTTACGAGAAAATGCGGAACATCTTGTTTGTTTGTCCATATGGGATTGATTTGCCAGGGATAAGTGAATTGTCGATCATTTTCTTTCTCCCATGTTTCTTGATCGATACTTTTCCATTCCTTTCTCCAAGTGATTCTATGCGAAGAATCGAACTGAAAATATTCACCATTCGAATAAATAATCACACGATTGGATTTACCAAAAACAGCTTTGAATCCCAAACCTTTATACCCAGTCTTATCAAGATCCTTCTTTTTCGTTCCGTTGTTAATACCGCACAGACCTTGTAAATCTTTCGTGTTGAATTCTTTTCCTAAAAGCAATAGATCCTTTTTCTTGTTGAAAGCGATGATACCTTTACCGTCGTGAGTAATGATCAGATATTCGTTCTCGAGAATTGTCACAAAGATATGTTTGGCTTGAGCATCATCTGCATTTTGTATCAATTCATAAATAAATCGAATATTATCGGTGTACAAATCACTAGATAAGGATTTTAATGATTCAGCTTGATTTATTGCTTGTTCGGGATATGTGTATTCCGTATTTTTTAAAGAAACTTCTTCGATGCATCGTCTCAGGCTGGTTGTATTGGTAACCATTAATAATTGAATGGACGATTTTGACGCTCGACGCGTCTTTTATGTTTTTCTTGTTAGAAAAATATCAAGGACGCGAGGAAAGTGCTCACGTGAATGTTTTGACTCAAAATCAACCAGACAGAATGAAAAGAAAAAAGAATAAGAAAACAGTATGAAATGAAACGGAAAAAAAAGAACGCAACTTCGTTCTCGCAGAAGCTGGAAGTTATTCGATTGGCTCGCTTTCATAGAATGTAGTTGACGAGAGAGTATACGATCTTTATATGTAAACATATCATCTTTTTTTCAGTCACTATTTTACATGCCACACAAATTTTGTGGTCATTATCTATAGGAGTACTTGAAGTGATTGATAGAAGTACAATCATGAAAAAAACTCGTTAATGAACACAATTGAAACTTTTCTGTGAAGTTTAGATTTCTTGGCTGCTGATAGGGATGCTTATATAGATAAAAAAAACGATTATCGATGTATACATGATGAAAAAGTCAATGATAAATATAATCCAAAAATATGCAAACTGAGTTTCTTCAATGTCTGCGAGCAAGTCGTTCATTCTCGATTGCCAACTTCATTACACGCTCTACTGTATGTGTTCGTCACTGTGATTGTATTTCCGTTAGAGCTTAGCACAATGGTGTATGTCGCAATTCCTAAATCGACAGATATACTGTACTGCGTTGGATACGAAACTGGAAATGTTCTTTGGCCTGAGTATCCAAAACATAACGAGCCACTCAGTGTTCCTGTGATCGATAGATCACTAGATGATGTTTGTAAAATGATAACNAAATCGATCGAAGATAAATTCATTGGCTCGTGGAAATAAATTTTCATCAAAATGACTTGCACCGCCATACCAGGCCAAGTTTTCACCTGCTTTTATATTGATTTGACGTCCGTCTTCTAAGCTTGTTTGTGCATCTCGACAACATTTTCTTAGCATAAAAGGTGCGCCAACTAATCGAATCGTTTCGTTAATTGCACTTTCCAAATAAATACATGAATCTATCTGTTCCGGTGTCCAATAAGCCGTCGAAGAATCTGCCTCATCCAATGATATGAATGGTAAATGTACATCCATTTCTTGTTGGATGTGCTGCAGAGCTTTTGGATCTCGTAAAATATAGAACAATGACCAAAACACCGCAGGAATCGTATTGCCAAGCGATGCCCAGAAGAAGGATGTTACAAGTTTACCAATTTCTTCCTTTGGAAGCCAGTCCGAATGACTTTCATAGACTGCTAATCTATCTCGATAGAAGTTCGATGCGTTGTTTGGATCGCATTTGTTTTGCCACGATTTGCCCAAACTGGAGCGGGCATTTAATTCTTTACGTAGGAAACATGAATAAACCCATTTGGGAAATGGAATAAAAAAATAATGGAATTTATTATCGAATAAACGAAAATGTTGCTCCAGTGCCGCTGTATCAATATCTCCGAATAATGCTACAGTCGAAGGACGAAACAGCATACGATGGCTCAATTCGAGTAGACCAGTTGAGATCCATTTGGATGCAGAATGATTCTTTTCAAGGGATACTTTGTCGTTCCTCATCGCTTCATACATTCGACGAACAAATTCGACAACCATTGGGTGTAAACCATCACGATTTTTCAAATGTTGAACATACAAACGATGAGTGTCCGGATCGAGTTCAGGATGATCTAGAAGAGGAGAATGCTTCATGAATAAGTTAAGTGTTCCATACATACCCAGGAAAACAGAAGAAAATCCAAATATTTCTATTCCTAGTTCAGTGCCTGTAAATTTAAACGACGAATTTTTTACTATCGTCATCCAATCAGCATGCGACGGTATCATGATAAAACGTTGATTTGCTGCTCGAATTCGAAAGCACGCACCGTACCGTCGATGACATTCGAGTAATAGTTTAGTTCGATTGCGTGTAAATGCAATTAAATGCCCAATGATTGGATAACTGGCATATTTAGCATAGGGAATGGATGGATCTTCATCAGGCTTGGAGCGAATGAAATAAATTACGAATAAAATAACAAAAATCAAAAGTAGACTTTCGATTAAACCGATCATTGTCACGATATGTGTTTAAAGATTTGTTATATATGACTCGTCGTTATAGACGTATATATATACGAGCTAAGATAATACCTTGTATTTCTCCGCGTTACTGTTTCGTGACACCCTTGAAAGTCGAGAATGATAAGAAGATTTAAAACTGTAGTTTCTCTGATTAGAACTGAACTTCAAACTTAAACGTCCTTTCAGGATGTTGCAAAGGCCCGAGCGTGAAATTAGCAATGTGAGCTATGACGATCAGCCTACAGTATACATTAAGGTAAAGGTAACGCAACTTCTTTTGCGTGCATTTTTTCTTTTCACTCTTAACCAGATGTAATTGACACGTGTGCTTTTTTATCTTATCATTATACAAAAAATAAAAGTGCAGTCATATCCCATTTTTGAATTGTACTCACAACGAAAAGAACGGAAATGACTGCACGAAAAGCCTATGTGATGAATGCAGATTATAACGAATATCCTCATCCGCAAATGGCAACAGTTAATTCAATTCATGTGATGAGAATTATCATTCAACTTTTAACTTAGCTATTTGATTTTTCTCGAAGAGCTGTGATAACAACAAAGAAGCAAGAAAATGCTGAACATCCGATTTCTCTATCACATACTGCGTAAAGTGACCAGAAAGGAAGGAACTGTTCGATTACGTACTACGTTTTAGATCACGAAAGATTAATCAACTCAAGCGTCCTTCCAGAAGTATATGCGTTTGGCCGATGGGTAAATTTGGCTCGGAATGTTATTTAAAACACGAACTAGCGGACACATCGCCTGCAAACAATGGAGTTTATGTTCCATTAGAAGATCGGTCCAATCACAAGGCATTTGTACATCTTTGTCGAGGGGAGTTCTATGGTGAAAGATGTGAACATCATCGAAATCAAATTGATGTTGAATTTAGTGACGAAATTATCAATGAAACTGCTTCTTATTTAATCCTTCGATTAGTCACGACTGTCAGGCAGAATAACATTGTAAAAACCAGAGAAAGTGCTTCAAAGATAATGCTACATACTCCAGCATAACAGTCTGTTCGTGTGAAGATCGTTTTTTATGGTGGCCAATATCAATTTTCAACAAAAGGCTTTAGTTTATCACTCAATTACATCCTTGCTTATCATATTAAACCAAACATTTCGTTAGTAAGCTAGATATTTATGTGCAGTTCAGCCAATGCGACTCTGCCACTGATGGCCTTACAAACATGAAAAAACACGCGATGTTAGTTGTGTACTCTATTTATTCATGTCATCATGCATTTTGATTCTGATGGTGTATATGTTCGTAGGCAAGTCTTTTGGACTTCGAACGACTGGCAGAACCTTTCTCGTTGCACACAACGTGAAGTTTAACAAACTGAAAAGTCAAAAAGTAGCCAAATGAATAAGTTTAACAATTCATACTTTGATGTTGTTAACACATATTTATTATCCATTTGATAGACATTTAGTTGACGACATAGACATGGATGAACAATGCGCCTAATGTTTGATTGAATATTCGTCGTTAATGAGTGTTTACAATTCATTTCTCAGTCTCTCTCACTTCTTCGTTCCATTCTTTCTCATCATCGTACCCCTGGCTCATTCGCGTGCGACGATTCAGTCGAATTTCAGTTATAAACAATATTTACAAGCACAATTTCAATAGCATAACCATCATTTGATAACATAGTACGTATTGGCGTTAGTGGCTTTTCCACATTTATGCGTGCCTTTTCGGAGCGAGTCTATGAAATCACCTTGACATCTTTGGATCTTTTTGTTTGCTTATCTAATCTCATTTGTACCGTCAATGATCACATTTCTGATCTGTGTTTTACCACCTGAGAGATACAAAAAAAGAATTTGACGGCGTCGTCAAACGAACTATTTGACAAATGGAATGAAGTATGAATTGTAGATAAATAATTAAAGAAAGAAAAAAAAGTACAGTTCTTTCGAGAGCTGACGTCACTGTATCATGTTACATGTAATAGCCGAATGAACCGCCGTACTGTGGATATCCGTAACCACCAACTCCTGGTGCTCCGCCAACAATTTGACCATAGGATGGGTTTGGATTTCCTCCTAAATAATTATCCAATGCTTCACCAAGTGGACCTAAGCGATATCAGAGACAACCGTTGAAATCGATTTCAAAACGTTTAGTTTTATACTAACTGTTCAATCCACCAGGAACGTTGCGTATGATCCACATATCAGACGCATATTCGCGATTAGCATAAGCAGCATACGCACTGTATGGATTCATAGTTAATCCTTCTGGACAATATGTAAAAAGTCATTTACAGAATACTTTTTATATGCACATAGGAAAAACAACAACACATGACGTAATTGATATGCATGATTTCTTCGTATTTTCGTTTTCTTCTTCTTTGCAAATACCTCACTGTTATGAAAATTAGCGATTACGCCTTTTTAAATGCGTAAATACGATTTATGTTTTTTATACGATACATTTTATTCTATAAATAGAGGCTTGAATATGCAGATCTAATGAAAAAAGCAATTGTTTTCAGTTATATCTATCGTTTTTCTTCATTCATGACTCGCTCGATAGCGTCATGCAAATCTTGTGGTGATTTCACCAGAACAATTTTTGTTTTGGGGGCCAATTCATGAACAACATTCAAAATACGATTGAACCAATGAAGGATAACACCACGATCTGCTGGAATACCTTCTTCTCGATAATGTGCTGCTTGGTCAAAACCATTCACGTAAGCGCCTATGATAGAAAAATCAGATTAACATCTAAATAACGTTGAAAGAGTCGCACAAACCGAGAGTGATCACATCCCATTGTTTCTCTTTCAATGTATTGATAAACTCTTGTTCACTTTCCTTCGTATCATAAATACCCAAGATCCTGGTATTTTTGTATCCCAATGACGCTAACTTTTTTTGAATATCTGGTATCGGCTTTTTTCCTGCGCCGACGCCTAAAATTTTTAAATCTTGCACAACTACTTTGGATGCAAGTGTTCTGCTTAGCATATATCCTGGGATAAAAAGATTCTAGCGATCGAAAAAACATTGCGCAGCTCGCTATTTTGTATGAAAAACAAAACTTACTCCATTGAATAATTGGCGGGCCATGTTTTGCGTCTTGTGAGTAGAAGAATAATGTTTTTTTTCTCATATGATACTGCTGGGCGAAAGAAAAACATCGTTTCTTGTTTTTTTTCGCTTTCCATTCACGCTCAATTTGTCTTATTCTTGCCAAATATTCACACTCACTGTTACATAATAGTCTATATTTCATCTCTCCAATGTCTGACAGCATTTACGTATATATGGCAGACGTCTATATCACATTTTGGAAGATCATATTTTTCTACATCGGTAAATATATGACATATCAATACGATGAGATAAATTGTGAAAGAGTGTCTTGTGATTCATTGGTAGTTATCAACATATCCTTAATAAACATGTCATATTCAACTCTCATACAGAATTCTCAACGTAAATTTTCGTTCAGAAAGATGATGAATAAACGTATGCTTCTCAGAACGTGTTCTATGTTCTTCAACATTTGATCATTCTTGCTGCACATCATTACCGACTCCGTTATGTATTGTAACTCGAAATGACGGTCTTAAGCTGGATTTCAGTACTTTAAACTACACTGAACTGCACCAAAAGTACGTTCAACTAACCAAATCAACATTTAAGTCAAGTAAAACATGTCGTATGGTTATGAATACAAGATACGGTAAGCCAAGTGTTAATATCACTGTTGATTTTTATGCGAAATTCGATGGCGGTCGAATCGAACTAAATCGGTTGCATTTAACTATTACATTAGCTGTTGATGAAAATTATGCGGAATCAAATATTGTAATCATATGCAACACTGACTTATGTAATGAATACTATTTCTATGCATATCTTGTCAATAGTCGACTATGGATTGACTATTTGAAGTGCGACGTGACCTTCTAATGCACAATGAAATATTTGATGAACTATCACCTGTTTTGAAAGGTGTGTTACTATGTTCTGATAGTACTCTTGGCAGTTTAGTAACAAACTGTGGCGACTACATATGTTATTACTTCAGAATATTTGATGGGAAGCAAGACTACTCTTGCGGTGCATGTCAACTCGGATTTTGTGCACGACGATGCCAAATTGAGTACATGATCTTACCCACTGTTAGGTGAAAGTGTCTTATTACAATATGTTTATGCCAGTAGATGAAGACACGAGTGATAGTCCTGTGTTCAATTGTGTATCAATCTGCCGGAGAGAATCTTGACAAAATAGATTCATTGTATTCGATGTTTATATATGATTAGTTGACTAATTGCTGATTCTGTCGTTCACCACAGCATATATTCATTTCTACGATGAATAAATTACTGGTTAGTTAACTTCATACGATATACGGCAAGTCTTATCTTGTAGACCTGGCATCGAGCAGAATTTGAGATGACATGCACTGTTTTCAATTATATAATTGTTCTTATTATACGACATTTGAACTGACTTCTCGTCTCTTTTGTAACATCCGTCAGCTAGAATTTAACGATTTACAACTAGAAATTCAACCTAAAGTTACACCGGAAACAAGTGAACATTCTTTGTTTGAATATACCTACGTTTGTAACAAGAATAAATACAATGGTTTCGACACTGCAGACCAAATCAAAGTTTATATCACGGGCATCTACAGTAATTCTCACTGGATCAAATCCTCGATCATATTTCCACATACAAGCAAAACAAAACTCATTGATAACTTCGACAACAAAAACTGAACCAACGAACTGTGCAGAAAATCTGTCCGACAGGAACAGAACTCGTATGATAATCATGCCTTTGATATTTTATTTTAAAAAAGTTCACTGAATGAAAACAAATCCGATGATAATACCTTATTGATTTATAGCTTGCGCACTTGATGTAACAATATATGACATCGGTTGACCATGTGGTGCAGGGAACTGTCGTTGCGGAGTAGCAACTTGTTTAACCACATACATAGTAAAGAGCGTAAAACCGATGGCAATACCTGCAAGAATCACTGCTCCGATAATACAGGTATATGTTGACTCCTCACAGTAAGTTGTTGATGAAATTCGTGCACACGTTTTAGACCATGTGTTGATTATAATACTATATGCAACTAGTTTTCGGATTAGATTATACAGTTGAAGCAAAAGGAAGATAAATATTGGTATTACAGCATAGACTTGATGGCTACACACAAATATCAAAGCAATACCAAGAGTGAATGGATAAAGTCCAAACATTTCGTAGCTATATAAAGGCAAGTAGTCATGGCTACTAAAAGAGCAAAAGCACAATAAATTCGCAGTTTTGTAAATCAACGTACATTCCATTGTCTTTTCCAAATATTGCGCTTTCGATACCGATGGAGAAAACACCAATAATAATGAAACTTATACCTAGATTTCGTAACTTAGTCGATTGAGTAGATGGAATAAAAGTAAACAAATACGTCCAGAAAGATTCGTGTACATTATCATCAACGCGCGGAGTGTAGTTCGGTGGTGGAGAATTGTACATGATTATTCTTTTTGTTTCTCAAAAAAATTTTCAACAATAGTGAAATTACATTGTGTTACATCTTGGTTTTTTATTTCGATAGATAAATTATTATCTTTAAACAACGAATGACTCAAGAAACACAATTTGATATAAGATAAAAAAAACGAAATAAAAGTCAAGAAATAAACACAGTATTGATTATGAATAATATTATATACAATGAAATAAGTCTGACTCATATTATACATCAGTCTTGTGGTACCTCTGCATCTTGGACATTTGCGTTTGTGTACTTGTAGCTCGTGTTACGATTTATCTTTAAGATACATATCAACGAGATCACTATAATCAGGCATGGCAGTATGATAAGTCCTACAGTGATCCATAATATAGTCAAAGGTATTTTCTTATCCGGAAGATCGAAAATAACTACTGTATTGTTCGTCATCTGGTAGAAGCATGTATAGTTATGACCAATCTGAAATGTAGATAGTTGTAACATTCGTCATGCTAGAATATTTAATACGATCTGTACCTGGGATTGCTCGTGTCTTCTTAATTTATCAAAACTGGTGTACACACTTGATACAGACGTCTTATTGTTATCAACAAGGTACGTGACATATAGTTTTTCATCAAAACATGGATCAGTCGTGCATTGATGTGAATGGCAATGTACACAATGGTGCTGATATGTTGTGTAATTCAGCAAATGACAAGTTGTTCTCATGTACGTCGTTTCCACGTTTCGATGATTGATAAACAAGTATACAGCATAGATGTCCCAAACAAAACATGGAATAACCAGTAGAATTAAAAATGTATATCCACAACGTAAGCTTGACTGAGCCAATGACCGAGATTTCGTTGTGCGAGTGTATTTCATGTTTTCATATGTGCAGTATTCAATTTTCACCAACGTTTATATAGATATATATTTATGTATAATCGTTATTACTCATTCGATACGGAGGTCGAATCCGACGGAATTTTCCAAGTATAATACATATGTTTTTAGTGGAGAGAACGGAAGAATACAAAGAAGGTGAAGCATGACTTGATGATTTATGCTTTCCTTCATGTAGTCCTTTTTCTCGTACGTGAAAAATAACGTTAAGAAGTGGGTAAAAACCCCGTATCATCAAATATACGTTTGCTGTTTGTTCACTAACTAAGTCGAAGAAAGTAATAACATTAATCACAATGACTACTATAACAGATTTAGTCAATCGGTATGTCACTGACAGTGAAATCGTCTGCCTTTCAATTAAACAATACAGTTGAAAGTTTTTGCTACCAATTACATTAGATCAATAGGTGACATCAAACCATATAGAGACAAATTGATCATCATCATCCTGCTCGTGTTACAAGAAGAAATTTTCAAGAAGCATCGTCTGTTTAGTTAAGTTCTTATTGCTTCAAGATGAGTACGATAAAGCGATTAATTTGTTTCCACAGGTATTGAAAAGTACCAAAGAGAACAATTCAACTTTGTTTGCCGGTGAAGTGCTAAAAGGTATGACCGAATCATTTTATTCCAACGAAATGTATTACACAGTTAATGATATAAAACCTGTAGAAAAATTGATTAAACTTGATTCATAGTGCATATTTAGAAGAACAGATTCATCAGTCCTCAATTCTATTCGAAAAAACAGTAATACCCTTAGTAGATCACTTTCTAATGTGTATACCTTGTGAATATGTGAAATATTCTCATTCTTCGAGTATATTGATATTTTAATGAAAACGCTTGTAGAAAAAGAAATGCAATATGAAGCTTTTATCTATATTCCAGTGTTATCGACATCTACACAGCTATAGCGATGGTTGACGTTTCCATGTTGAACGAAGTCAATACCATAATTAATTAACTTTTCTCTAACAATATAGCATAAAGCAAAGAAAATGATCAGAAAAGGAATAATAATCAGTGTCACACAGATCCATATTACAATCAATGGTGTTTTTAAATCTGGAAGATTCAAAATGATGGGAAGTCACATTACTTATTTGATAGAAGCATGTATAGTTATTGCCAATCTGAAATGGAACATTTTTACTAGATTATAGTTTTTCGAGAAAAGTATTTGATTTCGTAATTACCTTTGATTGTTCGCACGTTTTTAATTGATTTAAGATTGACACTTTGCTTTATACGAAAGTTTCATTTTGAATAGGATACGTCACAAATATTTGTTCATCAAAACATGGATCAGTCGTACAGTGATGAGTGGAATGTAGCGAACGCAATGTCTCAGAAATGCTGTGTAATTTAACAACTGACATGTTGTTTTCGTATAGATTGTTTTGATATTTCGATCTTTGAGAAATCTATTTGCCACATAAAAACCCCAAGCAAGACACAGAAGAAGAAATAAGCATATCTACAATATAGTATTGAATAAGCTGTAGAATTTGTTTGGCATGAACGAGGGCTATTCATGTCGGCGTATTTGTTGATGTTGCGTCTGCACGTCAAACAATGTCAATTTATTGACTAATGACTTTCTTATTTTGTATTGACGTCATTTATCTATTTTTTCATCTGAATAATAGAAATCTAAACATCAAATGTACTTTTACGTCACTGCGCATGCCGAAGTGTCATACACGATCAATATATTGAATTTAGAAATAATCTCGCATGAGTAATTCAAAAGGTACGACAGCGAAAGTCAAAATCGAATTCGCATACTGTAATTATTTGAGAATATGACTCAAACGAAAAAATTGTGTGAAAACACGAAAATTTGTTTTTGTTTTTCTGTATACATTCAAGCATGTTATTCTTCACGTGTTCCCCTACTCGAGAACGCTTTTTTCATCAATCGTTACATATACAGAAATGAATAACAATTACCAAAGTTTTGCACAATTTTGGAAACGTGCTGAGAAGCAAGGATGGCGTTTAGTTTCGATCAATGACAATAAAGATTCACGTACGGTCTTTCCACCCAAGAATCACCCAGCGGCGAAGAATCATTGGGCGGCAATTTATACAAATGTTAATTTTAAAAACAAAATCGTGGCTGTACCACATTGGTTCTATTCCGAAATGCGAAAAGCTCCGAACTATAAACTCAACGACTATTATCGTCGAACAAAACAGAAAGTACAGCATATGTTGAAGAAGTAAAGACGATTTTTTTGTTGTTTATAAAGGAAAAGAAGAGAACGAAAAGAAAACCAAGATTTAATGTTGTTTCCTTTTGTGATGAATGGTTTCACACGATGTCAAATTGCTCCTTGAAATCATTCGAATATTTTTCAATCGTTTAGATATGATCTTTAGACTGTACAGCAATTGTGATAAAATACTGCATAATAACAGTAAACAATTTTGTAAGGATTGGTTTATAAACATGAGTACGTGCTTTGACAAATGCCATTTCCATTGATAGAATGTCTAAAAATAAAAAGAATGCTGGAATACAGATCGACACTGATGTAATAGATTCTACACAAGCCGATGACGAAGAAATTCATCATTTAAAGCAACTACGTTTGTTGCAAGTGAATCAACGAGATGTTTCATCCGAAAAAAAAACCGAGTCACTCGTTTCCATCGACGATCATCAACGATGTTTTGTATCATGGAACTATTCAACATGCGAGAAATATTGATTTACTACAATTGTTGAATATTCGGTATATTGTTGTTAATATAAATCAGGTCGATTGAGTTAAAATAGAAGACAATGTCAATGTTAACATTCGTATGTCGATCGGACAAATAAGCTTATACGTCGCTGTAAACGAAACGATCATCGCATGTCCTTGTCAATTGTCATAAAACTGGTTGTCCATCGCCCGCCCTTATTTATTAAAGTAAAAGTTCAATACACTGATTCTTGTATTAATTTACAGTTTGTTTTGTTCTAGATATCTTTTCGATGCTCTTCGCGATGACTACACGCATCTAATTGATCGACGATCTGTAGCACTCTCAAAGAATTCCTTCTTGCTGCAATTAGTTCGCTATGAGAAAGATTTGTATAACCAGCAAAACAATATTGAGATGAATTTCTATGAGTGAATCCGAAATGCCTTTGGACATTGATGAAGTAAAGTATTTTTAATGTATAAAACAATTCTGATAATGCGAATGACGTGTGCGATTTGCGACGAAGAAATGCAAGTAAACGACGATTATGATACATACATATACATAGATTTTAATCGATCACATCATACATTGCATGTATTACAGTTAATGAATATGATTTCACTCGCCTCATTGAAGTCTGACTTGATAGACGTTAAATCATCTGTATAGACACAACAGTCTATCCACAACTCTCGATCGAGCTATATCAGAGCTTTATCTTGGAACATCGGCGCCAGATGACGAATGTTAAAATATCCTTTTCGAAATCGAACTGGATCTACCGGATAAATCGCTTCCGTTTGCTAACTTTTCAAGAATTAGTTGGTTTTACTAATGCCTAGTCTGGAGTTCAATTTAACAAGAGACAATCTTCATTGTAACACTAATCGGAGAATCTGGCTTGTTAAAATAAAACTCGTCTCTGACACAATCGAAAACGATGATGAGCAAGTATTCGAAGATTTTAAAAAGAGCAGACAGTTGAGACATTACGTCGAATTATTAACGAACACATAGACGAACTTTTGCGGTGTAAGCAGATCTTTTCTATAAATCGTGTTCTATGGAATCATCCGATTATATATAAATGGAAAAGTGGATCGTCGCAGTTAAAATGTCGATTCTGATTTTAATTATTCTCTTACGTTGAAGAATTGAAATGCGGCAGCGACGATGCCGAGTTAAACACTCATGTAGTTCTGAGCCGTCTCTATTCGGATGTTGGCATGATCTACTTCATGGAACTATAAAACAGACTCGTTCTGCTCGAGAGAACTTTGATCGAGCAATAAATTAACGGTTAACAGATTCTGAAGAGATGAACATCTATGAGATATACTTTACCAAATATATGGGTACAAATTACAAATAGCTAGTGTAGATAAGGACGAGGATGAAGCAGCTGATGATCTCGCTGTAGATCATCGAGATTGTGAAGACAAACAAATTCAACACGCCCAAGCAACGCCACTTATAAGGCGTTGGAATACTCCTGACTAGTCAACTATTTCTACAAGGATCGCGGATAAACACGAACCGAAAATGTTTTACTGTACATATCCTTCTTCGGTGTAGAAAATTAGTAATTACTTTACTAAATAAATATACATTAATCTATATAATTTCCCAAGCTAATAATAAAACCACACTGAAAATTAGTTTGATCTATATTTTTCAAGAATCAGTTTGACAATGTGTCGAAATTAATTATTTAATTTTTCTGCAATTCTATCCAATATAGGTTGTATACGAGGATCAATAACTATTGAGGGATCCGTACCGAGTCGATTCATAGTGTAGGCGAATGAAAGATTTTTGGAAGGTGCCACAAAACCAATGCTTCCACCAGCACCTAAAAATAACGAAAATGCAATCAATTGATCATTTAGTTAGCTCGTACCATGGTGACCAAAGACATCTGGACCGAATGTCGGAAGGAATCGATTGTATCGATGAAAACCCATGCTAAATGATGAATAATATTGAAATATCAAATCGATCTCATCCGATGGTGTATTTGATTTCGTTGCAAGCTTCAGAATATCTTCATTCAGCATTCGTTGTCCTCGATTGTTCATGACATCTCCACTAAACACAGCATACAGTCGAGCAATCGACCAAGCATTTGACATTCCAATAGCAGCTGGTATTTCTGCCTGATGTATTGCAGGATCATTCCAGATGCTAAACAAATTCAGCATCGTTTCATTTAATATATTTTTTGTTTCCAACTGCGCAACTACGGGAGACACGCGATATTGCATGTTCAACGGTAAACCAATGTAGAATTCTATTTGTGCTGGTATTGCTAACTCATCTTGAATAAATTGTCCGAATGATCTCTTCTTCGAATCAACACGACGAACAAGTTCGCCTGCTAACCAACCGTATGTTACAGAATGGTAGCCATGTGTCGTTCCCGGTATCCATTCTGGTTTTTGTTTTTCTAATGAATGAATCATCGCTGTCCAGTTAGCATATTGAGGAATGGGTAGCGATGGATGCGGAAGACCTGCGCGATGAGATAAAATATCCGCGACCGTGGTATTCTCCTTTCCATTTTGTCCGTATTCAGGCCAATATTTTGTTACCAACGCCGAATAATCGAGTAAACCTCGTTGTACACAAAGTGCAGCGGCCATCGCCACAACACCTTTCGTCGTCGAAAAGACCAATTGTAATGCACCATCATGATACGGTATCGTTTTCGATTCATCGAACCATCCGCCTCTAAGATTGACGGCTAAATGACCTTGATGGTAAATTGACACAGCTGCACCTAGATCTTTCTCCTCTACGAAGTTTTGCATAAATAAATCTCGTACAAATTCCCAACCAGGTGCAGTTATTCCATAAATGTTATAGTCAATCGGATGAGAATATGAGACGATTGCAAAACATACAATCAAAATTTCTAGCGAATGCATCATCACTTTCGTTTCAAATTACACGAGAAGAATAAAAATGCACCCTTTCTTTATGAATACCGAAAACTGGATTAATCATGACGCTTCTATGTAAATGTCGTGATCACACACAACGATGCGAACATAACAAAAAAACAAAGCGTTAATCCGGTGGTAGTCGATTTGATGACAATTTGTTTTTAAATAAATAGATGTTAATGATTTCTATCAGTAGAGTAAATTCAATTTGACACAGTGATCAAATATTAACGAAACAATATTGACAAATATGTTGAATATCATGTTTGAAACAAATTTTTGCCCTTCACATTTGTTAACCAGGCCTTTACTTGATCAGACGGTGCAAAATGCATTTTCTTCATAAAATATTCATTGGATTTCTCATACTATGGGATACTGACTGTTACCCATACCATCATCCGGGGTATGGTTCACCTTACCATCCTTCCTACGACCGAGGGTGTAAGTATCTTGCTATTCCATTAATATAGTATAATACAAATTTATTTAAGTTCGTTGGGAGTATTCTTCATCTTATAGTAGATATCGATGTTTCTCGGGTGATTCAGTAGTACGCTTGTCGAATGGAACGTATAAACAAATCGATCGTCTTCGATCCAGTGACGAAATTCTGACAAGAGAACACTCGAAAGTCATCACCACAGAAATGATAATGATGTTAGACAAGCACACTTCGGGAAAAGGTATTGAATGCTCAGATACATTTCAATGTATGTTTTATTCTGCTATTTTTAGCGTTATTTTATACATTAATAACGGATTCTGGCCATCGGATAAGTCTAACAGAACACCATCTAATTCCGATTGTTGATTCAAATGGGAATGACACATATTTATTTGCTAAACATGTACAAATTGGAGATCAACTCATAGTTTTAATCAATGACACCTTGGACTATTCTCCCGTGACGAACATCACTGTAGAAATGAAAAACCAATATTATGCTCCATTAACAATGTGTGGTACTTTATTTGTCAATGATATATTTGCTAGTTGTTTTGCAAATGTTCGTGATCATCGTTTTGCTCAGTATTCTATGGCGCCATTTCGTGCTTACTATAAACTTGCCCGATATCTTTCGATTGCTGAACCTTTTCATGTTCGCCAAAGGGAAGGAATACATTGGACGGCTCGAATGATGTTATATTTTGCACGTTATTTTCTGACCGATGTACTTATTCTATGATTCAATCATAGATTATTTTTGTTTGATATTTCACACTGTATTAAATCTCGCTGATGTAAACCGTTTCACTCGATTTCTCGGATTGTTGTCTATTACTACGCACTTTACTCGTTCTAAAATTTAAAACATAAACATTAATTCATGCGTTCGGTCAATTTCAGTTGGTTAAACTTGGTAAAATTTGTAGGAGACAAGCCAGTTGTTTTTGACTTAAACGCCATCGGATGTTATCCAATACAACAAACTTTTTCTTGTCCAAATAGACTCGATAGATGAAATAGTTTTCTCTCAGTTGCAAAAATGTTTCGATTTGATTGATTGACAAAGGAAATACATGTTGGTTGCATGTCCGTGTTGTTTTTACTTCGATATAAAACGTCTTGTCATTTTTCTTCAAGATGATATCGTACGGTAGATGACTTTCTCTAATTTCATTCAACCATTTGACATTCACGGAACTCGAATGATCACGATGTTCGTTCAATAAATATTGATAAACCATTTCCTCACCGGCACGTCCTGTATACAAATCAAGTTCATCGCATTGTCCAGCGATATTTGATATACTATGAAATAATCCTGGAGTTGAATTTGCTATTGATGACATATCAACTAATTCAATATTATCTAACACAAATGTTGTTGGCTTTCTCCACACCTCTGTCGGTGGTTCTGCATATTCGATTGGCAGTTGAGTAGGTATTTGCGTAAAGCCTAAGAAACATTACAAACGATGATACGTGTGCTCGAACGTTTTATTCTTAAATATTTCATTACCGTAGAAAGGAAATGGATAGCTCAGTGTAGGTGTTGGATTCGTCGATTTTAAATTATTTGTAGTAGATAGTGTCTCTTTGGACTGAATACTATTTGTCTGCTTATTCTCCACTGACCGAGAAGGTTTGTTGGAATCGGATGTTTCAGTTGCCAGAGGTACTTTTGTTTGGATGATGATATCTGAGAACAGATAAAATCAAAAGCAAATGACACCCTACTATTCGCATGCATTGAGTTACCAGTTTTGGGTAATGATTCCAAGATAATAATATCTTTTTTGGTCGGTATTTCCATCTCATTGGACGTAAAATGTTTCCGAATCTCTTCGATTGTTCCTTTTAACAAAAAACGCAGATTTTTCTCAAAACCTTGTATATTTAATAATAGACATAATTTATTTGGAAGATCAATAAAGGTCGTTTCGCTATCCCATGGCCGTGTAACATACAGTTGTTTATGTTTGCTGTCAAAATAAACATTTGTTTGTCGAATGAAATTGTGATGATAAAACAATTGTAAACTCTCTGATTCGATAAACGCATACTCTTGTTGAATTTTTCGGTCGATTGTGCAAATCGTATCAGTGGATACAGCTGAAACTTGAAGCCATTTTTTCAAGAACGGTGAAATCTCAATCAGTTTTCTTCGAAAATGTTCGGCAGGAGAAGATTTAGCATCAACAAGTTTCAAATTATTCATTTTGATTTGTTTAATATTGAACAAATCTAAAAATTCTTTCAGATGTAGATCACTTCTGTTCTTGAAATCAAGTCGTAAACAAGGTATAGCATCATTCAAGCCATTGTTTGCTCGATTATCTTCCATATAAAGATATATGTCACTCGCTAACTTCCATTGCATATTTTCGGTGAGAAGATAAGATGATTTGGCTCGCCTTTCCGCTCGTTGACGTTCGTCAGATGACCAATAGTATATTTCTTTTAATATATGAGAATATATGTTTTGCACACGATCAAGATTGTCATTGAAATTCTTTTCGTCAAAACGAATACTGTCGAGTAGATCGAAATAATCAATGACTGAAAGTTTGCTTTTGAAATTGAAAATCTTCTGCCAATGTATTTTCTCTTTTGGTAGCGATATCGAAGTAAATTTCATGTACTTACTACATAAATCGTTTAATTCCTTACTATCAACAAGAACATTACTGGCTAGTTCACATGTTGTTGCAGTCGTCGGTATACACTCGACATTGTTAACAAACCAGCTGATGTAATCAGCATTGTCTCGTAATGTTCCGTCGATGGCACCTCGTTTGTTCGAATGTCCCCAATAAATGGTAATCTTCTTTGTTAATATTTCTGCTTGAACATTTTTAATTACATATGGCCAGAAGAAATTTGCAAATATGTAATTATCTAATGGAGAAGTCGAACGAGAATAAAGTTGAATTATATCTTGATCAATATTCTTACTTTTTGTATGTTGCATAAATGAAATCGTTGACAATCCTGAAAAAGCATCGACAGTGTGTCTTCCATTTGGTGAAGTTGCTGGGAGATATTTCTCAAAGAAACCATATCCAGCCGCTTCATATGATGTTAATTTTCGATAGAAGGTGATCGGACGCAATTCCTCTTGAATTCCTAATGCAGCAAAGAATTGCCGCCATTCACCTAAGTTTTCATTGGTACAGTTGGAACTCGAGATATAGTCGAAGGACAAAAATTTGTCTTCCTTTTCAGCTAAGTAATCTTCCAGCGGTAATCGTGGTTCGTACCGGTCAGAAAAAAAACATTGTTCAGCTGCGACTAATGCTCCTCGGGTTGTTAATAGTTTCAGTTTTTTCAAGTCTTCAAGTTCCTTTTTCGTGATCGCGTTCTTTCGAAATAATGTAAATAGGATCTTTATAGTGCTAATTGCATTTTTCAGTGTAATGTACGATGAAGCGTTTGGAATAATTGTTTTGCGGAAGTATGCTAGATCGGTTCGTTCGTCGACGCCAATGTCCTTCAACCATTGTTTGATTTCTCTTTGATTTTTCTCATTCAACCAGCTGAAGATGGATTTGTGTAGAAATAAATCGTCAGAATCGACTGTTCCACTATCACCAATTGTCTCTGCCGGAAAATAAATAGATTTGACCGATTGTAATCGATTATGTTGATCCATTAGAAATGGAATTTTCTCGATTGGATCATCAGTACTCTTGGTATATCTTATATAAAAGTACTGAATCATTCGTTTATTGTCTTCGACTGAAAATGTTTGAAGAAATATATCTGATTTGAGCATGTCGATACACTCAATCCAAGTAAATTCTTTCACACCAATTCGGCTCAAGTTCGAATCGTAATCAGTGAAGGGATCGGCAGCATAGTTCGTAGGGCTTTCCTCGTTTTCGATAATATATTGACGCATTGCATTGATATTAATGAATGACGATTGTTTGGACATTGAAGTTGAATCCATAATGACTTCATTTACCTGAAAAATAAAATTGAGAATGTGCGACAATCTTCAACAACTTATAACATGAGTCCATCGGCTTCGGAGTGTTTATTTTAGCGTAAACCTAGCACTTTTTACACAGTCAGAAGTGAAAAATATTCAGTTTGAATCACAGGGGTTGTTTTTCTTTCTATCACTTACTTTTAATAAGTCATTTTTTCGATTGAGAATGAAATTGCATTGTTTAATACTCATCTCAAATGATTCGTTAAATTCTTCCGATAGAACATTATCTGTTAAATTTAATTTCGACGGGATAAGTCGATAAGCTTGACAACGAAATTTCTTATCTCGGACTAACTGCTTAATCCATTGAAGAATTTGATCGCATATTACACTAAATAGCCACTGATTCCAAATTGAATCTGTAAAGAAATGTTTCAAAGGAACAGAAATACGAAGAAGTTAACCTGTATGAATTTGTTCTCGATTAACATTGGTGAGAAAGTTTGCGTTTATCAAAACTGGAAATTTGTAGTCAAGAATGTTTGTTGGCAGATAGGAAAATAGAATTGAATCTTGTTCACGAAGTTTTTCGATATCGCCAACAGCGTTCGCCGTTGAATCTTTGTACTTAGCTGCCAAGAACATTTCCACTTTTCTTGTGAATCGTAACTTGTCTGGTGCTTTCGCATCATTCGACAGTCGATCGATAACATCGCTCGGAATGTCGATTTCAGAACGCTTGATAATCCATTCGGAATCAATGGTTCGATTGATATAGACTTTTTTCAAATCATGACCTAAATCACGATCAATTGAAATGATGTCTGTATCTTGGGTTGATAGAGTCAAACAAGAAATATTTCGCAGAAAAAGAAACATGTAAGCATGCTGTTTTAATTGATTGATAGCCAAATGAATTTCCACCACATTATGCAACAAAATTGCATATGCCACTCGGATATCTTTTTGTTTGGATTCGAGAAACTTCACGAGAAAATGCGGAATATCTTGTTTGTTTGTCCATATCGGATTGATTTGCCAGGGATAAGTGAATCGTCGATCATTTTCTTTCTCCCATGTTTCTTGATCGATACTCTTCCATTCCTTTCTCCAGGTGATTTTATGCGAAGAATCGAACCGAAAATATTCACCATTCGAATAAATAATCACACGATTGGATTTACCAAAAACAGCTTTGAATCCTAAACCTTTATAACCAGTCTTGTCAAGATCCTTCTTTTTCGTTCCGTTGTTAATACCACACAGACCTTGTAAATCTTTCGTGTTGAATTCTTTTCCTAAAAGCAATAGATCCTTTTTCTTGTTGAAAGCGTTGATACCTTTACCGTCGTGAGTAATGATCAGATATTCGTTCTCGAGAATAGTCACAAAGATGTGTTTGGCTTGAGCATCATCTGCATTTTGTATCAATTCATAAATAAATCGAATATTATCGGTGTATAAATCACTAGATAAGGATTTTAATGATTCAGCTTGATTTATGGCTTGTTCGGGATATTTGTATTCCGTATTTTTTAAAGAGATTTCTTCGATGCATCGTCTCAAGCTGGTTGTATTAGTAACCATTAGTAATTGAATGGCAGATTTTGACGCTCGATGTGTTTTTTAGGTTTTTCTTGTTAGAAAAATATCGAGGGCGCGATGAAAGTGCTCACGTGGGTGTTTTGGCTCAAAATCAAACAGACAGAATGAAAAGAAAAAAGAATAAAAAATAGTATGAGATGAAAGGGAAAAAAAGAACGCAACTTTGTTCTCGCAGAAGCTGGAAGTTATTCGATTGGTTCGCTTTCATAGAATGTAGTTGACGAGAGATGATACGATCTTTATATGTAAACATGTGATCTTTTCTTCAGTCACTATTTTACATGCCACACGAATTTTGTGGTCATTACCTATAGGAGTACTTGAAGTGATTGATAGAAGTACAATCATGAAAAAAAACTCGTTGATGAACACAATTCAAACTTTTCTGTGAAGTTTAGATTTCTTGGCTGCTGATAGGGATGCTTATATAGATAAAAAAAAAAGATTAGCGATGTATATATGATGAAAAAGTCAATGATAAATATAATCCAAAAATATGCAAACTGAGTTTCTTCAATGTCTGCTAGCAAGTCGTTCATTTTCGATTGCCAACTTCATTACACGCTCTACTGTATGTGTTCGTCACTGTGATGGTATTTCCGTTCGAGCTTAGCACAATGGTGTATATCGCAATTCCTAAATCGACAGATATACTGTACTGTGTTGGATACGAAACTGGAAATGTTCTTTGGCCTGAGTATCCAAAACATAACGAGCCACTCAGTGTTCCTGTGATCGATAGATCACTAGATGATGTTTGTAAAATGATAACCGAACCAATCAGACAGCAACATTGCCACTGTGAACAGAGAGATTGGACAACGAAAGTGCCTGGCCATGGAGGCAAATTTCTTGTTGAGGATGTCGTTCGAGACGTGCTTGGACTGGCAGTACTTGGATTTGTGTTTGTTATCGTTATTAGCGTAGGCGTAGATGTTTGTGCAGACGCATTATTGAATAATCGAATGCCTAGAACACTGCACGTTGGTTTAATCAGATTTGTCATCAGTAATGTAGCAGTACTCGTATCTAGTTGGAAATAGTAAGGCGATCGATTGACTGTCACTACGACATTGTCACTAGTCGGATATGCGATTGTTGTCGAGAAAGATTGTATTTCATTACATTGTCCATCTAGTGTCGTTGTTAAAACGAGACTGGCAAGCGTTGATCGTTCCAGATAAATAACGTCAATTATACAACAGCATTGGGATTGGTTACAGTTAGAGCTATTAACAGCCAATGTGCCCGACGAATCCACATATTCATTTGTAGAACCAGCGGTGGTTGTCGAAACAGTGATTGTGGACGAGTTTTGTTGTGTCTCAGCTGAAGTCAAATAGAGCATGTGAATGTTATTCTTTTCTCGTTAAGAGTCGAATCTTACCGGTTCCGTTTTCATGCTTGTTTCGGATGACTAGAACAACCGATACCAAAACGAACACAATAACAATAATAAACAAGATAATAGCGAGTAAAACCAATATCCATGTTTTGATATAACTTAGTAAAAGAAGATAATGGTTCAAAATAAATAAGGAGAAAGGCGGCTTACTGTCCTCTGATCGATGTGGTTCTTGAGAAGAGACCTTTTGATTCCGTCTTTTCTGCTGATAGCGATATGTTCTGGAAATCGGTATCCACACTCGGTTTCGAAATTTGAGGTTGTTCATTGCTTTCTCTAGAATGGGCAACATGAGAATAATTCTACACAAATATAACGATTGAATTTAATTACAACACTTGCACTGGGGATAATTCGTAGGGATGTTGTCGACTTGTTGACATGATGCTATCTTTCAGTATCACTGTGAAGTTCTACTAGGAACCTTTCTGCGAAAGAAAATGTTATTTCAAAAAGACTACTTTACTCTTGTATTCACTTTTCTTAATATTAGAATGTTTGTTTTCGTTGATGCAAAACAGTGAGAAAAAAACCATCAAAAGTCGAGCTCCTTCAGGGCGAGTTCGTTGAAGAAATTTCGTAAAACGAAAAGAAACAAGTGTAGAATCTTGATCACAAATAGTGCGCAATTTAATTCCTGGGAAAAAACCTTCTTCGCTCACTCCCGCCATTAGTTGCACTTTTGCTTCTTCCATTCTGAGAATAAAGCTCTGGACAAAGTATTGTCTCGTCTACTGTCACAATTTTCAACGCTATGACGAATTTTATCTCTCGAAGAATTTATAAAGTCTTGTTTAAATTGAATTTATTCAAGAAACCATTACTGGACGATCATCCACGTATACTATATTAATCGGAATTTTCGAAACATTTGTGTGCGCGATTCTAGTACTGGGCGTCATCGGGATAATAACGACCTATTACACTGTCACAGAACGTGTCGTGACAAAGACCATAGAAAATCCAACTTTGAAAATGTATCTTAGTCTATACAATCAATACAAATCCAGTCTGACTTGTCCATGCACGCAAATTGCAATTCCCTACAAGAAATTTCTGACTGTTAATCCATCGTACCATCAATACTGTTCAAGTTATTACAATTCAAAAGCTTGGCTTGATATTGTACAAAGTATTGATCTGTATTTAGAAAGGACAGGTAATCCAACAGTAGCGTCGCCGACAAGTATCTTCATAGCACTGTCGGACTTCTGCCGTTTTTCGGGAGAAACGGTGAATGATTCATTAGCATCGTTTTATCAGTCGAGTCTGATCAGTGGATATACGATCCAACCAGATATCTTTGAATCTCAAGCTGAAGCGATTGTTAACTTATTCATTAGTTCGACATCTAATTCATTTAAAAGATCTGCTGCTCTCATACGAAGAATTCTAGCTAATGATCAAGTGTTACGTGGAGCACATGGAACTAATTTCTATGCGACAGTTGATACAACTCGACAGACGTCCGATACGGGTGTCAANAAAGGATGTCGTTCGAGACGTGCTTGGCCTGGCAGTACTTGGATTTGTGTTTGTTATCGTTATTAGTGTAGGCGTAGATATTTGTGCAGACGCATTATTGAATAATCGAATGCCTAGAACACTGCACGTTGGTTTAATCAGATTTGTCATCAGTAATGTAGCAGCACTCGTATCTAGTTGGAAATAGTAAGGCGATCGATTGACTGTCACTACGACATTGTCACTAGTCGGATATGCTATTGTTGTCGAGACAGATTGTATTTCATTACATTGCCCACCTAGTGTCGTTGTTAAAACGAGACTGGCAAGCGTTGATCGTTCCAGATAAATAACGTCAATTATACAACAGCATTGGGATTGGTTACAATTAGAGCTATTAACAGCAAATGTGCCCGACCAATCCACATATTCATTTGTAGAACCAGCGGTGGTTGTCGAAACAGTGGTTGTGGACGGGTTTTGTTGTGTCTCAGCTGAAGTCAAATAGAGCATGTGAATGTTATTCTTGAGGGTGTGGGTGAGGGGTGGGTGAGTTGAGAGTGTGAGGGTATGTATGTATAAGTCAAACTAGATCTATTTCTATTTCTAACCTCACAGGGGTGTGAGGGTAGATATGTATAAGCAAAACTAAATCTATTTCTATTCCTAAGGATGCTAGGTATTGGCCACTTCTATTATAAGTCCAATTAGGCAGCTACTCTCTTTTCTCGTTAAGAGTCGAATCTTACCGGTTCCGTTTTCATGCTTGTTTCGGATGACTAGAACAACCGATACCAAAACGGACACAATAACAATAATAAACAAGATGATAGCGAGTAAAACCAATATCCATGTTTTGATATCACTTAATAAAAGAAGATAATGGTTCAAAACAAATAAGGAGAAAGACGGCTTACTGTCCTCTGATCGATGTGGTTCTTGAGAAGAGACCTTTTGATTCCGTCTTTTCTGCTGATAGCGATATGTTCTGGAAATCGGTATCCACACTCGGTTTCGAAATTTGAGGTTGTTCATTGCTTTCTCTAGAATAAGCAACATGAGAATAATTCTACACAAACATAACGATTGAATTTAATTACGACACTTGCACTGTGGATAATTCGTAGGGATGTTGTCGACTTTTTGACATGATGCTATCTTTCAGTATCACTGTGAAGTTCTACTAGAAACCTTTATGCGAAAGAAAATGTTATTTCAAAAAGACTACTTTATCCTTGTATTCACTTTTGTTAATGTTAGAATATTTGTTTTCGTTGATGCAAAACTGTGAAAAGAAAACCATCAAAAATCAAGCTCCTTTAGGGCGAGTTCGTTGAAGAAATTTCGTAAAACGAAAAGAAACAAGTGTAGAATTTTGATCACAAATAGTGCGCAATTTAATTCATGTGAAAAAACCCTTCTTCGCTCACTCCCGCCATTAATTGCACTTTTGCTTCTTCCATTCTGAGAATAAAGCTCTCGACAAAGTATTGTCTCGTCTACTGTCACAATTTTCAACGCTATGACGAATTCTATCTCTCAAACAATTTATAATGCCTTGGTTAAATTGAATTTATTCAAGAAACCATTACTGGACGATCAACCACGTACTGTATTAATCGGAATTTGCGAAACATTCGTGTACGTGATTCTAGTACTGGGCGCCATAGGGATAATAACGACCTATTACACTGTCACAGAACGTGTCGTGACAAAGACCATAGAAAATCCAACTTTGACAATGTATCTTAGTCTATACAATCAATACAAATCCAGTCTGACTTGTCCGTGCACGCAAATTGCAGTTCCCTACAAGAAATTTCTGACTGTTAATCCATCGTACCATCAATACTGTTCAAGTTATTACAATTCAAAAGCTTGGCTTGAAATTGTACAAAGTATTGATCTGTATTTAGAAAGGGCAGGTAATCCAACAATAGCGTCGCCGACAAGTATCTTCATAGCACTGTCGGACTTCTGCCGTTTTTCGGGAGAAACGGTGAATGATTCATTAGCATCGTTTTATCAATCGAGTCTGATCAGTGGATATACGATCCAACCAGATATCTTTGAATCTCAAGCTGAAGCGATTGTTAACTTATTCATTAGTTCGACATCTAATTCATTTAAAAGATCTGCTGCTCTCATACNTCCAACAGTAGCGTCGCCGACAAGTATCTTCATAGCACTGTCGGACTTCTGCCGTTTTTCGGGAGAAACGGTGAATGATTCATTAGCATCGTTTTATCAGTCGAGTCTGATCAGTGGATATACGATCCAACCAGATATCTTTGAATCTCAAGCTGAAGCGATTGTTAACTTATTCATTAGTTCGACATCTAATTCATTTAAAAGATCTGCTGCTCTCATACGAAGAATTCTAGCTAATGATCAAGTGTTACGTGGAGCACATGGAACTAATTTCTATGCGACAGTTGATACAACTCGACAGACGTCCGATACGGGTGTCAAATTTGGTTTTCGAACAATAACCACCGCAAATAATACCCCATGCTATTGCTACATCGATTCATCGTGTGCAGACGTCGCTTATATACAGTCTTTTAATCCCAATTCACCTTCATTACCCGTGCCTGGTGTCTATGTTGGTTGCTCAATAATAGAATCACTATATATTTCAACTCTACAAGTTTTTTATGACTCGGCATTTATTGCCAGTTTGAATATTCCTTCAAATGTACCAGTTGTACCCCTTAATAGAACTGTCCCAAGTAGATATAATACGACAACACCCTTTGGTACAATCATCGAACAACTCTTTGTTGAAGACTGGAACACAACATACGCATTTGAAGACTATTACATCGGTTGTCAACCGTCATCATGTTCGTACATAGTTCAAATCCGTCGAGAAACAATTGAAATTTTAACTGCTGTACTAGGAATAATTGGTAGAGTAACGTCAGTCGTAGGAACGGTTGTGCCATTTGTTATAGAACGGATCGTTGATTTATTTGGCTCAGAAGAAAAAGACACGGTTGACAATCAAAATGGGAATAGTGCTCATAAATACGAGCAATCCCAACATGATAATGATCGCGATCTGACGGATATTCATGCTTGAGAATATCGACAACGATAGGTTGTTCGGAACCCTCGAAATTCACACGAGTGTAAAAGAATAAACCTTTATTTCTATAAAAATAAATATCGATGCGAAATATAACTCAACTTGCCGACAAGCTTTCTAGAACGCGGTAGATCCTTCGAATGAATCAACAACTCTACTGGTCTGAGTAACTTGTGTTGATGTAGAACTGCTCATATCAACAGTAGAGCTCCTTTTCTGACGATAATAACACTGCCTCCATCTATTTTGTATCAATCGTAGAAAAGGCATGAGAAGAAGTTTCGTTAGGAGAAATACAAAAGCAAACAATTCGATGCACAATGAGGTAAATAATAAGGCATGGAAGATCAATTCAGCTCGACGAACGATTGGTTCTTGGACATTCTTCACAAAAAACGGTCGTTCATCCAGAACGATCTGAATAATCGTCAATGACGATGTATAACGTAAATAATTGCCGAATTCAGCATAGTATGCGTCATCTGTTAATTTCACACTACCAAAAGTTGGTATCCATAAGCCCGTATATAGAGTACTATCTTCCGGGTTCAATCCTCGAGTAATATTGATGTTTTTAGTAAAAGTAATGGATACCAAAGTTTTTCTTCCTATCGTTTGATTCAATGCGGAAAAGAATTGACAGAAATCGAGTGAACGTAGTGTACTGCTTCCGTCGACTACACCATCACCACGAATGCATAAACGAAAACCACCAATCCAATGTGGTCCACTCATATTAATTTGAACATTCGACGAATGTGTTGGCAATTGAAATGAGACTGAAGTAGTAGCATTTGAGGCCGGTCGAGTGCATTCGATTGATAAATGAATAAAGTTTGAATCGACGAAATTCTCCTGNTGACAGAAATCGAGTGAACGTAGTGTACTGCTTCCGTCGACTACACCATCACCACGAATGCATAAACGAAAACCACCAATCCAATGTGGTCCACTCATATTAATTTGAACATTCGACGAATGTGTTGGCAATTGAAATGAGACTGAAGTAGTAGCATTTGAGGCCGGTCGAGTGCATTCGATTGATAAATGAATAAAGTTTGAATCGACGAAATTCTCCTGTGCTTTGATATTACGACACATAAATCCAGTATTAACTAGCTCGAGAGTCAGCTGAAATTTTTGTTGATTGAGTAAATTAAAGATCGCTTGTGAATCAATCGATTTTGGCAATGCAAGGAGCTGCAGACTGCTCGAAAATTTTGCGTTCATTAATGATGGATTGCATGCAAACAGAACGGATTCGGATATGCGTTCGATCGGATAACGTTGAATGAATGCTGCTGAAAACCAGTATGAAAATGCGACGAGAACAACAATAGCAAACGTCGCTAAACCACCAACCCATAATTCTCCTTCGCCAATAATATCTGTGTGTTTAAAAATGAGTTTGGCACAATTTCGATAGGATCGCCATCCATGATACCGATCTCGTTTCAGAAGACACATCGCAAGGCCAATAATCGAACACAGAATACCTACGATTAACGTCCAGAGCAGCGGTGAAATAATCATACAGCGGAATTCAGAACCTATGTAAAATACGTTCTGAAGTAAAATATCTTCAATGTCTGTTGTATCATCTGTTTCAGGATAATCTACGGCTTGATTATACGAAGGTACAATACTCGAATCGATATCCGCGGATGCACCCAATGGACAAAATGAATTCGAACACGGCACGCATATACTTTCTTGCTTGACGCTGATTCCCGGATTTTGTGTACGCGGAGGACAAATACGGCAGGGGCCTATTCCCGAATGATTCTTGTACGTACCTCCAATACACGGCATTGGGACGTATCTAAATCTATAAATTAGAGCAGATGTGTCGATCCATACTGATGTGTAACCAATCGGAGCAGTCGGAATCATGAGAATGTCGGCATGGTCGGTTAGTACAACCATATTTCCTTTTGGTGTAATAGTCATCCGTACAAAATGTGGATTCGACAACCGGCTACCAAGTATTTGCTGGTTATTGGGAAAAGTATGAAGTGCTGAAGTGGACGTAACGAGTGCGCCATCATAAATGAAGATCATTGATTGAGATCCACATGTTTGCAGAGTAGTTGTGCGTGTCAGAACAGCAAAAGTTCGATTATCAATCCACGCGACGCCACGGCCAAAAGACGATGAATGCGAAAAATGGACTGTATGTGTATTAACAATACTCAGTGATGTGTTGTTCTTTTCTAAGACTACAACCGACTCAAAACGATGTATACCAACCAATATGGTCTGATTGCGAATGGACACTGACATTTCATACAGTTCATTGAATGTCACAACATCCGATGGTACGATATACGTTGTTTCGGCATTGAGCAAGAGACATGACAATTTCGTTAACTCAGAAAGATCAATCAGACAACCGAGATCATTGTAATCTTTTTCGATCGAATTCTCATAGCCATAGCCAACAATCACAGCCCATGAATCAGCGATATCGAGAGCACGTGGAATAAAATGTAACGATGGCCATGTATCATTTGCCATTCGGTTCAAAACGATTTCATTGGTTTGAATGTTCAATTTGAAAACAAACGAGCTCGTAAAGCCATACGCATATTTCTCACTACGATCAACGCCAATCAAAAAGTATTCTTGAGGAAACCCGTGTGTATACACATCATTGCATTCTAATGTGCTCTTACACGTTGATTTAGATATCGAGATAATGCAGACATACGGTGTCATTGTTGACATTTTCTCTGCAGTAAAAACAAATTTGACTATGTCAAGAGTTGAACTATTCTTTTCATTGCCAATCACAGCAACACTGTGGACGAATTGATCGTTTGTGCCATATCGTATATTACAATGCGTCGATCTATTAAGAGCAGCATTTCGAAATGGATGAATGGCAACTGCAAAATTCGAAAATGCATTCGATGCTGAAACAAGAATGTCATCATTGGCAGCTATTTTAACACCCGCAATAAGATTTGTCCGGTCGTATAAACACCATGAAAAATGACAAAGATATACAAGAAAGAAGTGTATAACGAGCATACTACTATCATGTGACATTCTCTTGAGCAGATTTACTAAGGATTTCAAATATACACATGCTCTTTTAACAATGCTGTCAGAGAATTTGTTATTCTTTATGATAAATATTAACTTTTCTCGCCAATATAAATCGAACAAAAAACTCAATTAACGCGATAATACTCGATCACTTCTTTGTCATTCTGTTGCTATCAGCAAATATTTTTATACATCGATTTTGATTGATAAACGATCCATGAAGCCTTCTTTCATGTCTTTAGAACGAATTAAAACATGGAATACGTTGAAACTGCTTCGACTCTGTCTATTCTGTAAGTTGGAAATTTTATTACACTGTTTATCATCCCAAAGCACATCGTTGTGACGATAGACAAACAAAGAAAAGACAAAGGTATTTCATATCTTTCTCCTTTTCGTCAAAATAAATATTTTTTTTTCAAAATAAAACAACAATACTGGCTAGAGAACTCTGTTTGGAAATAGATAAAATATAATATGAGTATTATATAAATGCATGCTATCGCATTTTGTTCTCGAGTGAATTTATCATACGGAGTACATGTCATTTCAATCTACCTTCTATCGTTCACTGATTTACTTTCATGCAATCATCGCTATTGCTGAGTTTCTATTAACTTTCACTCTGATTATAGCTGTTTTACATAATTCCGAAATATTTTTCAAAATAACCGGTCCTGATGATGAGGATTGGAACTTGATTGCTGAAGGCTATCGAATTGCTATCTGGATTCTATTCCTCATAGGTACCATTCGCACGGTGATCATGCTTGCATTTGTTTTTCTAATACTATTTTCAATATCAACCTGTTTGTGCTTTTCTTGTTTGCTGTGTTGTCGCGAACAGACGGCTAGTTTCTTTACAGCAAAATCGACACATCGATGTCTGTCTTTCAATTGTAATTGCCCATGTTATCGTGCGCGTCCCACACTGCGTTTTCAACTGAAATTCGCATATTCTGTGATCATGCTTTGTGTTCGTGTAGCAACCATAGTGATTTGTCTTACAATAAGACATCACGTTACAACAAAAAGTTTGGCAATTATCATAAGCATGTCATTTTTTTTTCTTGATATTAGCTTGTCTTTTGGATTATTATCATTATCGTGTATGGTGGCATTATAAACCGCAATTCACTGACATTGGATTTTTCTTCGAGATGCCAACGACGCCACTTTCGCGAAAACATAAACGATATATTCCTTATCATTTGTTGGGTGATCACCGCACTGAAAGTTTCGGCGATAGAACATGTTCTGCCGGCGTACACTGTAAAAATCGTCAGTTGGAACATATATTCATATTTCATTTTCGAGGTTACAATCCCCAGCGACGCTATTTTGACATTATTCGAGCAGATAATCCGAAAAATCTTTACATTGGTTTTCATCAGACTGATCCTGCTTCAGCTGTCCTAATTGCTCATTCAGATTTCAGGATCAGTACTGGCTCTAGAAGCACAATGCTAGGACACGGAATTTACTTTGCTCGATCAAGAGAGGGCACAGAAAAGAAAGCAAATCGTCGTGGTGCTTTTATATGTGCTGAAATTAATATGGGAAGAGTGTTTTATATCCGATCGCACAAAAGATCTGTGTACAGTGGGAAGAAAACTTGGTGGAGTACGCACGACACAGCATATTACTGCCATCGAGATCCTAAATTCGATGAATTTTGTGTGAAAAGTCCAAATCAAATATTAAGGTGGATTATAGTAATCGAAAAACAATTCGACAAAAAAGTCGAAAACTATGGATTAGATACCGAATTTGACGACACAAAATGTGGATGTTTCTAGAGTGTTCTCTATTATTGATGTATTTTTATGAATCATATGCATTTATTCTCGAATTCAATGAACTGAATATTTGAGAATCCTAGGAAACTTTATCATTTAGAAGGAAAACAGCGAAGAGTTTTATTTGTTTGTAACGTTGCGTATAATAACCGGTTATAATTAGAAATGCTGCCTTTGATAAAAAAAGAAAAATCGTCATTTTCCTCCTAAAAGATAATTGGCAATCCACTCATGCTAGTCTTCTTAGGGTTTGCTAATCGTTAACGGTTGTTTCGTCCCCTTTACTTTCAATTCTAACTTGTTTGAGTGTTTTGTGTGCAGCACTACTCTGTTACTCCATGGCAACATGCTAACGATTCAAAGGTAGTCATACTCAAGGGGGAAAAGCGGTTCCTGGTTCCTCGGATCCTGTGGATCCTCGTAGTTCCTAATGGTTCCTCACCGTTCCTGGCGGTGCCTAGGAACTGCCAGGAACCGTTCTTTTCGCCTTGCTGGTGTATCTATGAATAAGTTAGACTTCTCTTTTAAGAAGATAATCGTCTAAAACTTATGTCAAGTGAAATCAATCGTACAAAAAAAAATCGTAAACATATCTGAATATGAATTAATAATTCGTACTTCCAATGTTTTTCAAGGGCAAAACTTAGACATTTCCGATTGAACAAAAGACGATAAATCAACTTCGTTCGTATTCTCATTTAAGAAGTATAATTCAATGTACTGATGAAATCGTTGTTTGTTGAGTGAAAAATTGTTTTAATATTGTTAGGGTTGTATATCCTTTGATCGAGTTCGAATATACACCTAAACTGTTTATTCGCGTTTCACGAAACAATACAAATCTTCTCACCGAATAGGAAAAAAGATACGTGCAAATATATATGAAAAGATAACGCGAGAATGTATAAACGAATGAAGGAAGGAAAAGAATGCATAAACGAATATGCGTGGGAATGATAGAGGAATGTATAAACGAACATGAGCAAAAGAAAAGATGAGTGGAGGTGGATGTATGCTGGTGCCATCACACCGTAACATACTCCCTATCGAGAAAAAAATGTGGATCATCTACATTTTGAACAACGATAGAAGAAATGAATGAAAGCGCGAAAACGAGAGAGAAAAAAATGAAGAGATGTTCACGTGTTACACCAGGAAAATCATTGGGTAGTGTATTATTCAAGGCGAACAGCTGTTGGAGTAGGTTGTTCACGAGGGTTGATAATATACGGTGGTGCTGAAAAAGATGCAGGATGAGTGTGTGTTTGTTTGATGGACGGCCAGATTTTAAGCTTGATAAAACAATAAGCCAGAATCAATAAAGAGAGTAATAAACCAATGATGAATAACAAGACGATATGAGACCAATTATTGACGTTAAAGCGTTGGTGACTAGTAACGAGGTCTTTGATTTCGGAATGACGGTTATCGATATGAACTTTGCACTCATCACCGAAGATTGGAGTAGAAAAGCCAAGTGAACAGGAACTTGAAAAATAGATGAGCCCAGTGAGCAGAAAATGCATGATAACGAGATAATCGACGAGTAAGAAAAAAGACAGATGTGAGAATGAATATGAAAATGTTCGATGCTGGTGTATATGAATATATTATAAGGAAAATATGAGAGCAGCATGAATCAAAAATGTAGATTAACGAGATGAAGAATGGCGAGGGCGAAAATGTAGAAAATTATTCGTGCGAAATTGAGAATAATGTTTCGGAGTGAATAAATTTCGAATGCGACGTTCATATGTACGTAAACAAGTATCTGCAGTAAAACCGATATAGAGAGAACGTTTGTGAGTAATACGAGAAATAGGTGCGAGAACAGCGGAATATGGAATATCCAGTGCAGATAAAATAAATTTAATATGATGTATTCGAAAGCGTCGATCGATATTGCGTTTAATAATTGTAACTGTATTGCGTCGCGCACGTTGTTTTAAAGTACAACTGCGATTGTGAATAACACGACGAGCAGCAGCGGATAGATCAGAACGTTCACGAGGTGGTGAAGAAACTATAGAATCGGTGGTAGTTGGTAAACCAGTGGAAGCAGGCACAGGAATGGAGTCTGCAGGTGTTGGTGATGCACGAGGTGACGAAAGAGAAGCATCGAGGGGTGATGTTGGATGCAACTCTAGAATATCGGCTGCCAGTGATGTGCATACGAATGATGGAAATAAATAGTGTTGATTTTTCATATGAATTATAAGACGTTGCATTGATAAGCAATCAGAAAGAGCATAAGCAGCAAGTTCTGAACGATGACGTTGTTCAATCACAGTGTGATGAAAAAGTTGTGGATCAAGACCAATACTGAAAGTGTTGTTGCGTAGCGTTTTTGAAAGATATTCGTGTAGAGCGTAGACGATTGAATCCTGGAGCGACCATGGTTCGGACGATAATTTGCCAATACAGTTTTCACATATACATGATGACGATGAAGAATGAGGATGATGTTGTGTCCAAAAAAGTTTAAATTCCTTTTGTAAATTGATTTCGTGAAAAGTATTGATTTGTTCGATTGTGAATAAGTTGAATATAACGAAAGGCGATAATTCATTGTTTGTACCCCAAATGTAGACGAGTTTATCCGACGAAAATGTACGACGAAATAATTCTTGTATTAATGGAAATTTTGGATGATCATCCCGCGGTAAATGACACATTTCGACGATAAGAGCGATAGAAAAATCATTTGGGAGTAAAAGTTGTAATTGAATAAGTGTAGGTCGATTGGTTTGTTTGTAGACTTGATCGGATTCGGTATCGAGAGTAAATTCCGACGTTGTTGTAGCCGTGCGAATAAGTTCAGATAAAATGGAATCAGGTGTTGTGCGATTTATGAAATAAGAAGTGTGAGGTAATGGTTCAAATGGACGATATGTTGTTGCATGTGTGTTCTTTGAGTTTATGACGTAGACGCCGACGAGTATTGCGTTGTTGTACGGTGGTTAATGAAGATGATGACAAAGTATTCAATAAACAGTGTGTGTGTTGAAGTTCTTCGGTAGATAACATAACTAGATGAAAAGAAAGAAAAAATTTTGATTTGTGTGTTAAAAAAGATCAGTTTCTGGTATGTTAAGAATCAGTTACGAAACAGAGATTCTTTATATTCGATTCTCATGGATCCTGTGAGAATCTGAAAAGAAAGTTGTGATATCTAAAAGATATGATGTTTCGTATAATATAACAGAGTACCACCAAGAAAAGAAAAAAAAATCACAGGAAGTGTAATAGCCCTTCAACATCAGTGAGTGAGAGAAGTGTTGGACCCCCCCGATGTGCCATGCTAGATTACACGCCAATAAGAAATTTCAATACGATGGAGGTATTCGATTAGGATTAACATATCACGGCTGAGTGCAGCGAATATCGATGAAAAAGAGGTCCTGAGACTAAGAAGAACGTTCGAAGAGTGGTATAATAACATCGGTGGTAACTTGACGAGATAACGTAAGTTTTTTTACGTGTTGAATCATAAACGTTTTTGGTGTAATTTTATCAACAAGTAGCGTTCGTCGTGCCGACTCACTTCACCCTCGACTATGGAAGACATATATACTGTCTGCGTGTGCTATTAATGAGGCGAATCGATCTAGCAACTTCACGTACGATGAAACGGTACAACTTTTTCTCTTCCACTATTTATTAACTCTNTAGACGTAAGTCTAAAATCTCACAAGTTGGAATACTCTATTTTGCTACAAAGTGATTAGAACAATATAGTTTTCAAAGCGTGTATAAGGAATAGTCTAAGAAAATTGTGTGTGTTATGTTCATGTTTTATGCATTTTGTCCCATGAGTAAAGCTTGTTCCATGGCATCGATACTTTTCTTTAAATTTTCACGTCTTTGCTGTTGCTCAAATGGTTCGCGCATCCACTCGAACAGTACAGCCGATGTAAATGCTGCGGTGAGTTTTGAATCTAACATAAGAGCACATCGAGTAATGAACCAGTAGTAGCATAATTGAGAAACCTGGTCAACTACACGCCGTCCGACCACGTGACAGTATACTGTCATAGCTATCTGAACATCGAGCACCGCCGAATGTTCATGTGATAGTTGGCTCAAGTTCACTGTAAAGTCGTTAACATAGAATAGTGTGGAATTCGCTGTTTTTTTAGCATCTGGGGGACTTTTCAGATTATCAAAATGTTCTTGACACCGCCGTTTGATTTTATTTACCGAATCCATGTAATAAAAGTCGAGTGTATATATCCGTTGTTCAATTTCTAACATCTTCGTAATATCATTACTGCAACACTCATAACTTGCGTCGATACTACGCATGATAATATCAGTCAATCTGTGTATTAGATTGTATTTATAACTTGTTTCTTCAACAAAGACCTCATGTAAAATTTTAATTAATATTGTTTTTAAATATTGAGCATATGACTCCATTAGATCTTCGCATGGTTTTTTGAGTTTATTCCGTTCCGAAGAATAAAGTCTTTCTACGATACTAAAGGATGGAAAGTTTGGTAATGCAACGCCTGCATTCTCTTCGAGTAGTTTTGATACCAATTGCTGGTATGTTGTTGAAAAGAAATTCGTAAAGCATTTACCAATCGCATTTTGACAGTCTTTCTGTCGGTTGTGTAGCTGAAAAGCAATACGATCATCGAACCGATTATTTACTTCCAGACTAGCTGAAGTTATTGTTTGTACGCTAAGTGCGTCTAATTTGAACTGCATTTCATTATCATAAACCCCATGCACACGTGCATTGATTGTTTCATTGAACTTTTTTATCAAACTAGTATATAAGGACCAACAATCAATCTCGGATGACACAGCTGGTGGCATTGATTTCAGTTGAGTTTTCTTAGATTTGATCTCGTTTTTTAACTGATCGATAATCGATGGTAATGTTGACCGTATACGGTCTTGTTGAATTCTAGCCAGACGTTTGACGAGCTGGTTGCTACCAAGATAGCGTTCAGGAACATTGACAAAAGCTTGATTCGTTCGAAAGAAGCTTTCTTCTCTTCTACGCATTTCATCAAATAGGATATTAGCATCAATTTCCTCTTGCGTACGATTAAGTACAGCTACACAACCAAGTTTTAGGACCATTGAACCTGGCCCGATGCCTTGCAGCTTTTCGCCGATGCCCTTGTCAAATTTGTCGATTTTCGATACGGCAATCAGTTGTCGTTCACCTTTAGATGTAAAGCAGTCATGCTATAGACAATTTCAAAGATTATGCGTTCTTACAACTCGGATCGTTCTTCTTAGCAAGTTGAATGGACTCTGACGTTGTAAAGTCTACTGATGCAGGAATAACATGTAAGACAATAGCCGTTGCCGGTTGAATGTAATGTTCAATCAATGCAATAATGTCTTGGTAAATCGTTTTCGACTGACCAGCGATGGGATTACGAGTTATACCTATTCTCCCGAAAGATAGAGTATTTACCTTGCCACATGGTAAATCACTTACCTGGTAAATCAATAAGCGTTAAGTCTGCTTGGATGCTACGTTTATAAACAGTTAAATAAATTGGCTTCGACGTAACGTTCGATTTATTGCCAGTTAATCGCACTGTATAATTAGTGACTAGGTTCATAATATCAGCGAAATTATGGATAGTAGTCTCATCAGCGCCTTCGCATCGAATAGTTGCGTATTCCTCTTCATGTAAGGGAATGCTTTTCATTCGTAATTCCAGTGGACATCGAGTACAGATATTCTGTGCGCGCGGTAGCTGAATTCCACTTAAGGCTTCAAGAACAGACGATTTACCAACCTTGACAAGGACGTATACAAAAGAGGTTCATAAAACGATGAAAAGTAAGTATTTTTTGTTACTAACCGACTGATCGCCAACGACCACGATATGAGGAAGAGATATTTTCTCATGATGCAGTATTTCGCGCATGTCATCGACAACTTTCAGAAGACGACGAGATTCCGGTGTATTGAATTCGTCAGTAAGCATGTTCGAACTAGTGCTTTTTGTAAATGGATACGACGTGAGACAGTTGCCCCTAAATGTTACAAATATTTGAAATAGAAGTACATAGCTGATTGTACACTTCGACTGCCTCAAAAATTCTCAGGTGTCGATTGGCATTCATCGTGAAAAGAAACAAACGACTGAATGTATTAATACTGCACGAGATAATCGGGCGAAGATCATAATGGGAAGAAAATATAGAATATTAGAATGTGAAAAATATCAAAAGCGAAGAAACACAAAGTGGAAAGAGTAGATGTCTGAAATTTCCGATTTAAGCGAATAGAGAGGAGATTTTCGGAATCTCAGACGTGCACAGTCCATCAGATTCTACTTGCGTTCGCTGCATTTTTTGCGTATTTCCTACAATGTCTCCTTACGCTTCGAAGCTTTTTTGTTCCGATATTTACCATGCACAACTCTTCTCGTGACTCCGATTGCGAAATATGAGTTATTGACCACAAGATTGGTACAAAAAACGTATAACAGGGGTTTGTGGCTTTTACCCTATACCTATTCGAGGAGAGATTACTGATAATACTACATTTCCTCGATAATCACATAAAATTTTAAAAAGTGCGCTTTAATGTGCCTGAAGTGCTCACAAGCAACAGTCTAGCAAAACAATTCTGCAAAATTACGCACCAACAATGCGCCGAAAAGTAGTAAACACTACAGCTCACTGTTTTGTGATTGTAAATTCAAACGGTAATAACATCAACAGCCAATGAAAAATCAGCTCGTTACTATTAGTAAATGTTAGAAAAAGAATTCAGACGTCTTTTCATCGTTTACGTCAACAAGAATTTTGCCAAAAGAAAAAGAAACAATAGAAACATAATATTTTTATGATGGTGTTTTTTTGATCACCACGAATTTTTGTTTTTAATAAAAAACATATACTTGAATTGTATGAATTGGAAAGTATTTTTTGAATTCATATCCAAGCGTTTTCGATGCTGCGAAATCACTATAACATCGATCTCAGAAGAACTGATATCATTGTATGAAGTATCCACCAGATTAATCTTGATTAGTTGTCGATCTTCCAAGCAAAAGAATGGAGTTTCGTTCTTTGTCACTTATACATGACTCTCGCAGGCATTGAAGATCAACAATCACGACGTGTTTTTATATAAGCTGGTTATAATCGTGTGTCTTCGTAGATCGTTCATTTGAGTAATATTTAAGATTTCCATCATGTTTCTTAGTCATTGAAAATATTTACTCAAAAGTGTTGTGATGCAGAAGTCATGAATTGATGATAATTATAAGACTATGACGAAAAACGTTATTTACTCATATCACTCATAAAAACCTATATATTGTCGATAAAGGTTTGAACAAAATTATTTTCACTTCGTATATTTCATTAAATATGCTCGAAAGTAATAATTTTAGCGCGATGGTCGTCGCTTTTCTGCTGTTTTTGAAGAATGAAACATCAGGTAATTAATTCTTTACAGATGTGTCCTATAATCTAACTCAAACCCGAGAAGAAATGCGTGTCACTTTCACATACATTCGACTTTTAAATTTGATCGAGTCTATCACTCTGTCATTCATTTTCATTCTATAGCTTCTTCGTTTAATCAGCCAAAATTCTGTCCAACAGTCAAATGGAACCGATACGCCACTACTTTTGTCATGTCGAACGTGTCCGAGGTGACCGCTGATACTATATTTATTGACACTCACAATATGATTCATGTTAAATTTACCGATCTTGAAAAATCGCGAATTCTAGTTTGGCATGGAAATAGTACTTACCCTGTAACGATTCATGTCGAAGATGTATCGATCGTTGCACCTATACTTATTTCCGACGTTGGTGAAATCTATGTAGATCGTCTTGATGGTCAAATTATTAAACACATACCGAAGGGTTTATTAGACGATACGATGGACATGATGATTGTAGCGGGGACAGACAAAGAGGAATCAGCTTTTGATCAACTGAACAGACCGACAGGGATCTTTGTCGATACGAACTTGGACTTGTATGTAGCAGATTCTGGAAATCGTCGAATTCAACTTTTTTCATTCGGCAAAAAAATTGGAAAAACAGTAGCAGGACTCGATTCACCAGATATTACAATCATGCTCGCATGTCCGTATTCGGTTATCTTTTTATTTCGGACCATTGTGACGGTCGTATTGTTGCGTCCGGACCAAATGGTTTTCGATGTTCAGTTGGATGTGATGAAGAAGGTTCTCAATCTCATCAGTTAAAAGGACCAATGACATTTAGTTTTGATGTTGATGGGAATTTGTACGTTGCTGATGGCGATAATGGTCGAATTCAAAAATTTGATTTACAAAAAGATTCTTGCAGTAAGTCATTCGAAGAAGTTGAAAATACAACATGTAGACTTTGTAATTTATACTACAAATAGTGTATTGAATAATTATGAAGAAGACTATTTACTGTTTGTTGTAGATATCATGATAACTTTCTCGATTATTGACATGTATTATTTAACTCATTCTTTTTCAATATTTAGAGACTGTTGTTGCCTCAAACATTCCAACAATATATTCGTATACGCTCACAAAAACCCATACAATGTTTTCGCGCACTAGATTCAGTGAATTCAAATACCATTATAAAGCCATCAAAGTGATTGTGAGTAAAGATGACTTCTACACTCTCACTGCTAGTAGTAATATCGATCTCTGTGGCCATGTATATATATAAAGATCAATTCGATCCACACAATCCTACGTTCAATATAATTGCATGGAATGGCAAACACCATAATCAAAGTCAGTATCAATTCACACTTGAGGTTTTAGTCAATATAACATATATCTGGGTTGTAACAACATACGAGCCGAATGTGACAGGTTCATTCTCAATCACCGCACTTGGTTCAAGGACGGTTCGTCTTGTACTCATAGGTAAGTGACATACACTACTAAAAGATGATTTTTCATTCAATTCTCGTACCAAACGGGTCCAAAGCTTCCTCGTTTTTTGTATTTTGTACTAACTCATAATATACCGATGTCTTGCGTATATTTTGCTTATGAAAGTATAGTTGAACACATGAATTACAGAAGCATATTGACGAAATTTATCGATTTGAATAGTATAGAACCGCCGATTGAATCGATATACGCGTCATTATGAAGCAATAGAAATAACTGTGAATCAAAATGGTACTTACACTGTTCTGGGCAGCATCAATACGAGTATATCTATGCCGATTTATATCTATAAACATGGTTTTCATCCACATGTTCCGATCAGCAATCTGCTGAGGGAAAATGATAATTGCTATGTTTATCGCACCTCAAATTACCGTTGAACTTCTAACCTCTATTCGATACATATTGGTCGCGTCACCATGCCTACCATCTATGCTAGGGGCCTTCGTGATCAAACTATTTGGCAGAAATAGTATCAGCTTTCAACGTATAAGTAAGTAGTTCTAAGAGAAATGCAAATCATACAGAATATCTTGTATGAATTGTAACATCAATTGTAAATTTGATGTTTTTGTTTCTGAATAGATACTTCGTCATATGTACTCTGAAACTATTCATCGCACCTATCAACATCTAGTCAACTATATCATAAAACTTGTGATCGTTCATACTTTTACTATGAGACGGTCCGATTAACTGCACTCATTGATGGATACTATGATTTTTGGTCGGTTTCTCCAGCGTCTCTAATAAATATATATATCTACAAAAATCATTTCGATCCGTTAAGCCTACTTGAAAATTTAGTGTAAGTCAATGCCCATGACTGCTTTGTAAATGATCGATCGAAATACGCAGTGTATCTTTGGTCTGATGTTACATACATATTGCTTATAACAACATTAAGTCCATCGATGACGACACAGTTCATAATCGATGTTTATGGTTCAGCAAGTGTTTCTCTTCAACGCATTGGTAAGTATCGATAACGTTTTACAAGTAATCATTATCAAATACAGCACAGTGCATTGAGAATGTTTGACAATTACAGATAAAATCGACTTTTAAGTCATGAAAGTACCTGAGAATACAAATAGCGTATAGAGGTTTTGACATTGTTTTGTTTTCAAACATTTGTCTAGTGGACAATTCTACGTATTGTCGTGTGGGCGGCCCGTGCAGTGTTCGAGTGAAAAGTATTGGTTTAACTCTCGATGATATTTTACGGTTGGAAGTTAATCGAAATATGGCGATGCATGATCAATCATTTCTGATCAAAATCAGTGGCGCTTTGACAGTGCTTATGTTTATTGCTGGTGTCCTCAATAGCGCTTGTTCAGTTTTAACATTTCAAAATCCAAAGTCACGAACAGTTGGATGTGGACTGTATCTTCTTGCATCATCACTTACCTCCATTTTGACAATTATAATGTTCACAATAAAATTCTGGTTTGTTGTTGTCACACACATGAACACGTCAGTTCCTCGGTCTGCTCTTCGCAGTGGTTGTAAGTTTTGATAAAGAGAAGAGTAAACGCTGGGCTCGATGGATCATATTTATCTTGCCGATTGTGATCATGAGCTCAATTATTCATGAACTACTACACCGTCAAGTGTTCACGCATGAAATAAAAGGCGAACAATCTGTCGGTAAAAATGCAAGCATTTCAGGAAAAATTGTAGCCAAACAGTATTTCTTGTGTGTAACTTCCTATTCTCAATCCGTTCAAGATTATAATACAACTATTCTATTTATTCATCTTCTTGGACCATTTATCGTAAATCTACCCTCCGCTTTATTCATCATTATTGGAGGTGTTCGACGAAGAGCGGAAGCCCAAAAGAAACAAACATTACCCCCAACATATTCGAGAACAATGGAATGAACATAAACAACTTGTCATCAGTCCGATAATTTTAGTTCTTCTGTCAACACCACGCCTGGTTATGACGTTATTATCGGAATGTACAGACGTCTCTCGTCATACCTGGCTGTACCTCTCCGGGTATTTCGTTTCATTTATACCATCGATACTTATCTTTGCTGTGTTTGTTCTCCCTTCGAATTCCTATTGGAAAACTTTCAAAGAATCGTTGTTTAGGATTTGTAAGAGACAGCGATCATAGAACAGGTCATCAGTACTTCTAGATCAACATTAAAACTATACAAATGTCATTCTTGTACAGATTCTTTGATTAGCTATAATTAAAAGTTACATGATATCGTTGAGTGTGTGCCATCTAGAGTACGCATTTTCTAAGATTAACCAACGCTTGCTATCGTATGTATTAATTCGGTCATTCTTTTACGAAAACTTTCTCAACATGTGTCCAAGTATTCAGTCCAATTTTGAATCCACCCTTTTGTGGTGGTTGCTCAGCACGAGCTGTTAAAACATCCCCTTGGCCTTGTTCGTCGACATTATACCAAAAAATAGTATTTCCAGCTATCGGACGAAATTGAATGCCAAGTTCACGAGAGTCTTCATTACAAACCAATATGTCACAAAATTTGCCATGTAAAAATTTGTTGAAACGAACGTTGACAAATTCGGTTTCACCGTGCGAACAGTTTGCATAGAGATATGTAAAAAATGTTGCGACTCTTTGACTCCCATATTTCTCTAGGTCAGTCTCAAGAAACCAATCAACATACGGTTCGTACTATTCAAAAGAAATATCATTTCTACAAATCATCGATATAAAAAATATACATACTTTCTGATCGGATGTGTATTTGACGACGCGTAGTGGCTCAATGTGCTCGACGCGAATATTTGCTTGAAATCGAGCGAATCGTTGTGCGATGCATTTTACGACGGGTGTTTTGTGACACTCGAGATCTACTGTCGATGAAGTTTGATGTCCAGTTTCTCTAGAACCATTGGAAACGAATCTTGGGAATGATCAAATTGATTTTGACTTACGCTAGTTCAATCAAATGCTGAATTTCATAGTCAAGAAGAAATTTGTCAATGTAAATAATCAGCGGTGTTCGTGAAATTATTCGAGTCTTGTATCGATGATCGGTACATTTATAGGCACTTTTGCTCATCGTTTTGTTTGCTTGAATCGTTCCGTCATTGCCATTGAATTCGTTCAAGTATGTAATCAAGATCTTCAAAACTATTCGTGTCTGTCCTTTTATCTCACCAATGTTGTACACACTGATACTGACTATCAGACAGAATAAAGCTAATCCTTGTATTAGAGAAAACATTCGGGGTAATATGAAGATTTTATAAGAGCAACTATACCTGAATATATGAAACGAGACATTTTGGGACAAGAAAATGTATGCCAGTTACTTTTTCTTTCAAAAAATCTTTTCTTTTCTTAACAAAATAAAACTCCTGTTGAAAAAGAAATAAACGTGACGATTTCACCATTAATAGCTATTGTTTTTTCTTCTGCTCGCTGTACGACAGTGGCAGCATTGACGAAATGGAATCATAAACACTTCACTATGAACACATTTATCAATGAAAAGCAGTCTTTCCGTCGTCGTTCTATTAGCGACACATCAGAATATTTCTGACTTCAGTGCGAAATGTTTTCGATACAAATAAATTACTATAACATCCAATGCAGAACGGAATGTAGGCACTGAACACACTCACGCTCAATACAAATCCTTGTAGATACAACTGAACGTAAGGCTGAACTCGATTTTGCATCACTTGTTGGTACACAAGGAGCACTGATATCATCGTATTGAACAGAATATAGATCGAAGTGTCCAATAGAATAATCTTAATTAGTTGTCGATCTTTTGAACGAGAAGAACGTACACCGCCCACTGTGACTCCTACACCATTGGCTGATGTACGAGTGACAAGAGCTGTCGCATGAATCAAACTCCGCACATTTTTTACAGTCCATAAACCAAAAATGATCATCAATATTGGAATAAGAATAGCTTTGATGATCAATGAATAATAACTCACTAGTGTTAGATAGACACCAGGCTGGAAATAGCAAACATCAACACCAGATGCGCTCTTAATGATCACTGTAAAGATCAATGCATGAATATGAAAGATCAACCAGAAAAGAGTGATGACTACGACGCATATATACGCAAGACGAGAAGTACTTCGTTGTCGCGTCGAAGCATTTCGTGAAGTGATAAGGATTCGGTCGATAACAGCCAGAATAAGATAAGACGGACTCAAAACGTCACAGACAAATGTAATATAGTAACGAAAACGGCAGAATATGATATCGTATGCACTTGGTTCGATGTTATAACCAGTGCCAAGTGTTGAGATCAATATCGATGTGTAGATCATAAGGAAATTTGCCAAGGTAGATGCGATTAAATATATAGAGCATGGACTCTGTCGTAGAGTTCTTCTAGTGAAAACTCTCAAACTCATGAAACAGCTTAGAGTACCTATGACGATGAGAATAGGACCACCGATTTTGTAGATGTTTGTGTTAGCTGATGTTAAAAATAAAATGTAACAGTACGTTGCCGACATTTTTCTCAGTTCTTAGAAAAATTAAAGATATGCTAGGATATACTTTCTAATGTGTTGGTACAAAAAGTATCTATCTCCGTAAAATTCCTGAAATCATTGTTTGTTCTTACTTTAGAAAAAGGAGGTGTATTTTGTTTTTTGATTAAAATGATCAGCTTTGTTTTAGTCACTGAGAGCATAATTATAATAAATGAGCAAAGTGTTACGCATCCCACATAGTTATTTAGAGCAGTTATTTAAAATTCAGACACAAATCATGGTTGAAGAAACTATTTATTATCATTACGTTTCATCGATTATATGGTTCTCGTTTATTTTAATTGAATCATTTGAACGTAAAGGACACTCATTAGTTTCTCTATTTTCAGCATGTTCTTGTAGATTCCATCGGCATTATCATCTTAGTTAAGATATGCTATGGCACTATAACACATTTTGAACTCATTGTATAAGTATCGATTTGAATAATGATTGTTTTCATAATCTTATCGTGCTATAGTATTTTTCAGATTCGCTAAGCGTCGTTAACATGTTATCGAATGTGTTAGCTCTACTGAATATTTAACACAGTTGGATTTTACAATTGTTTCGGATCTCGTCTGTTGTCTCTGAAATCTAAACTACTCGAAATATGTGTTGCAACGAAACAAGATTTCGAAGAAAAGAATTTTGTGTATTGATGAATTCCGTCACAGACAATAATAGTTTTGAGTTTGGTACTAAGCTTGACGAAGATCTGATTTCTTGCATAATAGAGAGATAACAAGACGATAATTAGATTGTTCCCAACGAAAACCTTGTATAAAACTGAAATTCAGATGGCTGACGCCAAAACAGGTACATCGGTGAACGCGAATTTTGAATGAAGATGCGAGGCACACAAGATACTGAAGACGTAACTTTGATCAATGAATCAATCTGATTCAATAGTTCGTACAGTTCTTCTATTGATAACATAATGCATGGATCGCAATAGATAAAAAGAGAGACTAAACATTAGATTCTTGTCGTCAATGAAAGTCGAGTCGATAGCAATTGATTGCAAAGTACCTGTTCATGAACAATCGCTGAAGGCTAACTGAAGTTTATTTAATGGAATTTTTTGCCGCAGAATGACATTGAAAAATACAGCACTCGAATCTTATTAGATTGGATACACTAACAGGTACAGTAGTAAAATCTGTATGATCATAGATTGGTATCAAAATTGAAGTTAAGCTTTTTAATGAACCATCCTTCAAGTCCAATAGTGTGGAGTATTCATCCTGGTTTAAGAAGCCTATAAAAGAATGATCTGATGGAGAAAATTTGACTGATGAAATAGAACGACTCAAAAAGTAATTGTATCACCCTGTTTGTTTGTCCTCTGTGTTGTGCAAATGTACGAAAGAGATTGGCTCGCTCAATTCAGAATTCTTTTTTCTCGCTGATTTTCAAACATGATATCAATTTGAATGTCCTGAATGGTATTGACGGCACATTATGCAGTTACATTAGTTGCGTCACACTCATATAAAATACACAAGTCTTTAATCGTTGTTCTTCTTTTACTACTAAACAGTTCAAAAAAACATTGAAATTGACTGAAACATTCGAAAAATCTTTCCAGACTATCATCCTACACATGCTAGTGAACTTGCTAAGTTGTTTGTATCCTAAGTACAATATGTTGTAAATTGACAGGAGAATCTGCTCAGTCACAAACAGAAAATCAACAAGTACAACTGCATAGTCGATCTTGTCAGTTTTTTTAGGAACATAAATCGTTTTATCGTATGTAGCTAGTCCAGTTGCTATGAAAGGAACGTGTTCATAGAATTATTGTGTACATTTTCTTTGCAATCTACAGTTGACCTACTTTTTGAAAAACTTCCTTAATACGCACGAAAAGTGACCGATAAAACATTTAGATTCTGTTTTAAAGTAAACATGGTATACTAGGAAAGTTCCTGGTTTACACCAACTTAGAAAACGTTTTAATCATTTCGTTATTCAAATTTAGACGAATGTACGTCTTCTTTTATTAAACATTTGTACTCTTATTGTTTTCTGATTTGTAACTTCTGCCTTTTGATTCTACACAAAGCTAATTTATAATTAGATAATCTTAGCGACAGACATAATTCTGTTCTCGACTAAGTAGTACTCTTTTGTAAAAATTCAGGAAATTACTTTTTTACAAGTCATTTTTAAGTTCTTTTCCTGTGCAAACAAGCCTTAGTCAACGTACGATCGAGCTCTTCCACACTTGGCAGCAGACGTTGTGAAAAGTACATGCCTTTCGTTCATTGACGTATTCTCAACTATTTTAATACGTCTACCATGTCAAGTTCACTGTATGACTTGATCTTAAGCATATATAATGCTACAATTGATATGTATAAAATTATTCCGCCAATTCACATTGCTCTCGGAACATTTGGCAACGTGTTCAATATGATTATTTTCACTCGTCCAAATCTACGCAACAATCCATGTTCAATATACTTCTTAGCCAGCTCGATCAATAATTTTTTTTTCATCTATCTGCTCACTGCTCTTCGATATATTTCATTTATGTTTGATTTAAATTTCACACAAAGTAGCAATCTACTGTGTAAGATAAGCATTCTTGTTCAATACGTCCCATTTTCTCTTGCCATATGGTTTCCCGTTCTCGCCAGTATCGATCGATTTCTATCAAGCTCGCGAACAGTTCGATTGCGTCAATTGAGTAGCGTGTCAGTTGCGCGACGAGTCATCATAGGGATTTATATAGTTTTTCTTTTGATTCATGCGCATATGCCAATATTCTATGAGTCAGCTTGGGATAACGGTGCCTTTGGTTGTGGAATTAGTTCTTATCAATACTTTCTTTTCTTTACTTTTTTCGGGCCTATTGTTGCTTGTCTTTTACCCATTGTACTCATGTGAAATTTAAATCAAACATAAATGAAATATATCGAAGAGCAGTGAGCAGATAGATGAAAAATAAGTTATTGATCGAACTGGCTAAGAAGTATATTGAACATGGATTGTTGCNTGACAGAAATCGAGTGAACGCAGTGTACTGCTTCCGTCGACTACACCATCACCACGAATGCATAAACGAAAACCACCAATCCAATGTGGTCCACTCATATTAATTTGAACATTCGACGAATGTGTTGGCAATTGAAATGAGACTGAAGTCGTAGCATTTGAGGTCGGTCGAGTGCATTCGATTGATAAATGAATAAAGTTTGAATCGACGAAATTCTCCTGTGCTTTGATATTACGACACATAAATCCAGTATTAACTAGCTCGAGAGTTAGCTGAAATTTTTGTTGATTGAGTAAATTAAAGATAGCTTGTGAATCAATCGATTTTGGCAATGCAAGGAGCTGTAGACTGCTCGAAAATTTTGCGTTCATTAACGATGGATTGCATGCAAACAGAACGGATTCCGATATGCGTTCGATCGGATAACGTTGAATGAATGCTGCTGAAAACCAGTATGAAAATGCGACGAGAACAACAACAGCAAATGTCGCTAAACCGCCAATCCATAATTCTCCTTCGCCAATAATGTCTGTATGTTTAAAAATGACTTTCGCACGATTTCGATAGGATCGCCATTCATGATACCGATCTCGTTTCAGAAGACACATCGCAAGACCGATAACCGAACACAAAATGCCCACGATTAATGTCCAGAGTAACGGTGATATGATCATACAGTGGAATTCAGAACCTATGTAAAATACGTTCTGAAGTAAAATATCTTCAATATCTGTTGTATCATCTGTTTCAGGATAATCTACGGCTTGACTATACGAAGGTGCTATACTCGAATCGATGTCCGCGGATGCACCCAGTGGACAGAATGAATTCGAGCATGGCACGCATATACTTTCTTGCTTGACGCTAATTCCTGGATTTTGTGTTCGCGGAGGACAAATACGACAGGGGCCTATTCCTGAATGATTCTTGTATGTACCTCCAATACACGGCATTGGGACGTATCTAAATCTGTAAATTAGAGCAGATGTGTCGATCCATACTGATGTGTAACCAATCGGAGCAGTCGGAATCATGAGAATGTCGGCATGATCGGTTAGTACAACCATATTTCCTTTTGGTGTGATAGTCATCCGGACAAAATGTGGATTCGACAGTCGGCTTCCAAGTATTTGTTGGTTATTGGGAAAAGTATGAAGTGCTGAAGTGGACGTAACGAGTTCGCCATTATAAATGAAGATCATTGATCGAGATCCACACGTTTGCAGAGTAGTTGTGTGCGTCAGAACAGCAAAAGTTCGATTATCAATCCACGCAACGCCGCGGCCAAACGACGATGAGTGCGAAAAATGGACTGTATGTGTATTGACAATACTCAGTGACATGTTGTGCTTTTGTAAGACTACAACCGACTCAAAGCGATGTATACCAACCAATATGGTTTGATTGCGAATGGACACTGACATTTCATACAGTTCATTGAATGTGACAACATCCGATGGTACGATATACGTTGTTTCGGTGTTGAGCAAGATACATGACAATTTTATTAACTCTGAAAGATCAATCAGACAACCAAGATCATGATAATCTTTTTCAATCGAATTCTCATAGCCGTAGCCAGCAACCATAGCCCATGAATCGGCGATATCGAGAGCACGTGGAATAAAATGTAACGATGGCCATGTATCATTTGTCGTTCGGTTCAAAACGATTTCATTGTTTTGAATGTTCAATTTGAAAACAAACGAGCTCGTAAAACCATACGCATATTTCTCACTACGATCAATGCCAATCAGAAAGTATTCTTGAGGAAACCCGTGTGTATACACATCATTGCATTCTAATGTGCTCTTACACGTTGATTTAGATATCGAGACAATGCAGACATACGGTGTCATTGTTGACATTTTCTCTGCAGTAAAAACAAATTTGACTATGCCAAGAGTTGAACTATTCTTTTCATTGCCAATTACAGCAACACTGTGAACGAATTGATCGATTGTGCCATATCGTATATTACAATGTATCGATCCATTAAGAGTAACATTTCGAAATGGATGAATGGCAACTGCAAAATTCGAAAATGCATTCGATGCTGAAACAAGAATGTCATCATTGGCAGCTATTTTAATACCCGCAATAATATTTGTCCGGTCGTATAAACACCATGAAAAATGACAAAGATATACAAGAAATAAGTGTATAACGAGCATACTACTATCATGCAACATTCTCTTGAGCAGATTTACTAAGGATTTCGAACATACACACGCTCTTTTAACAATGCTGTCAGAGAATGTGTTATTCTTTATGATAAATATTGACCTTTCTCGCCAATATAAATCGAACAAAAAACTCAATTAACGCGATAATACTCAATCGCTTCTTTCTCATTCTGTTGCTATCAGCAAATATTTTTATACATCGATTTTGATTGATAAACGATCCATGAAGCCTTCTTTCATGTCTTTAGAACGAATTAAAACATAGAATACGATGAAACTGCTTCGACTCTGTATATTCTGTAAGTTGGAAATTTTATTACCGTTTATCATCACAAAGCACATCGTTGTGACGATAGACAAACAAAGGAAAGACAAAGGTATTTCATATCTTTCTCCTTTTCGTCAAAATAAATAATTTTTTTCAAAATAAAACAACAGGAACTGACTAGAGAAATCTGTTTGGAAGTAGATAAAATATAATATGAGTATTATATAAATACATGCTGTCGCATTTTGTTCTCAAGTGAATTTATCATACGGAGTACATGTCATTTCAATCTACCTTCTATCGTTCACTGATTTACTTCCATGCATTCATCGCTATTGCTGAGTTTGTATTAACTTTCACTCTGATTATAACTGTTTTACATAATCCCGAATTATTTTTCAAAATAACCGGCCCTGATGATGAAGATTGGGAACTGATTGCTGAAGGCTATCGAATTGCTATCTGGATTCTATTTCTCATAGGTACCATTCGCACGGTGATCATGCTTGCATTTGTTTTTCTAATAATATTTTCGATATCCACCTGTTTGTGTCTTTCTTGCTTGCTGTGTTGTCGCGAACAGACGGCTAGTTTCTTTACAGCAAAATCTACACATCGTTGTCTGTCTTTCAATTGTAATTGCCCATGTTATCGTGCGCGTCCCACACTGCGTTTTCAACTGAAATTCGCATATTCTGTTATCATGCTTTGTGTTCGTGTAGCAACCATAGTGATTTGTCTTACAATAAGACACCACGTTACAGCAAAAAGTTTGGCAATTATCATAGGCATGTCATTTTTTTTCTTGATATTGGCTTGTCTTTTGGATTATTATCATTATCGTGTATGGTGGCATTACAAACCGCAATTTACTGATATTGGATTTTTCTTCGAGATGCCAACGACGCCACTTTCGCGAAAACATAAACGATATATTCCTTATCATTTGTTGGGTGATCACCGCACTGAAAGTTTCGGCGATAAAACATGTTCTGCCGGCGCAGACTGTAAAAATCGTCAGTTGGAACATATATTCATATTTCATTTTCGAGGTTACAATCCCCAGCGACGCTATTTTGACATTATTCGAGCAGATAATCCGAAAAATCTTTATATTGGTTTTCATCAGACTGATCCTGCTTCAGCTGTCCTAATTGCTCATTCAGATTTCAGGATCAGTACTGGCCCTAGAAGCACAATGCTAGGACACGGAATTTACTTTGCTCGATCAAGAGAGGGCACAGAAAACAAAGCAAATCGTCGCGGTGCTTTTATATGTGCTGAAATTAATATGGGAAGAGTGCTTCGTATCCGATCGCGCGAAAGATTTGTGTACAGTGGGAAGAAAACTTGGTGGAGAAAGCACGACACAGCATATTACTGCCATCCAGATCCTAAATTCGATGAATTTTGTGTGAAAAGTCCAGATCAAATATTAAGATGGATTATAGTAATCGAAAAACGATTCGACAGAAAAGTCGAAAACTATGGATTAGATACCGAATTTGACGACACAAAATGTGGATGTTTCTAGAGTGTTATCCATTATTGATGTATTTTTACGAATCATATGCATTTATTCTCGAATTCAATGAACTGAATATATGAGAACGCTAGGAAAATTTTTCATTTGGAAGGAAAGCCGCGAAGAGTTTTATTTGTTTGTAACATTGCGTATAATGGCCGGTTATACTTAGAGATGCTGCCTTTGATAAAGAAAAAAATCGTCATTTTCCTCCTATTCTTGAGGGTTTGCTAATCGTTAACGGTTACTTTACCCCCTTTATTTTCAATTCTACCTTGTCTGAGTGTTTTGCGTGCAGCACTACTCTGTTACTCTACGGCAACATGCTAACGATTGAAAGGTAGTCATATTGCTGTGAGTATATGCTACAGAAAGTGTTGCTGTACGGCACCAGTTTGCACTATTAGTATTTATTCTGCTAAATCAAATATTTGACTTTTAGGTACATCTAATTCTATGATATTTTTGTAACTGTTTACGTATTAAACTGGATGGGCAAGTGCGCTCACAGCGGATGGCTTTGTTGACGGAAAAACTCAAGTATTGCACACACTTGAACAAAAAAGTCACACAATCGTTTATGGATCTTTTTTCGATTTGTTATAATTGAACTAACATTAGAATACTAGCAAGTTCTAGAGGCTTTCTCTGTTATCCTCATAATCAACTCAGAGACAAAGAGACAAGTCGTAATGAATACTTATTTTAACCCCCCAAAACACTGTAGGCAGAGAGGGTTATGTCGTCTTTTTGATGTTTTCGAAATAATACAGCAGACAGATTCCTTTCTTTATCTATGGCACGCTAATGAACAGCTGCAACAAATATTCGTAACCCACTTCAGCCTTTTTCTTTTATTCAACATTTTAAATATAATTTGAAAACGTGACTCCTTTACATGCGCTAGTCTTTTTATTCCTCGATCGTTTCTGACGTCATTTCAGTGTGGTCGTAGGGGAACAACGACGTTTTGCTTGGTCTTAATGCGGAAAAACTTCTTCAACTTCTTTCTGAGTTCAGGCGTTGCAGCAAAGCAGATCAATGGAAAAGCAAATATTAATTGAATGGCAAAATAACTCATGTAAATATTTAACTTAATACTTGTGTACGACGCCATACCACTTAAGATAAGTGCTCGCACTATCGATCGAGGAAAACTGAAAATGAAATAGAGAACCGATATGCATAACAGTTGAACTGTCATTTTACGCCGTTGTCGCCAGTGGGCCCATCGATTCAAACGATTCTTTCGCCGCGAAACTCGAATGAGCAGAGCAGTGCTAAAAACCATTATGGTCAATGTTGGTATTATTTGATGACAAACTGAGTCATACGTTCCTCTATATGACGCAACAAGAAAACATGCACCTGGAACTCCGTTCATGGGCAAGGGCACAAACGAATTTTGACAAGGTGGAAAGAACACATTGATGAACCAAAATGTGTAGCAATAGATCGGAATCAGTATGAAAGGAAGATAGTGAACGAAGAAACGTTGTCTTCTCGTTACCGTCCAATTGTGATGAAAGATTAAAATATGTCGTTCGACGGTAGCCCAAGCAAAGCCTACTAAGACTACTGTAAACGATGAGTTACCAATGCATGTCCAGAAGTTGGCAAAGGTAGTTGAGAATTTCCATGAATATCCAACAAGAAAGAAGTGAAGCATCAAGGGGACCGCGATTGACTCATGGATCAGTCCAACACATAGCAAGATAATGATGAAGTGATTGTGAAGAGCTTGACGTAGTGCACGATCGGAGAGAACATGCTACTGAGAGCGTGTCGAAGATCAGAAAATTCCAAAATTGGACAGGAACAGGAATACTTATGTCATATTGTTCTACTAGTCCAGCAATTTGATGTACAGTCAGATTGATATTGGCTACCATTGTGAGAGCAGACATTGTCAGAAAGTCATGCGTGAGGAGTAGTCTAGAAGTAGTGAAGACATGACTTATGTAGTTGCAGAGAAAGGAATGACGATGTTTTATATATACTAAATTTAGAGAAATTGATAAGTATATACATAATTTCTGCTAAGTAAACAAATAGAACTTTCTATTTAAAATATTCAGCTTGAACAGATAATCAATTAATAAAGCTTGTGTTACTTTTCCTGGCAGAATATACTAGAAGTTAACGATCACATTCAATCGATACGAGCAGAACGAAAAAAAAATAACGTAGGCGATCCTCATTCGCCGCTAATGTCTTATCTAGTCAACGTCACTTTTACTTAACAGTATACTTTCTTTATTCATAAAAACTACTTTTCTAACTTATCAATCTGATATATCAACGCAGTAATTAAATATTTTACTTAGGTAAATACTGTGTGTACGTATGAACGCTCTCATTTAGATATTCAATATACCCTGAGCAGTATTTTCCTTTCTTCAGGTATATAATTTGATTAAGAGAGACATGGAGAGAGAAATTTTTTACATAAAATATGGGCAAAATCGAAAAGATAAAATATTAACAATATTTGTAGACAAGCGTATAAAACGGACTATTCGGAAAGATTTGACAGTTTTCGATCAGTGATTGACGGAATATAGTATGGTTTTCATTTATTTTATAGAATTGTTCGAATTGAAGTTGGATTTCTCTGTGTTGAAAACGAAGTAAAACTGTGTACTCTCACAAATCGGTCTGTTCATTCCTTAATATTTTTCTGTCACTTGTACCAGATAACGATTGATCTCGATCAGTTGTTTGTGCCTCAGTCAATTAAACGTGAGTTAAATATGTTCATTTAAGGAATGCAGAGACCTACCAAGTGAAGGTTGATAAATAGCGAATGATTTATCTATTTGGAAGAGAATTACATCCCCGTAAGTTATCACTCACATCTTGACACTTTCCAATAGGTGCTATTTTGCGTAATTTGAAATCATGAGTAAAATGGTCATCCAACGACGATATAAGCGGTAGTATTATTGATGTTCATTCACTTTGCTATGAATAATGCAGTATGTCATAGAATGAAAGACAGTTTCGGCCTTCGGTGCATAAACACAAAGTTGCAACAACTGTGGTATCACTTTCAGAATGCTCTTCAAGCTGAAAGTACAGCAAATAGCTGACAATTAGAAAACAATTATTGATGCGATTGTCAATAGGGGAATATTCGTGAGAATATAGATGTAATTCTAAAATCTCACAAGTGGGAATACTCTATTTTGCTACAAAGTAGAACAATATAGTTTTCAAAGCGTGTATAAGGAATAGTCTAAGAAAATTGTGTGTGTGTGTTATGTTCATGTTTTATGCATTTTGTCCCATGAGTAGCGCTTGTTCCATGGCATTGATACTTTTCTTTAAATTTTCACGTCTTTGCTGTTGCTCAAATGGTTCGCGCATCCAATCGAACAGTACAGCCGATGTAAATGCTGCCGTGAGTTTTGAATCTAACACAAGAGCACATCGAGTAATGAACCAGTAGTAGCATAATTGAGAAATTTGATCAACAAAACGCCGTCCAACCACGCGGCAGTATACTGTCATAGCTATCTGAACATCGAGCGCCGCCGAATGTTCATGTGATAGTTGGCTCAAGTTCACTGTAAAGTCGTTAACACGGAATAGTGTGGAATTCGCTGGTTTTTTAGCATCTGGGGGATTTTTCAGATTATCGAAATGTTCTTGACACAGCCGTTTGATTTTATTTACCGAATCCATGTAATAAGAGTCGAGTGTATATATCCGTTGTTCAATTTCTAACATCTTCGTAATATCATTACTGCAACACTCATAACTTGCGTCGATACTACGTATGATAATATCAGTCAATCTGTGTGTTAGATTGTATTTATAACTTGTTTCTTCAACAAAGACCTCATGTAAAATTTTAATTAATATTATTTTTAAATATTGAATATATGACTCCATTAGATCTTCGCATGGTTTTTTGAGTTTATTTTGCTCCGAACGATAAAGTCTTTCTACGATACTAAATGATGGAAAGTTTGGTAATGCAACGCCTGCATTCTCTTCGAGTAGTTTTAATACCAATTGCTGGTATTCTGTTGAAAAGAAATTCGTAAAACATTTATCAATCGCATGTTGACAGTCTTTATGTCGATTGTGTAGCTGAAAAGCAATACGATCATCGGACCGATTATTTGCTTCCAGACTAGCTGAAGTTAATGTTTGTACGCTAAGTGCGTCTAATTTGAGCTGCATTTCATTATCATAAACTCCATGCACACGTGCATTGATTATTTCATTGAACTTTTTTATCAAACTGGTATATAACGACCAACAATCAATCTCGGATGACACGGCTGGTGGCATTAATTTCAGTTGAGTTTTCTTAGATTTGATCTCGTTTTTTAACTGATCGATGATCGATGGTAATGTTGACCGTATACGGTCTTGTTGAATTCTAGCCAGACGTTTAACAAGCTGGTTGCTACCAAGATAGCGTTCAGGAACATTCACAAAAGCTTGATTCGTTCGAAAGAAGCTTTCTTCTCTTCTACGCATTTCATCAAATGGGATATTAGAATCAATTTCCTCTTGCGTACGATTAAGTACAGCTACGCAACCAAGTTTTAGGACCATTGAACCTGGCCCAATGCCTTGCAGCTTTTCGCCGATGCCCTTGTCAAATTTGTCGATTTTCGATACGGCAATCAGTTGTCGTTCACCTTTAGATGTAAAGAAATCATGCTATAGACAATTTCAAAGATTATGCTCTCTTACAACTCGGATCGTTCTTCTTAGCAAGTTGAATGGACTCTGACGTTGTAAAGTCTACTGATGCAGGAATAACATGTAAGACAATAGCCGTTGCCGGTTGAATGTAATGTTCAATCAATGCAATAATGTCTTGGTAAATCGTTTTCGACTGACCAGCGATGGGATTACGAGTTATACCTATTCTCCCGAAAGATAGAGTATTTACCTTGCCACATGGTAAATCACTTACCTGGTAAATCAATAAGCGTTAAGTCTGCTTGGATGCTACGTTTATAAACAGTTAAATAAATTGGCTTCGACGTAACGTTCGATTTATTGCCAGTTAATCGCACTGTATAATTAGTGACTAGGTTCATAATATCAGCGAAATTATGGATAGTAGTCTCATCAGCGCCTTCGCATCGAATAGTTGCGTATTCCTCTTCATGTAAGGGAATGCTTTTCATTCGTAATTCCAGTGGACATCGAGTACAGATATTCTGTGCGCGCGGTAGCTGAATTCCACTTAAGGCTTCAAGAACAGACGATTTACCAACCTTGACAAGGACGTATACAAAAGAGGTTCATAAAACGATGAAAAGTAAGTATTTTTTGTTACTAACCGACTGATCGCCAACGACCACGATATGAGGAAGAGATATTTTCTCATGATGCAGTATTTCGCGCATGTTATCGACGACTTTCAGAAGACGACGAGATTCCGGTGTATTGAATTCGTCAGTAAGCATGTTCAAACTAGTGCTTTTTGTAAATGGATATGACGTGAGACAGTTGCCCCTAAATGTTACAAATATTTGAAATAGAAGTACAGTTGATTGTACACTTCGACTGCCTGAAAGATTCTCAGGTGTCGATTGGCATTCATCGTGAAAAGAAACAAACGACTGAATGTATTAATACGCAAGAGACAATCGGGCGAAGATCATGATGGAAGAAAATATAGAATATTAGAATAACGAATGCGGGCAAAAATCAAATATGAAAAATATCAAAAGCGAAGAAACACAAAGTGGAAAGAGTAGATGTCTGAAATTTCCGATTTAAGCGAATAGAGAGGAGATTTTCGGAATCTCAGACGCGCACAGTCCATTAGTTTCTACTTGCGTTCGCTGCATTTTTTGCGTATTTCTTACAATGTCTCCTTACGCTTCGAAGCTTTTTTGTTCCGACATTTACCTTGCACAACTCTTCTCATGACTCCGATTGCGAAATGTGAGTTATTGTCCACAAGATTGGTACAAAAAACGTATAACAAGAATTTGTGGCTTTTACCCTGTACCTATTCGAGGAGAGATTATTGATAATACTACATTTTCTCGATACTCACGTAGAATAAAAAAAAGTGCGTTTTGATGTACCTGATATGCTCACAAGCAACAGTCTAGCAAAACAATTCTGCAAAATTACGGACCAACAGTACGCCGAAAAGCAGTAAACACTACAGCTCACTGTTTCGTGATTGTAAATTTAAAGGGTAATAACATCAACAGCCAATGAAAAATCAGCTCGTTGCTATTAGTAAATGTTAGAAAAAGAATTCAGACGTCTTTTCATCGTCTACATCAACAAGAATTTTGCCAAAAGAAAAAGAAACAATAGAAAAATAATATTTTCATGATGGTGTCTTTGTTTGATCACCACAAATTTTTCTTTTTAATAAAAAACCATATATTTGAATTGTATGAGTTGGAAAGTATTTTTCGAATACATATCCAAGCGTTTTCGATGCTGTGAAATCGCTATAACATAGATCTCAGAAGAACTGATATCATTGTATGAAGTATCCACCACATTAATCTTGATCAGTTGTCGATCTTCCGAGCGAAAGAATGGAGTTTCGTTTTTTGTCACCTATACATGACTCTCGCAAGTATTGAAGATCAACAATTACGACGTGTTTTTAAGCTGGTTATAATCGTGTGTCTTCGTAGATCGTTCATTTGAGTAATATTTAAGATATCCATCATGTTTCTTAGTCATTGAAAATATTTACTCAAAAGTGTTGTGATGCAGAAGTCATAACTCGATGATGATTGTAAGACTATGATAAAAAAAACGTTATTTACTCATAGCACTCATAAAAACCTATATATTGTCGATAAAGGTTTGAACAAAGTTATTTTTACTTCGTATGTTTCATTAAATATGCTCGGAAGTAATAATTTTAACGCGATGCTCGTCGCTTTTCTGCTGCTTTTGAAGAATGAAACATCAGGTAATCAATTCTTTACAGATGTATCCTATAATCGAACTCAAACCCGAGAAGAAATGCCTGTCATTTTCACACACATTCGACTTTTAAATTTGATCCAGTCTATCACTATGTTATTCATTTTCATTCTATAGCTTCTCCGTTTAATCAGCCAAAATTCTGTCCAACAGTCAAATGGAACCGAGACGCCACTACTTTTGTCATGTCGAACGTGTCCGAGGTGACCGCTGATACTATATTTATTGACACTAACAATATGATTCATGTTAAATTTACTGATCTTGAAAAGTCGCGAATTCTAGTTTGGCATGGAAATAGTACTTACTCCGTGACGATTCCTGTCGAAGATGTATCGATCGTTGCACCTATACTTATTTCCGACGTTGGTGAAATCTATGTAGATCGTCTTGATGGTCAAATTATTAAACAGATACCGAATACAAATGAATTTGTTAGTGTTAAAGACTTCAAAGCATCATGATGCAGTCTGTTTATCGATATTGATAATTATATATATTGCTCCATGATTGAAGAGCACAGGGTTGAGACGGGTTTATTAGACGATACGATGGACATGATGATTGTAGCAGGAACAGACAAAGAGGGATCAGCTTCTGATCAACTGAACGGACCGGCAGGGATCTTTGTCGACACGAACTTGGACTTGTATGTAGCAGATTCTGGAAATCATCGAATTCAACTTTTTTCATTTGGTAAAAAAATTGGAAAAACAGTAGTAGGACTCGATTCACCAGATATTACAATTATGCTCGCATGTCCGTATTCGGTTATATTAGATGCGAATAAGTATCTTTTTATTTCGGACCATTGTGACGGTCGTATTGTTGCGTCCGGACCAAATGGTTTTCGATGTTTAGTTGGATGTGATAAAGAAGGTTCTCAATCTCATCAGTTAAAAGGACCAAGGACATTTAGTTTTGATGTTGATGGAAATTTGTACGTTGCTGATGGCCATAATGGTCGAGTTCAAAAATTTGATTTACAAAAAGATTCTTGCAGTAAGTCATTCGAAGAAGTTGAAAATACAACGTGTAGACTTTGTAATTTATACTACAAATAGTGTATCGAATAACTATGAAGAAGAGTATTACTGTTTGTTGTCGATATCATGATAACTTTCTCGATTATTGGCATGTATTATTTAAGTCATTCTTTTTCAACATTTAGAGACTGTTGTTGCCTCAAACATTCAAACAATATATTCGTCTACGCTCACAAAAAACCATACAATGTTTTCGCGCACAAGATTCAGTGAATTCAAATACCATTATGAAGCCATCAAAGTGGTTGTGAGTAAAGATGACTTTTACACTCTCACTGCTAATAGTAATATCGATCTCTATGGCCATGTATATAAAGATCAATTTGATCCACACAATCCTACGTTCAATATAATTGCATGGAATGGCAAGCACCATAATCAAAGTCAGTATCAATTCACACTTGAGCTTTTAGTCAATATAACATATATCTGGGTTGTAACAACATACGAGCCGAATGTGATAGGTTCATTCTCAATCACCGCACTTGGTTCAAAGACGGTTCGTCTTGTACTCATGGGTAAGTGACATACACTACTAAAAGAGGATTTTTCATTCAACTCTCGTACTGAACACATAAATTACAGAAGCATATTGACGAAATTTATCGATTTGAATAGATATACAACCGTCGATTGAATCAATATACACGTCAATGTTAACAGCACATTATGAAAGATATTCTCCTCATCCTTGTGATAACCACAGTCCAGGTCCTGCACGTTTTTATGAAGCAATAGAAATAACCGTGAATGAAAATGGTACTTATACTGTTCTGGGCAGCATCAATATGAATATATCTATGCCGATTTATATCTATAAACGTGATTTTCATCCACATGTTCCCTTCAGCAATCTGCTAAGGGAAAATGAGAATTGCTATGTTTATAACGCACCTCAAATTACCGTTGAGCTTCTAACCTCTATTCGATACATATTGGTCGCGTCACCATGCCTAAAATCTATGCTAGGAGCCTTCGTAATCAAACTATTTGATAGAAGTAGTATCAGCTTTCAACGTATAAGTAAGTAGTTCTAAGAGAAATGCAAATCATACAGAATATCTTGTATGAATTGCAGCTCAATTGTGAATTTGATGTTTTTGTTTCTGAATAGATACTTCGTCATATATACTCTCAAACTATTCATCGCACCTATCAGCAGCTAATCAACTATATCATAAAGCTTGTGATCGCTCATACTTTTACTATGAGACGGTACGATTAACTGCACTCATTGATGGATACTATGGTTTTTGGTCGGTTTCTCCTGCATCTCCAATAGAAATATATATCTACAAAAATCATTTCGATCCATTAAGTCCACATGAAAATTCAGTTAAAGTCGATGCCCAGGACTGCTTTGCAAATCATCGATCGAAATATGCAGTGTACCTTTGGTCTGATGTTACATACATATTGCTTATAACAACATTAAGTCCATCGATGACGACACAGTTCATAATCGATGTTTATGGTCCAGCAAGTGTTTCTCTTCAACGCATTGGTAAGTATTGATAACATTTTACAAGTAATCATTATCAAATACAGCACAGTGCATTGAGAATGTTTAACAATTACAGATAAAATCGGCTTTTAAGTCATGAAAGTACCTGAGAATACAAATAGCGTATAGAGGTTTTGACATTGTTTTGTTTTCAAACATTTGTCTAGTGGACAATTCCACGTATTGTCGTGTGGGCGGCCCGTGCAATGTTCGAGTGAAAAGTATTGGTTTAACTCTCGATGATATTTTACGGTTGGAAGTCAATCGAAATATGGCGATGCATGATCAATCATTTCTGATCAAAATCAGCGGCGCTTTGACAGTGCTTGTGTTTATTGCTGGTTTTCTCAATAGCGCTTGTTCAGTTTTAACATTTCAAAATCCAAAGTCACGAACAGTTGGATGTGGATTGTATCTTCTTGCATCATCACTTACCTCCATTTTTACAATTATAATGTTTACAATAAAATTCTGGTTTGTTGTTGTCACACAAATGAACACGTCCGTTCCTCAGTCTGCTCTTCGCGGTGGTTGTAAGTCGATTAAGACTCTGCTCAAACTCTTCTTCTATTCGGATGCTTGGCTCAATGCGTGTGTAGCGGCCGAACGTGCGGTGAGTGTTTACCAAGGAGTAGGTTTTGATAAAGAGAAGAGTAAACGCTGGACTCGACGGATCATATTTATCTTGCCGATTGTGATCATGAGCTCAATTATTCATGAACTACTACACCGTCAAGTGTTCACGCATGAAATAAAAGGTGAACAATCCGTCGGTAAAAATGCAAGCATTTCAGGAAAAATTGTAACCAAACAGTACTTCTTGTGTATAACTTCCTATTCTCAATCCCTTCAAGATTATAATACAGCTATTCTATTTATTCATCTTCTTGGACCATTTATCGTAAATCTGCTGTCCGCTTTATTCATCATTATTGGAGGTGCTCGACGAAGAGCGGAAGCCCAAAAGAAACATACATTATCGCAACATATTCGAGAACAATGGAATGAACATAAACAACTTGTCATCAGCCCGATAATTTTAGTTCTTCTGTCAACACCACGCCTGGTTATTTCGTTATTATCGGAATGTACAGACGTCTCTCGTCATACCTGGCTGTACCTCTCTGGATATTTCATTTCATTTATACCATCGATACTTGTCTTTGCTGTGTTTGTTCTCCCTTCGAATTCCTATTGGAAAACTTTCAAAGAATCGTTGTTTAGGATTTGTAAGAGACAGCGATCATAGAACAGATCATCAGTACTTCTAGATCAACATTAAAACTATACAAATGTCATTCTTGTATGAGAATTCTTTGATTAGCTAATTAAAAGTCACATAATATCGTTGAGTGTATATCATCTAGAGTACGCATTTTCTAAGATTAACCAACGCTCGTTATCGTATGCATTAATTCTGTCATACTTTTACGAAAAATTTCTCAACATGTGTCCAAGTATTCAATCCAATTTTGAGTCCACCTTTTTCTGGTGGTTGCTCAGCACGAGCTGTTAAAACATCCCCTTGACCTTGTTCATCGACATTATACCAAAAAATAGTATTTCCAGCTATCGGACGAAACCGAATGCCAAGTTCACGAGAGTTTTCATTACAAACCAATATATCACAAAATTTGCCATGTAAAAATTTGTTGAAACGAACGTTGACAAATTCGGTTTCACCTTGCGAACAGTTTGCATAGAGATATGTAAAAAATGTTGCGACTCTTTGACTTCCGTATTTCTCTAGATCAGCCTCAAGAAACCAATCAACATATGGTTCGTACTATTCAAAAGAAATATCATTTCTACAAATCATCGATATAAAAAATACACATACTTTCTGATCGGATGTGTATTTGACGAGTCGTAGTGGCTCAATGTGCTCGACGCGGATAGTTGCTTGAAATCGAGCAAATCGTTGTGCGATACATTTCACTACGGGTGTTTTTTGACACTCGAGATCTACTGTCGATGAAGTTTGATGTCCAGTTTCTCTAGAACCATTGGAAAGGAATCTTGGGAATGATCAAATTGACTTTGACTTACGTTAGTTCAATTAAATGCTGAATCTCATAGTCAAGAAGAAATTTGTCAATGTAAATAATCAGCGGTGTTCGTGAAATTATTCGAGTCTTGTATCGATGATCGGTACACTTATAGGCACTTCTGCTCATCGTTTTGTTTGCTTGAATCGTTCCATCATTGCCATTGAATTCGTTCGAATATGCCTTTTGAAGATCGTTCAAGTATGTAATCAAGATCTTCAAAACTATTCGTGTCTCTCCTTTTATCTCACCAATGTTGTACACACTGATACTGACTATCAGACAGACTAATGTTAATCCTTGTATTAGAGAAAACATTCGGGTTAATATGAAGATTTTATAAGAACAACTATACCTGAATATATGAAACGAGACATTTTCGGACAAGAAAATTTATGCCAGTTTTTCTTTCAAAAAATCTTTTCTTTTCTTAACAAAATAAAACTCCTGTTGAAAAAGAAATAAACGTGACGATTTCACCAATAATAGTTGTTTTTTTTTCTTCTGCTCGCTATGCGACAATGGCAGCATTGACGAAATGGAGTCATAAACACTTCACTATGAACACATTTATCAATGAAAAGCAGTCTTTCGTCGTCGTTCTATTAGCGACACATCAGAATATTTCTGACTTCGGTGCGAAATGTTTTCGATACAAATAAATTACTATAACATCCAATGCAGAACGGAATGTAAGCACTGAACACACTCACGCTCAATACAAATCCTTGTAGATACAACTGAACGTAAGGTTGAACTCGATCTTGCATCACTTGTTGGTACACAAGGAGCACTGATATCATCGTATTGAACTGAATATAGATCAAAGTATCCAAGAGAATAATCTTAATTAGTTGTCGATCTTTTGAACGCGAAGAACGCACACCGCCCACTGCGACTCCGACACCGTTGACTGATGTACGAGTGACAAGAGCTGTCGCATGAATCAAACTCCGCACATTTTTTACAGTCCATAAACCGAAAATGATCATCAATATTGGAATAAGAATAGCTTTGATGATCAATGAATAATAACTCACTAGTGTTAGATAGACACCCGGTTGAAAATAACAAACATCAAGACCAGATGCACTCTTGATGATAACTGTAAAGATCAATGCATGTATATGAAAGATCAACCAGAAGACAGTGATGACTACAACGCATATATACGCAAGACGAGAAGTACTTCGTTGTCGTGTCGAAGCATTTCGTGAAGTGATAAAGATTCGGTCGATAGCAGCCAGAATAAGGTAAGAGGGACTCAAAACGTCACAGACAAATGTAATATAGTAACGAAAACGGCAGAATTTGAGATCGTATGTACTTGGCTCGATGTTATAACCAGTGCCCAGTGTTGAGATCAATATCGATGTGTAGATCATAAGGAAATTTGCCAAGGTAGATGCGATTAAATATATAGAGCATGGACTCTGTCGTAGAGTTCTTCTTGTGAAAACTCTCAAACTCATGAAACAGCTTAGAGTGCCTATGACGATGAGAATAGGACCACCGATTTTGTAGATGTTCGTGTTAGCTGATGTTAAAGATAAAATGTAAGAGTAGGTTGCCGACATTTTTCTCAATTCTTAGAAAAATTAAAGATATGCTAGGATATACTTTCTGATGTGTTGGTACAAAAAGTATCTATCTCCGTAAAATTCTTGAAATCATTGTTTGTTCTTACTTTAGAAAAAGGAGGTGTATTTTGTTTTTTGATTAAAATGATCAGCTTTAGTTTAGTCACCGAGAGCATAATTATAATAAATGAGCAAAGTGTTACGCCTCCCGCATAGTTATTTAGAGCAGTTATTTAAAGTTCAGACACAAATCATAGTTGAAGAAACTATTTATTATCATTACGTTTCACCGATTATATCATTCTCGTTTACTTTAATTGAATCATTTGAACGTAAAAGATACTCAGCGGTTTCTCTATTTTCAGCATGTTCTCTTGCCGTACATGTAGATGATGACGAGATTCATCCTATTCTATGAATACACATACGAGTTACTATCTTTGAAAAGAGCTTGTCTTTGTAGATTCCATCAGCATTATCACCTTAATTAAGACATGCTGATACTAACACATTTTATAGGCATCTATTTGGATAATGATTGTTTCCACAATCTTATCGTGCTAGCACTTTTTTTCAGATTCACTAAGCATCGTCGACATGTTATCGAGTGTGTTAAATCTACTGAATATTCAACACAGTTGGATTCTACAGTCGTTTCGGATCTCGTCTCCTCTCTCTCTCTCTCTGAAATCTAAACTACTGGAAATATGTATTGCAACGAAACAAGATTTCGAAGAAAAGAATTTTGTGTATTGATGAATTACGTCACAGACAATAATAGTTTTGAGTTTGGTACTAAGCGTGACGAAGATATGATTTCTTGCATAATCGAGAGATAAAAAGACAATGACCAAATTGTTCCCAATGAAAATCTTGTATAAAACTGGAATTCAAATGGTTGATGTCAAGACAGGTACATTGGTGAACGTGAAGTTTGAATGAAAATGAGAGGTACACAAGATACGGATGATGTAACTTGATCAATGAATCAATCTGACTCAATAGTTCGTACACTTCTTCTATTGACGACATAATGCATGGACCAACAGATGAAAAGAGAGATTAAATATTAGGCTCTTGTCGTAAATGAAAGTCGAGTCGTTCACTGAAGGCTATCTAAAGTTTATTTAATGGAATTTCGTGCCGCAGAATGACATTGAAAAATACAGCACACGAGTCGTGTCAGATTGGATACACTACCAGAAACAGTAGTAAAATCTGTATGATCGTAGATTAGTATCGAAATCGAATTTAAGCTTTTTAATAAATTATCATTCAAGTTCAATAGCGTGGAGTATTTATCCTGGTTTAAAAACCCTATAAAAGAATGATTTGATGGAGAAAGTTTAACTGATGAAATAGAACGATCCAAAAAGTAATTGTATCGCCCTGTTTGTTTGTCCTCTGTGTTGTGCAAGTACGAAAGAAATTATAGTCCGCTCAATTCCTAGAGTCCTTTTTTCTCGCTGATTTTCAAATATAATATCAATTTGTATGTCCTGAATGGTATTGACGGCACATTATGCAGTTACATTCTTGCGTTACACTCATATAAAATACACAAGTCTTTAATCGCTGTTCTTCTTTTACTACTAAACAGTTCAAAAACATTGAAATTGACTGAAACATTCGAAATATCTTTCCTGACTATCATCCTACACATGCTAGTGAACTTGCTAAGTTGTTTGTATCCTAAGCACAATATGTTGTAAATTGACAGGGGAATCTGCTCAGTCACAAACAGAAAATCAACAAGTACAACTGCATAGCCAATCTTGTCAGTTTTTTTAGGAACATAAATCGTTTTATCGTATGTAGCTGGTCCAGTTGCTATGAGAGGAACGTGTTCATAGAATTATTATGTACATTTTCTTTGCAATCTACAGTTGACCTACTTTTTGAAAAACTTCCTTAATACGCACGAAAAGTGACCGATAAAACATTTAGATTCTGTTTTAAAATAAACATGACATATTAGGAAAGTTCCTAGTTTACACAAACTTAGAAAACGTTTTAATCATTTCGTTATTCAAATTTAGACGAATGTACGTCTTCTTTTATTAAACATTTGTACTACTATTGCTTTCTGATCTGTAACTTCTGCCTTTTGATTCTACGCAAAACCAGTTTATAATTACGTAGATAATCTTAGCGACAGACGCCAGTCTGTTCACGACTAAGTAGTACTTTTTTGTAAAAACTCAGGAAATTACTTTTTTACAAATCATTTTCAAGTTCTTTTCCTGTGCAAACAAGCATTAGTCAACGTACAACTGAGCTCTTCCACACTTGCCAGCAGACATTGTCACAAGTAAATGCCTTTCGTCCATTGATGTATTCTCAACTATATTAATATTTCCACTATGTCAAGTTCATGGTATGACTTACTCCTAAGCATATATAATGCTACAATTAATATGTATAAAATTATTCCGCCAATTCACATTGCTTTCGGAACATTTGGCAACGTGTTCAATATGATTATTTTCACTCGTCCAAATCTACGCAACAATCCATGTTCAATATACTTCTTAGCCAGTTCGATCAATAACTTATTTTTCATCTATCTGCTCACTGCTCTTCGATATATTTCATTTATGTTGGATTTAAATTTCACACAAAGTAGCAATCTGTTGTGTAAGATAAGCATTCTTGTTCAATACGTCCCATTTTCTCTTGTCATATGGTTTCCCGTTCTCGCCAGTATCGATCGATTTCTATCAAGCTCGCGAACAGTTCGATTGCGTCAATTGAGTAGCGTGTCAGTTGCGCGACGAGTCATCATCGGGATTTATATAGTTTTTCTTTTGATTCATGTGCATATGCCAATATTCTATGAGTCAGCTTGGGATAACGATGCCTTTGGTTGTGGAATTAGTTCTTATCAATACTTTCTTTTCTTTACTTTTTTCGGGCCTATTGTTGCTTGTCTTTTACCCATTCTACTCATGTGTATCTTTGCTATTTCAATTGTACACAATGTTCGTAGTACTCGTAATCGTGTTTTTCAACAGACTGGGGTCGCACGAAATGAACGTTTACGTTCCGAGGATCGCCAAATGGCTACTATGCTTTTGTTTCAAATACTTGTTACCATTCTCCTTTCACTTCCTTATGTAAGCACTAGTCTGTACTATGCATTCGACTTGGTCATACTCGACAACACACTTTCGCTATTGGGTCAAATCATTTTTCGATGTGCCCAGGCCTTGGCCATGTTTTTGTTCTATACGAATTCTATTACCGGGTTTTACATTTACACACTGACAAGTCCTAAGTTCCGTGCGGAAATGCAACGCTGTGTTAACGAAATTGGGTTTGGTTGAATTCGACCCGTTAAGACTACGGCCAGTACCATTAAACAATAATCCACTGGTTGTGGTGAATATTACAGTGAAAAGTAGAGAAGAAAAAGAGAACAATCCTACACAACAAACACGAACAGTGAACATCTTATCAGGTATACGAAAAACAACAGTCTTTTAACGTTACAAGACTATATTCCTGTGTGTTGGTTCTGGACAAGCATATAGTTATTTGTAAATCTAAATTCGAATATTTTCAGATGCTTTGTACAACGATGTCGTAGCGTACTGTACTGTCAACATCTATGACTCAATAAACTTTCTATGTTTCTTCGTATTCTGCAATGGATTATTCTGTTGTCACACTCTGAGAAAAACACTATTATGATGTGCAATCTTAATCATACACACAGGACTAAACACATCCATCGTTATATACGATTGAATTATAGCAGGCATAGGCAGTCGTGTAATTAGCATTGAGATATGTTAATAGTGAGAGTAAAAGTATAGAATAGTCACTTGAACACTCGTTCTTCGAGTGCAATTTATCTCGGTACATGATATATTAATGCAGAAATTTTTCAAAAGAGGTAAATTTAAATACTATTGTTATGATATCATTGATTTTTGAATTTATTCAGTCTTAATACGATTACAAAACTTCTGATTTCGAATCGTATAACGGATACGAATATATTTCATGATCTTTAACTTTCTTGGATGTATTCTATATTTTTGTGATGGATGGTTTCATTCTAACGAATGCTTCCTTGTGTTTGTAGTAATGAAATTCGTGATTTTAAGATCTACGCAAATTCTAGCGAAATATGTTTTTCTACATTCAAGACAATTAAACTTGAATAGAAATTCCTTGCTTTTCCGGTAAGAAAATGAGAACTATTATCTCAACCCAATATTTCAATAGTTATTTTTCAAATTAGGTCGACATACGACCGGTATTTCTGATAATTATTTTCATTCTTCAACATGTCAATCTCAACGTATAATCTGGATCCCTGTGTCTATTTTGCTGCACTTCGGATATATCAAATCATTCCGCCGATTCATTTGACTTTTAGAACACTCGGAAATGTGCTTAACATAGTTCTTTTTACTCGTAATAATTTGCGAGCCAATTCTTGTTCGATGTATTTCTTGACTAGTCCAATCACCAACATCGAACTCTAATTACTTGAATATGTCATTTATTGTTGTGCTAACACTGAAGCTGGACTTCTTTACTATACCAACTCTGTTACTAGATTTTATGTAAATTGTCCCTACTTAACGTATCGATCTTATCGTTCTCAATTGCAAACGTCGTATTTGTATTAATAAGATAAATATCGAAAATGATACAGAAAGAAAAATTGCTACTATTTTTGTAACCCATAACGTAATAAAAGGAATATAACGAATATATACAATTACTCATTTGTAACACAGGTTAATAGTATATGCTTCTGAATGATGAGAAAGCATGATATCGACTCATAGAAGATCTATGCTGCGTATATTCAAAAGTATGTGTCAAGGCGTTGACGTAATTATGTATGAAATGAGTAACATATACCAATATGCTGCGAAATACTCTCACTATAAAAGCGAATGAGACTAGATGAAAAACCAAAATCTACAATAAAACGTATTATCATGATGCGATTGAACATCGTTGGCTTATTTATCGTTATTCTGGTCATTGGTATGTACAATCAACCGAGACATACCTGAGAGTGACTGAATAAACCACATTCTTATTCTTTTAGTGAGCATGGTGTCTGCTGATATTTGTGGACCACCATCAGGCACATGTGCTACTCAAGGAGTAGCTGGTTGTATTGAACGATGTAAAATATGTGGTTATACAACTGGCTATTGTAAAACATTTCTGTTGTTCTTCCCAACTTGTAAATGCGACATCTGATAAGAATATCAATCTCATACGAAATAGCACGAACGTTGTCTCAAATATATTTGTAAAACTTTCTTTCAATAAAATGCTTCAACTGCATGTGACTTCTGGTTCATTAATACAAATATGTCTTGAGTCTATCGAATTTCAGTACCTTTTGTTTCACCATTACTGATTTGGAGAACGAATTCGATGTTGTGACGTTTGATTGACCAATTCCTAAAAGAATCACTAACAGCTGTGGAAAATCAATTTTGAATAAAATATGTTAAGATCACAGCACCGCCCATCCAGTTATACGATGTGACGTCATATTTTCAAATATCGTCATAAACATGACACAATGAGAGAGGTAAAGAAAGATAAAACAAAAACAGAATCGTTGTTGCTATGAGTTTTGTTTTTTGTTTATCAGATATTTATATATTCATCGACACGATATTCATTTATGCAATCAGATTAGTTTCTCATCATGGGTAGTGGAGTTACTACATTACAAGACAATGTTACTTTTCAATTCGACAAAAAATATACCATGAATTACAAAACAGGTGAAATGGTATCAGGCAAAGTTAAATTTCAAAATGACGGACAAATCGAGTTGAAACTGAAGAATATCATGATTGAAATAGCTGGTGAAATAGTTTATTATACTATCCGTGGGCCTAGTTTAGCGAAATCGTCAGATATCCACGTTCGTCCGTTTTTTAACGAACAACACATTGTACGATCTGGTGATGCTCAAAGCAGCTTTCTTCTCGAACAAGGTGAGCATGTATGGCCATTTTCCTTTTGTCTTCCGGATAATCTGCCATCAACATTGGCACAGTCACGTATCAAAGGTCCTTCCATTCGATATGTTGTTCGTGTGCATTTTGTTCCATCTGATTGGTTTAAGAGACGTATTCAGAAAGCGTCATTTATTTCTGTGCAATATCATTCATCGCCAATGTTATCAAATGAAATTCGTGAAGAAAACCAAAACAGCAAAAATATCAATTTACAAGCAATCCTTCATGAAGATTTTGTGACTCCCGGTGAAAAATGTCCGTTAATCGTCAATATAAACAATCCTAATCGAGTAACAATTACTCGACTGTCAATGGTTCTCATTCAGTATCAAAATCTAGGAGTCGCAGGAGAGGATGAAGTTACTGTTATCAAAAAAGACTTGAATGGTATTGATAATTTTCAAGGTGAAAAATGGCAGAATGAATTCAAAATTCAAATACCTGAACAAATCGTTTCTTCATATACAGGTATACCTTCTCAATGGTCATCTAGAAAACCGTTAGTCATACGTTATGAGCTTTGCCTTGAAGCTCACTGCGCTGGCCTATTTACAAACGCCTGTGTGCGACTTCCTTTTACTGTAGGTCATCAGAAGCAGAAAAAAGTGGATGAAGATCCATTTCCCCCTAAATACGATAAGCTTTTCCTTGTTTAATTATATTCTAATTAATAAAAAGAATCGTAATTGAGAACCAAAACAGACTAAAGACTAAATAAATCAATGACGAAATGTTTCGGATCGATAAAACAAACATATTGACAAGACAACTAGTATTACCTATAATCGATAAGAATGTAATATTTGCAGGCATAACTTTAAGAGTAGGACTGATGTCAGTGCGAACATTAACGATCGCCTTCGTCGAACTCATTTGTATTTAACTGTTTTTCTATAGTCCTACCGAGAGAGTTAACAAGTCGTTCACACTTATACTATTGTCAGTAAAAAAAGATTATTTCGATATTGTTCTGTTCAGCAATTGTTGGTGATACTATCGCTTTGTAAATAAACGCTGTATGGGCACCAAATTGAGCCACATCTGGTTTGCTATCGAAGTTTTTAAAGACAAACATTTCATCCGACCTCGTTTCACTAAAATAATACCATTTTTTGAGCATTTCGAGGATTATGTGAAACAAGATAAGATGACTTCGTAACCATCGATCGACGAACATCCGCATGGTGTAGATCATTGTTAAGATCAAATGTCTGATAATCACAAATAGTCAGAAGATTGTTGATGATGGCGTTTCGATCAATGGGTCGCCAGACATTAATAATTTGGAAACGTTTTTGTAACACTCTTTCAGCTTCTTCTTCGCCAAATAAATCTTTTACTTTACATTGAGCACTATATGGATCATGATCAACATGGGAATGAAAGAGCGGATTTTTATGAGTGGGATCACATTCATCGCCAGAACGTAGTTTTGCTCGGGAACGTATGATGTGATTGAAGACAATGTCATGAGATGCATCCAAATGCCTTGTGAGGATGTTCATAATAGTAAGCTTGAACATCTTCTTGACTATTGAAATAACAAGATGTCTGTCTGTGGTATTTGCTCACTTCGAAACCATTCTTGTCAAGATCGACACTGGTTTCATTGTCACGTAGATCATAAATGGCAACTGGAACTGGCACAAGCACATCATTTGTTGTCAGCTGTGTTGTTTTCGGTGTGGCTTCTGACCATGAAACGCCACCGTCAGGCATATGACTGAAAAAGTTGATTTCTGTCGTAATATTCTTCCCTAGGTATACAACATGAAAGTTGTAAGAGAGAAATGAATACTGTCTTATCGTATTTGACCGCATCGTTTATGCCTTCTCTCTCTTTTTCTTAGTGTCATAGCGATATCCTTCTCTCACATATTCATGTCTATCTCATACGAGCTAAAGTGCATTTATTTTTCGATAATAAACAAAAGTATGAATCAAGATAAAGTTCCAATGAGAAAATCATCGATATGGATAGCGTCAGGATGTAATATTGGTTGATATCCTAAAAGCTTAGCGTATTCATGCATTAGTTTCCACCAATAACAGCTGACTGCATGTTCGCTTAAATATTCCAATACCAACTGTTGTCCTTTTTGGCCTATTCTCTTCATTTTGTTCTCGTTATGCGAAAAATGATCAAGCAATTTCTTGAGCGCTGCCTCGTTTCGAGCTGATTCAAAAACAATAATATTTTCACGATCTTTCAGTAAATGATACCAATATTCTTCCCAGTATTGAACAGGATTATAGACGACTGGCGAACCACAGAGCAGCAAATATTTCAATCGAGATGAATATGAACTTCCTTCCAGATGTGCTAAATACTTGTAATCACAATGTCCTTCCAACGTCACGTATGCGTTCGACGGTCGATGAGCAACACCATTCGCAGTCGCATTCCAATTGACGTCCTTCATATCCATGATATCGGGATTTTCCTTCGCTAGATCGATGTACCAAAGTCGTTTCCAATTCCACACTCCGCGCCAGAATAATTTGGGGATTCGGTTCTTATAGCCTATCTTCTGTGCTGCACTGACAATAGACTGGGATCGGTCTATCCAACGACCAGCACGCGTTTCAGGCCAGCTCCATAATGTAAAACATGGCATCGGGATTACGGCATCTGCTCGCAGGCCCACTTTTGTTCGTGTAGNATCGATTGCGATGCTTTCGTCCATCGACCTGCTCGTACTTCAGGCCAACTCCATAATGTGAAACACGGCATGGGAATTATGGCATCCGGTCGTACGCCTCGTTTTGTTTTGTTGGTTTTTGTAAAAGCAAAGATGGGTACATTGAAACGCACATCATTCAATCCATTTGGTAATTCTACTGCGTCATCAACATGAAAGAATAAGTCGAGGTCAGGAATGTTTGGAAATGTGTCCATCATCTGTTTGATTAGTAGTTTCACACTACGACTGCGAGTTTGATAATTGAAAGCATTCGGTCTAGGGATGATATACAGTTTGTTCTGAATGATTTGAATATGATGGCAGCTCAAACACGAATTGGACAAGTTTTCGATATCGGTGAAAAGCATCTTTCGATTGGAGAACGGTTGGAAGTGAAGTTGGACACGTGCAAATAAGTCGGCATGTTTGTTCTTGGAATAAAGCTGATAACAGACGTGATCATTCGAATCCGTTGATAATTGAACTGACCGTAACGAATGGTTTTTTTCACATAAGAAGCGAAAGAATGGCCTGACAACATGGTGACATTCGTTCATTTGAGTGATATTAAATGTAAATGACGGATTCTGCAGCCAAGTTTGTGATGAGGGATTCTTTGTTAATATAATGATGATAATGGAAATGAAGCAGATAGACGAGAACAATGTCCAACAACGTTGTTGCATATTCATTCTAACTTCTACGACATCTTATTTTTCAGTGTAGCTGTTATAAAACATACAAAAACGTGGCAAAAAAAATCGATTTCATTTGCCACGATTAAAGATTGTTTGCATAGTATTTCGCTTTTCGTAAGAACAGAAAAATCAACACCATATTGCATTCTTTGTTTCTATAGTTTAAATGAGCTCAAGATTTCTTTTTTCATTCTTTTCTGATCTCGGAGATCAATTGAACTTATTTTTGTAACAGAATCAAAATGGCGTCATCGTTCTGATATATCGATATTATACTTCAACAAACATTGAAGCTTCTAGATGAATTATCTATGCGTATCAAAATATTTATTCACTTATTCACATATTACTGTTTGGATTATCAATACCGAATTGCGAATGAGGATGAAGAGGACATGAGGGAGAAACGAACGATACTTATCTATACATCGGTAGCTTTGCTATGATTCTGTATTTGTCATCTGTTCTCAAGAGGAGTTTTATGCAAATCTGAACTCAAATAAGAAAATGATGTCTGCGTAATATGATAGCTGGTGGGTATTATCCAAATATTTTTCTTACTGAATCATTCGTAAAGATTATAAATCTTCTGTAAGTAGAACATTATAAAAACATTTTTTAAATCGTCGACTATGCGCCTTTCTATTTTATTCGCTCTTGCAGTTTGTATATTTTCGTCGAGCGAAAAAGCATCTGCAATCAACTTTTATGATACTAAGCTAGCAGCAAATGATTTTCTATTGGTTTTTCATACACTGTACACAGGCATCACGAACGATTCCATTCGATATCAATGTCATGCGTTCGGAAACGAAACTTTTGAAGTAGATTTTCCTTTCAAATCAATTCAATCTTTTTCTATTGGTCGAGAACAAAATCAAACTCAACTTTATTTCGTTATTTCTGGAGCTGCCAATGAATCGATGTTTTACATGTCAAAGATTACTGCGCAGTGTCATGAAAATCGAAATACAAAAGTGTCACTCCCACAGACGGTCTTCTTCGAAACGCAGAACATGTCACATGCAATTGTTAGTGTTGATCCTCAAGGTCATTTTGCTATTGGTGTCACGGGCACGTCTGTGTTCTACTATAATCTAGTTACTTTGGAGCATTTCACTCTGAATATAACATGGCCCGATAGCAAGACGTTCTTACCATTAGCAGTTGACATAAGTCATGATTTTATATACGTCGCAGGCAATGCTGGAAGGAAGTTTTTTCCTGAAGACAATGATGACGCAGTGCGTTATGGTAACGCAAACATTTATGTGTTATCCATTACAAATCGTCATACAATTCAGTTTTATGACCGATGGGAATCAAATGTCTATGTCATAAATTCAGCCATGAAGTTATCGATACGAGTTAATTTGAAGAATGAACAAGTATTATTCGGTATACCAACGATCAATACAGTTCACTTATTGCTCACTAATAAGACGTCGAATCATCTTGTTTATCTTACTTCTAAAACAACAACGAAAGGTGTCCGTGTAGGAGGATATGGATGGATTGTTGAATGGTGTGACAATTATGAAAAAGCGATCATCGTCAATGTCGAGTATTATGGCAATTCCATCAAAAGTGGCGGATCCTATTTTGAATATTACGATATGAATAATAATCATTATATCAATAATTCCACTATGCCATTTTCAACATTTCCAAACAGTGATCAGGAAAATCCTGGGTTTTCTAGCAGTCCTATGGCCCTTCTAGCAGCAACAACGTCTGCATTATACGTCATGAACGTAAAAGAAGATATTTTAGTGATTCCATCATCTAAACCAGGATACTTTTCTGTAAACCATGCAGCAATGACACATTCTGCAAATCCGTATTCGATATATACCTTAATACCCAATATTGCCCTTTGTCCACCAGGTACATATAAAAACGACACAGGACCGTGGTCATGCCGTCAATGTCAAATGAATTCTTCTCAGCAAAATGTTAGTCATAAATGTTCACAGTGTAATGATGAATCATATTGTCCACTGGAACACGCTATATATCCCACGGAATTATACGATATTGAGCAATATATTGGCTATCCCGAAACACCGGAGATTGATGTTTTTGCGGATATTCTCCTTCGTAATATGTTTCGCACGAATTGTCTGCGAACATCACCGTTTCTTTATATAATGATTGCGTTAATTATTGCAATAACGATCGCCATAATTATCGGTTCTTTGAAGTTTTCAAAACGAACAGTATTGCAGCAAACGAATATCACGCGAGCTTTGCAATATCTCGATCTGATCGAACAAGGTAGTCTTTGGTTTGGAGGCTTAATTAGTATCGTTTTACTGGTGCTTCTTGGACTAGCAGTTCTATTTAGTTATTCTTTTTATTATCAATATCCCATTAGAAACGAACATGAGTTCGATGACAATGCTTGTTTATCAAATCATCATTTGAATGCTAAATTTGAAACAAATTTACAGTTTTTAAAACAAAATCCCCGTGAATTAGGTGAAATCTTTCACCTATTAGATTCGCAAGACTTTACATTGAACATTGAGGTAATCAGCAGAACATTTCATTGCGGGCGATTATTGATTCAGTCTGCGTATCCGGTTTCTTGCTTTACACGGGGTTTTATATCATATGCATCGACTAAATTGTTCTCACATCAAACACCAACCATCATTCAATTAAGAGGACGTTCACCAATTGATGCTATTCGTATCGGCTTAACTGCACCGGAGATTCGTCAAGCGAACAATTATGTTCAAGCATTAAATTTTTCCAAAGTATTCAACGACACAAGTCGAATAGTAGGATCTACTAGAGCATTTCCTCTTGATCTACATTTGACAAAGATAATCAATATTACCGAAGGTTTAACGAATGTAGACCAAACGATGTACAGCGGTTTATGGTTCCTGGCATTTTCTTCCGAACCCACTCGATTATATGTCGCCGATGATCCAGATTCTGTTTCTTCTCGCGATGCAATCGAGTTAAAACTAGCTGAAATGTCGTTTTTTATTAAAAACAGACAAAAACCCATCGCACGAAATTCAGAAATTATTTTTAGTACAATCCTGTTCGTCTGTATGTGTTTGGATTTACTATGTATGATCTTTCTTTTGATAAAACTATGGCTTAAGCCTATTCTTAAACTTCTGATCCTGAAGTCATGTCCGTCTAATAGTTGGTTGCATCTACTGATCAACGGAAATCATGCTGATACTTCTTCAGATATTGTTGAACTGAAGAATAATATGGCTAATTTAACAAGCGAAATGAATATTTTGAAAGAAAAGATGAGTTCTTTTTGTTGATACCACCTAGTGACTGAATAGACATACGAATGTGAGCGATGTTTTGAAAGTTTGTTCATTCAACTTTTCCTTTTGAATTTTACTATTCAAATTTATATCGAGTAGAGTTTCGTGTTTTCGTAATAGACGATAGTTCCAATCGGAAACATAAAGATTTGATTCTCTATTATCTAGTTAATCAAAATCACATAGAGATATGTTTCGTTCTTACTAATGACAATCCCGTTTGCTTATATTTCATACTTTTTAACTTGATCTTTTTCTACAACGTGTGGGTGTTGGTATTAATTGGTCTTTTTTTCATAGTCGAAGTTTTCATGTTGATGATGACGATGGTGACTTTTTTCGGCGAAAATCTCGTTGTTCTTGCGCAAACATTCGATTCGCAAAAACATGCATCAATCTTTCCGAGTTTTTTTTTGATAGAATTAAGCAAATGTCTGTACAGAAATTTCTTTTCAATGAGTAATGCAAACAACAGAGAGATTTGGATTTTTCCTTTCTATCGATGTCTCTACCTACGCCATGCGCTTGAAAAAAATGGCAAATCAGGAGAGACATTATAAAGCTCACTTAAAAAGCGAACGTTATTTGATATTCGAAAAAATCTCACTGTAAGTTAAGCAGTCTGCTTCACGTACAACATCATTCTTCTCCAAATCTAAACTCACAACAATTTTGATAATAGATATGTAAGTAAAAAATCTTTTCGCATGTATTAGGAAATGTGTAGTTCATGTGGCAAACTACACAAGTGTTCGCCGTTATAGAAAAGATTTTTGTACATACATTCTCACGACTTTCATCCAGAATAGAAGAAACCGTGCAGAAGATGACGGCCTAAACGAAGATTTGAGGAAATTTCACGGTTTTTGGACGAAAGACTTCTAGGACTCTTTTGTCGTCAGTAATGACTGGGGGTGACTACGTGTATCATACCAATGTTGCTTTTTTAAGATAATTTGAAGAGTAGAGAATACATCCTACCGCGTGATATTGCACATCTGACAACCAACTTCGCTTTCAGAATCAATTTTGTCGACTACAGCAGTGTTTTCTCATCACCCTTTGATATATTTTCGAAGTTCTCCGAAACGAAATCATGTCCATCCTCACACCCTCACTCACTCTAGTTTTGTTTTTCAATCAGTCGCAACCGATGATTCCAGTTTGTAATTCTATCGTCTTAGACATCGTCATGGCTAATAAAGTGGCACCAGTCCCAGATTCCAAATTGCCATCATCCACAACTTCGAAAACATCCTCACCATTTTTAGACATAATGAGAACTTATGTTCAGTCCAAAATGTGCTATCATCCAAGTGCATTAACGAATGCAAATGTGACTAATATAAACAACAAAGCTGTTGCCTATCAAATTGATCTATGGACGCTAGTCGATCGTCGTTCGGCAAAGCAACGCGAACGACCGTATAATGCTGAAGACACGCCTAGGGAACCGCTTAAAAATCTATGGAGTTATGATTTTGGCCATCCTACAACAGTGCTAAAGAAGAAGCTGAAATTCAAATATGATCTGATGCAAACAAGTTGGAAAACCATTTGTCCCAGATGTGATGGCCATGGCAGATATGCTTGTTGGTCATGTGATGGCCGAGGCCTCAAGCATTGTACTAATTGCCCCACGAGTTATAACACTACGTATTACACAGCCACCTGTTCGTCCTGTCATGGCAGTCGTCTTAAGAAATGTTCAAATTGTGGGGGTAGCGGGAGAATCGACTGTAGTCGCTGTAGCAAACGTGGTATTCTCTTACATTGGTATGAATTAAAAATTGTATGGTACACCATTCATTCAGTATCCTATCAATCAAATACCCCATTACCGCCAAAAAAGATTAGAAAAGCTCCAGGAAAAGAAAACTCTTTCACCGTTGACGTAATCTGGTCGCAGACTACTTCGTTTGATCAATATTTTGAGAGCAAATTGGCGACGCCACTCAACTCTTTAGTGAAAATTGATGCGCTAACACGGGATTTTAACAAGAAACATTTGAAAAAAATGAAAAAGGATAGACGAATGATTGGACTGAAATGTGAAATACAAAGACTAGGTGTGATTGAAGTTGAATATGAAATTGAAGGATTCACGAATAAGAGAGATGTCAATATGGGTGAGTTCTCTCAAAATACAAGAATTTTATTGATGTTTTCGCTTCCTTACATTTCATTTGTTTTGTTCTTTTAGGTAATAAATTTCATTTTTATCATTATGGAGTTGGAAAAAAAAATGAACCACTCGTTTATGAAAACGATTATCCATTGAATGCATGCGGTTGCTTTGGTGTTGGATGTGCACATTATTCGAAATGCTGTACAGTAATGTGAATGAAGACAATCAACAGATATCATCTCGTAATCATGTTTTTTTAAATATATTTATATACAATGAATTGTTTCTTGATTGTTGTCTATTTACTTGTATACAACACGAAACAAAATCAAACAAACAGTTCAAACGAGTAAAAATGGTACTTGTTACTAAACGATAAGATCAGTTTGATACGATAATGAATGAAAGGAAATTGTCCAAGCGTTATATCTCATGTGCGAGAAATATCGAATCTTCGTGAATCATTCTATGCAGAGTGACCTTGCTATCTGCTGTGCTTCTGAAAGTGTGCTCAAGCTGAGTGTACGTATTTTGTGTGTGACGGACTAAAAAAAAGGGTACTCCCACAAATGTATTTATTATTATTTCGTTGGTATGTTCTGTGTGGGAGAAAACAGAAGTACGTGGCAAAACATTTTCTCTCTATTCACATTGCAAACAACAGAGGAATATGATTCTTTTTTCTCTTTATGTTAGTGTCATTGCATATAGATGGTAATGGTAAGGTGTTTTAAGAAGCAATTTCAATCGTTGAATGACGCAAACACCGCCTGTGCTAATAAAAACAATGCAAAAATTCACTACCAAAATGAATGTGCTTACGACAATCGAAGGCCGAGTGACGTTCGAAAAAAATCCTTTTGTCAGTTAAATAAAACATCAATCTTTTTCAATAACAAGTAAGAACATAAAAGCTATTTAATTCGTCCGATTAATACAGAAAAAAGGCATATCGTTGTCATGATGTAAACGAATATTGAAAAACTTCGATATTCACAATAATATAAGTGGCCTGAAAAAATAGAGAGCGAGCGAATTAAAGAGCTTTGCTTCACTATTGCATTTCTATTGTTTTAGAGAAGAAAACGATGGCTAGCAAAGTGGCACCAGCTCCAGATACATCGTCGCCGTTTTTAGACATAATGAAAACTTATGTTCAGTCCAAAATTTGCTATCATCCAAGTGCATTAATGAATGCAAATGTGACTAATGTAAACACCAAAGCTGCTGCCTATCAAATTGATCTATGGACGTTAATTGATCGTCGCACGATAGAACAACAAGGACGACCATATAATGGTGAAAACACGCCTCAAGAACAACTTCGTGATCCGTGGAGCTATGACTTTGGACGACCGGCAATAGTCTTAGAAAACAGACAAAAGTCAGTGCATGACCTGATGCAAACAAGTTGGAAAGCCGTTTGTTCTAAGTGTAACGGTCATGGTATGCATAACTGTGCGTTCTGTCATGGCAGAGGTCGCAGAGCTTGTACTCATTGTCGCACCACTGGCAACTCAACGCAGCACGCACACCAATGCACATCCTGTCATGGTACCCATACTGTGAAATGTTCAAACTGTAGAGGCCATGGTAAAGTGAGCTGTGCTCGTTGTAATAGACGCGGCGTACTCTTACATTGGCATCGATTGACAATCGAATGGTACACTCTTCATTCAGTATCTTATCAGTCGAATACTCCATTGCCAGTGAAAAAAATCAAACAAGCTCCAGGAAAACAAAACTATCTTTCATTCGAACAAGGCTGGTCTCAAACTGCTCAATTCGATCAATATTTTCAAAGTAGATTGGCGACACTACCTAATTGTTCAGTAAAAATTAATGAGTTAACAGAAGATTATAACAAAAAGCACCTGCAGAATATGAAACAGAACATGCGTATGATTGGACTAAAATATGAAATACAAAAAACTGGACATAA